TATTCGTGGAGTTATGGGCCATTAAAAAAAAGGAGGATTACGACCCTCTCAATTTATGAACGTGGAGCCTTAAATGATGAAATAATAAAACTATCTATAGGGTTGCAATCTTGGAAGAAAAGTGCGGAATTTCCAGATTCTAAAAAATTAAACTTCTTGAAGACGATTAAAAAAAATATTTTTTTGATTTAAAATTTGTCAAATGAAACTTTTTTGGATTTTTTTACTCCTATTTCTTCACTGCCAAAATATGTGATTATACCCTTAGATGTATTTTCATACCTTTTCTAAGATATATATATAGCAATGATACATACATAATCGTCACCTGGAAATTTCTTTCGGGAATTTTGCAAATTACCTCAGACTTTTCAGAGGATTGAGTGGCAACTCAATCCTCTGAAATAGTCTGTGGTAATTTTTAGTCTCTACACTATTTCAATATAAGCTCCATTTTTAAACAGTTTTTAAAAATCGAGCATTGAAAAGTGTGATGAGACTCCGTAATTTCCAACTTTCTCAAAATTGAATTGAATTAAGAGATTTTATGAAAGAAAGAAATTAATAACCACTTTTTGGAAGTTAATAAAAATATGCTCGAATTAAATGTGAAGGCTGTATTCATTAAAAAAATCATTATAAAGGTTTGAATAGAAGAAGAAGTTTTTTCAAGGCAAAATGTTTTTTAATGTAAAATCATTCATAATCATATAAGGAATATATATATTTTCAGAATCATTGAAAATTTTGAATTTAAGAAATTCATTTTGGAAGATATTTTGAATAGTTTATTTTATTCCATGGCCCAAGAAAATGTGCACGCCAGAAATATCTGCTCGACAGATTTCTGATTAAATTGCAGATATACCATGGATTGTTATTGAGTCTACTTAGAAATCTATAAGAGATTTATGGAATTCCAGATTATCTAAAATTATTCATTAATTTTATAATAATGATATTATATGAATATTGCAAATTATTAATCGGTATTCAAATCAGTATTTTATATATTTTTCGTTAATATCCTAATTTGAAAGAAAAGAAAATGAAATATGAGTGACTATAATAGAGTATGTATTGTATGTACATGCGTTACATAGTATTAAAATTGCTTAATGGCTTAAATTTCATAATATATTCTGAAAATATGATTATATCACCAAGTTAAAGATGTAATTGTGATCACTCACCCAAGTTAAAATAAAAAAAAAAAAAAAAAAAAAAAAAAAAAAAAAAAAAAAAGAAAAAAAAAAAAGGTAGTGGGGCTTCCAGGCACTTCGTGCCTTCTAGCCCTGAAGATGTTTAGTATAAATGAAGTTTTTATTCGGAGGGCTTCCAGCCCATAAGAAATTTTTCCCAAGACCCAAGAGGAGGACCGAACCCCAGCCGACCAGCCGTTGACTTTTTTGTCAAGACTTCTTCGTAAATGTTTTGTCAAGACTTCTTCGTAATGAGCGTAAATGACCAAAAAAAAAGTTTATGTTAGAATGTTAGATCTAACACGTTTTCTAACATGTTTTCTAACATCGTAGAAAACTCATGATTTCATCGTAAATGCTTTGTCGAAACTTCTTCATCGTAAATGTTTTGTCAAGATTTCATCGTAAATGTTTTGTCAAGACTTCTTCGTAATGAGCGTAAATGACCAAATTTCAAGAGTTTTCTACGATGTTAGAAAACGTGTTAGAAAACATGTTAGATCTAACATTCTAACATAAACTTTTTTTTTGCTGTAAATTTCATGAAATTTCAAGACTTCTTCGTAAATGTTTTGTCAAGACTTCTTCGTAAATGTTTTGTCAAGACTTCTTCGTAAATGTTTTGTCAAGACTTCTTCATCGTAAATGTTTTGTCGAAACTTCTTCATCGTAAATGTTTTTAACTTCACTTAAAATGCCACGTAAGCTACGTAAGAATATACGTAAGAGGAAGGGAGCATTGAAACATCCAATAGTAAAACTGACACCACAACAACAGTTGCAACAACAAATGCTGAATGACCCCACTATGTTGCAACAAATGTCAAGCAACCCTATGCTTTTAAACCGAGTTATTGGTGCACAGAGTGGAGGTTTAAGAGCGGCACTTTTAGCGAAAATGGCAGGCTATGGTGGAGCTGCAGACGGAACAGCTTATAACCCTCAAAGTCAAATGAATTTGAGTTCACTCAAAAATCAAATAACAGATGTCAAAAAGTCAAACATAGACATACAGAAACAAATAAGTGAAAACGAAAAGAAACTAGAATATGACAGACACACAAAGAAACTCAATGAGTTAAACGTAGAGAAAAAGAAGAAAGAAGAACAACTGAAAGAACTAAGTACAGAGGAATATGCGAAAAAAGTGTCAGAAAAAGCAGCAGAAGTAGCAAAAATGGAACAAGATGTCATAAATTTGAAAAACCATACTACTCAATATAAAGTACTGAAAGATGAAGAAATAAAACAAAAAGCCCTGAAGACATATATGGATAGCGATGAGTATAAAAAAGAAGTTGAAGCAAATGTAAAGGCAGAAAAACTTTTACAGTTGCAAAACCAAACCGTACAGTATGAAAACTTAGCACAAGAAAGTAAAAATAACGACGCGGCTATGCAAAAGGCAATGAAAAGCTCAGAATATATAAAAGCTAACAATGACTGGTTAGATGCCCAAGCCAACGCTAAAGCAGCCCAACTCATAGGGTCAATAAGGACAAAAATACAAGCGGATGAAGACAGTTCAAATGAAGCTTTAACAAATGCTGACTTTAAGAACGCCTTCGAAGCTCTTCATAGTAAGGTGAAACAAGTGAACGACTTCTCATCTGGAAAGAAACTGAAGTCTGAAGGTTTCGACAACGAGTTAAAAGAAGTAGCACAAAATATGACGAAAATAACAGATGCAGCAACGAGACAGGCAGTTCAAAGTGCCTATGACGCCGTTAGAGCAACTGTTGTGAAAAGTCAAGAAAAAGAGTTACAACAGACCAAAACAGACCTAGTAAATGCTTTCTTAAGAACGAAAAGTCAGGTAGGACATTACGCTGCAGATGGAACATATGTGCCAGCTGGTGGAACTTATATACCACCAAACCCTCCAAGAGAAGCACCTGCACCAGGACTACCTAGAACATTTACATCGTCACATGGACACAGACACAGGCATGCACCAAAACCAACACAACAACCAACAGTTCAAAACCCTGCACAACAACCAACAGTTCAAAATCCAGCACAACAACAACAACCAGCACAGCAACCACCTCCACAACCAGCACAACAACCACAAACAGAGCAAGGACATAAAAGAAGTAGAGAACAAGGAAACCAAGAATTCTTAAAAATGCTTAAAGAAGAGTGTGGTTTCCCAGATACTATTGACTTTAGTGACAGATATAAAGAAGCTATTGAAAGTTCAAGGATGGAAATACTGACCCGAACCTATTTAGCTTTATGACTCAGCACCAAATGGGATATAATTCAAACCTGGAAAATACAAGCTCGCTAAGGGATATGATTTAATAGCATATCATCCAAATGACATGAACGAATTTACTCCGAGATATTTGATGTCAGAGCTAAATGACAATAAACTTTCGTCATGAAACGCGTAAAAAATAGAGACGGAACGAAAGAACAAAAGCTTATGAATGCGGATGACGTAGATAGGGAAATTGTTAAAACGGTCTCGGAATATATGAAATGCCAGCAGATGAGGTACAAGAAACTCCACAGGAAGAAGTTCAGATACAACCAGACATGGAAGAAATAGTTCAGCAACAACAGCTAGAAGAGCCTGAAGGAAACGAAAAGTCACTCCTTTGGAAACTAACTTCACAGAACTAGATGAAGATTTGGAACAGCCGAAAAATCTTGACCCTCAACAAGAGCATGAGGTGAATATGGAATCTTTCCAAGAGTCTAAGAAAGATTCGGCTGACATAGTAGAAGAATATCGAAAAATGTTTGCCGACATACAAAAGACTCCAACACCAGATGAAAATATTCAGCATAGAATGGAAGACTGAAAAAAATGTACACAAATACAACAACCCTTTTTACTTACGAGCATTTAACGTTCAATCTTCGGATGAACTCGGTGAAATAAAAGGTTAAATTTCAAGAAAACATATAGAAATGAAACATTGTTTAAAGTTCATTCAGAACCTAACCAATATGGAAACAAACCTACTTTTGTTTCTGCAGACGATGGAACTACAATGAGATGGGGTCATAAAGCTAATTCGGATAGGTGGTTCATAAACTTACAACCTCAATTCCAAGAAGTTGTAGACGCAATGGAAGCGAATGGTGAACGAGATATAGCTGGTATTTTCAGCGCGGCTTTAATGCCATTGAAAGATATGAAAGATGCAGATATTTTGGACCAGTATGAAATGAACATGGCTGATGGAAATATAACACCTGACGTTCTAGAACATTTATCTCAAAGAACTACACAGAACCATAGAGATGGTATATTTGGTGAAGAGTTTAGAAAGAAAGTTAGGGAGAGAGAAGGAAGAGAACCTATTGTACATGACCTTGCAAACGAAAGTTTACAAAATGTCATAAAAACTTACTTTGCAGACAATGAACGAGAAGGGATGAATATTTAAGAAAACTCAAATGGACAGTACCAAATGAAATGTTAGTATTGAAAAACATGTTCCTTGACAAAATAAAACCAACTACAGAAATAAATGACGAAGACTGAAAGATTGGGTAAAGCTTTCCCATTCACAAAAGATATTGTTGGTAACATGGAAAGAAAACCAGAATGGCTACAAAAACATATATTTGGAAACGAGCTTATTCCATATGGACAGGCACTGTTTGAAGAGCTTGAACCTGAAACTCAGGAAGAGAGTCATGCAAACAATACGCGAAGACTCAAATACAGACTATGACAAACTCTTTCTAGGATATAGGTTACCTGAGATGGGCGACCAGAGCCAAAAGGCAAAAAGGACATGGGAAATTTGCAACATACTAGATGAACATAATGCAAAGATGCAACAACTTCAAGCAGAGGGCAATGAAGGAAAAAGAAGAGTTAAAAAACTCAGTCAGGAAGAAAGTAAAGCTTGGTCGGAGTGGGTTCTATTATGACATATAAATCCAACTATTCTATATTTTTACTCATATGAAATGTACGCCGCTCAGAATATAACGCCAACAGTTTTGGATGCCATGAATGGAAATGTTTCCGAATGGTATAACGAATGCGACAATGCCATTAGAAGGTCAGAAATAGTTCCTGGAACTTACGAATATACAACTGCTGTTTCTTATGGAAACGTAGGTGAGTTTGGAGAAGGTTCTTCAACAACAGTAGATATTGCTTGCGACAGGTTTCATATAATTTCTATTGACAACTCTTTCTTATACGTGGAACAAGACATTGAAATAAAACCTTCTGCCAAGTTGTCTGACAAGAAAGGTTGCAATGGAATTTTCTATGTCGGATACCAATATGCTCCAGAAGTTTTCATGGGATATAAGATATATTCTAACTCTGACTTAGTTCAAACAGTAACATGGGCAAACTATGAATGGTTCGCTTTGAGAAACTCAGTACAACCACAAGCTAGAGAACAAACAGACCAGTATGCAACTATTGAGAAAATAAGAAGACTTGACCCTAACGTTCCAGGAGTTTATGTTAACCTTTCTGGACAAACTGCAGCAGCAGTAACCAAAGTAAAACTGAAACTTAGAGTTCCTTTGTCATCTTTCCTCATCTTCAGGTTTTTAAGATACTTGCCAAACTGGGCAGGAAAAATTTCTATCGAACTTACTCCAAGCAAAAATAACTTAGTCATTGCACCAACACAAGACCCATTCACTCTTACAGAAGTAGTGGGAACAAATAAAATGTCATTCGCCGACTTTTGCAAAACAAAGTTGACTTAGACTTTGGTTTCTCAAACCTCAACACTGAAGTAAACTATTATTTCAATGCTGCTGGAGATGCTTGGGACCCAGTTAAGTTCACATGCGAAAAATTTGAATGCAAGAGAATAGAAAGCAGACTTGCAGTCTATATGTTGGACCCAGATATTTCAAATGCTTTAGCTGCCAAATATATTGCAGTTCCACTTATGTTCCCTATACACCAAATATCTGTCAAAGACTTTGCAGGTGAAGTTGGAAACCAAAGTGCTGACCCAGGTGCAAGAACAGATATTGCTTTAACAACTGCAATGAAACATGCAGATACTATGTTTGTACTGTTCAGACGAACTATAAATGACTATTCTTGCTTCTACAACCCTGGTATTAAATACCATATAAACATAGATGGCAAATATATCCAAGAGAAGAATATTCTACAGTTGAGGATATGAGGTCATACAACTTGACATTAGATGCTATGAACTTTAACAACAACTTCACAACAACCATTAACCCTGAAATGCAAAGTTCTATTATGCCATATGTGAAAGTATGGACTCATACAGGAGGTCAAAAAACTCAATATACAAATGGAGACCGTTCAAACTTTTGGCTTGGCATTCCATTTGCTGACTCAGAAGACTTTATGGGTGGTATTTCAACTGTTGGTACAGTTCAAATACAATATACTGGTGACAGAGACGGTCCAGATGAATTGAAAGCAAAGAAGTTTACAAAACCAATAGCACTTTTCACGGAAGATGCTCTTTTGAAGATTCGTTCGATGAAACCTGCTGGGGCTCCTCAGATTGGCATAACGACAGCTTCCATCGAGCAGATTTTGGCAGCAGGTCAGTAAGTTGTTCTTGAACTGACTTCTCTCCGTCAAATATTGACAGTACGCCAGTTTTGACATAGTATTGTATTATAAACTTACCTTTAGAAATATCGGTCAGTTTTGTTGTTATATTTTTGTCTGCTTCAAGAACTTTCACCATTTCAGTTATACCAACTTTCTTTGCTTTATGAAAATATTTTGGTTCAGCAAAGACTGCTATTCTATAACATTTACCATTGTTTGTATAAAGAACTATTCTGTCAATGTATTTGTATTGTTTGTGTGTGTAAACTTTGTTCTGCTTCAATTCGAAGAGATACTCGAATACGTCCATCTTTTTATTCTAAGTAAAATGTCATTTCCGAAAAATAGAAGCGTAAGTGTTTCAAAAGGTTTAATGGCGGTGGCAGATGTGAAGTTAAATTCACCAACTCAAACAAACAGTCAAAGTGTTGTTGTCAATGTCAAAGAAAGAGATGTTGAAGTGGGGAAACCATACGAAGACGAAGATGGTATAACAATAGTTCCTGTAAAAGAACAACCAACATACCCTGAAGTTAGCAGAGACTTAAGTTCTGTTGCAGATATTCGAAACGACTACCAACAACTTAAAGACAAACTTAAAACTCAGGAGAAGATTTGTCAAGCTTTGGGTATAATGTTAAACTTGGTCGAACACAACCCTGTAAAAGTGAACTCATATGTCATCGCACCTCATGAAATTTTGAAAGAACTATTGAAACTTTTGACAGAGGCAGACGATATAAACATCAAAGAAATAGAACCCGACATTGCTTGCTGTGGTGTTTCATATAATGTCATTGACAAGATATACGTTATGAAAGGAGGTGAAACGTTGAACTTAAAATATAGTTTCCCAGACGTCATAAAAATATTTGACGACCACAACATTTCATTAAAATTTACTTGCTAAGTAAATGGCAGAAGACATAGTGGTTTATACTATTACGACTAAAAACCCTGAGTCATATAATTCTATAACAACAAACTTACAAAGTCCTCAAGGACGATATTGTAAACTGACCTTAAACACGATGACGACTAAAGCCTGTTTTGCTCTTTTGACACCAGAAGACTTTGTTGTTGTGAATGGTAAAAAATACTTCTTTGAAGATACTTACTCAGATATACCACCAACAGGTTTTGTTGACTTATTTAATACTTTAAGGACGGATGTAACATGTGCTGCAACTAGAGCAGGTTTCATTATGTTTGGATGTCCGACTGAGTTTAGTATAAACGATATGAGCTATAATACAAAACTTATATCTGGTTTTTACTACCAACAGTTTCCTATAACAGGAAAAGGTGTCATACAAGGTTTGTCTGTTCCATTGACTTTAAGTACACCTATTTTATATATTGTTTCAAACTTAGGTTCAAAGTGCTATTCGAATGTCGACAGAAACTACTATGACCAAAAGATACTCATGCGTATAAACAACACTTTCTCTGCTGGTTTGCCTATTGTTCATTCGAATGCAGAGTTTTCAGCTTTAGTAAACTCAAACACTTTAGCAAACATAAACTTAACCTTAGTTGACGCAAACTTTGTTCCTGTAAAACTTTTATGTCCTATGTATTTGTCAATGACGGCAGAAAGTTTCGAATTGGAAGATGCAACTGGTGAAAGTATTGTACTACAAGAACAACTTCAACAACAAATAGCTCAAGAACAACAAATGCAACAAATGCAACAAATGGAACAAATGCAACAACAAAGTCAAGAATAAAAAAAATATTTTTTTTATTTTTATAAAAATGTACAGAATAGACGTTTCAGATTTTTATGACTTCCAAGCGTTCAGAAATATGTGTCCATTTAGAGACTATAACAAAGCAGTCGAGAATTTGAAACGTTTAGTCATTTATGTCGACTCTGCCCCAGAATGTTATGTCATGAAAGAATGGGATGTTGTCTTTAACAAACCAAGAGCAACAATAGTTTCAGAACAAGAATGTAGACAGAAACTTAAGAAAATAAAAGTCGTACAAGTTGGTATGAAGATGTTAGATGCTTGGGATATCTTATTGTCAAAGTTAGAAGATTTTTCAGTTCGTGGTATAAAGTTCTATACACCATCTCCAAACTTCTATTCTATCTTCACTGGATATAAATACGAACAAGTAGAATGGAAAGAAAATGTTATAGAAGCTTGGTTAGACCATGTCAAAGAAATTATATGCAATGGAAACGAAAGAGTCTATGAGTATATCTTATGTTGGTTTGCAAACATCTTACAACATCCAAGTGCTAAAAATGAAACTGCTCTCATCATAATTGGAAAACAAGGAACAGGTAAGAACACTTTCTTTACAGATATTTTGCAAACTGTTAGAGGGCTATTCGAATCCGAATATGACAAACTTAGAAAACATCTGTGGCAAGTTTAACTCTCAATAGAGAATATGAAACTTATAGTATGTAATGAACTTCAAAGTATAGATACAACAAAAGTTTTGAACTCAGATGCTTTGAAGAGTCTTATAACAGACAAAGTTGGAGTTGTTGAAAGAAAATATAAAGACCAAAGAGTTTGTGAAAATGTTGCAAACTTCATTATGGTTTCAAACAATGCTGTTCCGATGAAGTTAGAAAGTTCTGACAGAAGATATGTAGTTGTCAGAACGTCAGATTCTCATATGCAAGATACAGAATATTTTGACGACTTAGCAGAAACTTTGACACTGACTTTTACAACCACTTGTTCTCATATTTTATGACATTAGATATTTCAAAGTTCAATCCAAGACAAATTCCACATACCGAAGAGAGACAAACATTGTTAGAAGCAAACAAGAGTGTATATGAACTGTTCATAGATGAAACTGACTTTGAGTGTTTAGATGAAAGGTCATTGTACGATTCGTATAAACAATATTGTCAAGAATATGGTTATATGACAGCGTCTAAACGAACATTCTTGGCAAATGTCAAAAGTCTTTTAGATGTTCAGAATGGTGTATATACAAAGAAAATTTTTTCTGAGTAAATTTTAAAAAAAAATATTTTTATTTTATTTGAAATGTACGCTGAGTTTGTTGGAGAAGACCGTTGGGAAACTTGTTTGTTAGATGAGAAATATGAAATTCACTGTTGTGAGTCATTTGAAGTCAGAAACAAAAAGACAAAAAGAGTTTTAAGCGAATGGGAGCGAAATGACGGATATGCTGATATGAAGATGGGTGGAAAACACTATCTTAAACATGTTGTCATTGCAACTCATTTTATACTGAATCCTAACAATTTACCTTTTGTAGACCATATAAACCGTATAAGAAACGACAATAGACTTGAAAACTTACGTTGGGTCACTGGTTCTGAAAACAATAAGAACAAAAGCAAATTTGGAGATATAGTATTCGAATTTGTCGACGAACTAGAAGATGAAGCAATTGAAATTACAGACTATGGCAAGCATACGTTTGAGTTTTACTACTACAGCGAAGAACAGGACTCTTTCTACTTTTATACCGGCGTAAACTATAGAAAATTACAAGTATGTTTTACTAAGGCAGACTATGCTTATGTATACGCTAGAGATACAGATGGAAAATACGTTAGACTATTTCTTAACAAATTCAAGAAGCTATATGGCATACCATTTTAAAACGTTTTAAAAAAAAATATTTTTTTATCCGATAGAAAAGATGACGAAATATATTTCAGTCAACAAGTACATGACAGAAGTCAAAGAAGAACTAGACCCATTCGCTTATTTGAATGTTTACTTCTACCATTTTGAAAAGTCTACATTTGACAAAGTTTGGAACATCGAACCAGTTAAGTTTGCTATTGTGACTAAAAATGGTGCGAAATTTGAAGACTTAGACATAGAAGGTTTGTTAGCAGTCAAAGAAAATTTTGACAGAAGGTTTTCAAACCTTAAAGAAGGCAAAGCATACAAACTTGTTATACCTTATGAACCAAAGAAAGCAGACGACTATGAATATTATGAGTCTAAGATAGTTGAAGTTCAAGGTAAATTGGGTAAAAAGATTTTAGAGTCTAAACCAGTGTTTGCTCCTAAAGAGGAAGAGAACATTGACATTGACCCAGAAATGTTCTAAAAATAAAATTTTATTTTTACATGTCAAATTTCTTTTTCTCTGGCTCTGGCTCTGGCTCTTTCTTCTCTTCTTCTACTTTCTTTTCTTTCTTTTCTCTCTTCTTCTTCTTCTTCTCTGGTGGAGTTATGTCAAATTTGGCGCAACCATATTTATGTAAAAGGTCTTTGTCCTTTAATAGCTCTTCTATTCTGTTTTCTATTTCATCTTCAAGAACAGCGCATGTGTCTTCTTTGCATTCTAAGAACTTTTGTTGGACTTCATCTTTCCAATCGGCGTCATCTCTGTCAACAAGTCTGTCATTGACAAACTTAAAGACTTCTCTGCTTAATGTTTTATGGTTCTTGTCATATTCCCAGAAACAGAACTTTAGAACAAATTCACCTTTCTTGTTGACACTATGTAAGATTTTATGGTCGACAGATGTTTTGCTGTCGAAAAGTTTGTCTCGAATATAGATAGCGAAATCGCTAGACATTTTCTAAAAGATAAAATTTTTAATTTTTCTAAAAATATGTTAGAAAAAAAGTTTGCTGACATTGACAAGAAATTTGAGAATGTTTTAAACAAGAACAAGAGGAAGTTAGAAAATGCTCAGATAAAGCCTATACATGACAAGTTCTTATTTGCTCAGAATGGTATAACAGGTCTAATTGCACCACCTGGGTCGGGTAAGACTTTCACTTATCTTAAAATGGCTGCACAACAACAAGAACTAGATGAGAAGAACCCATTCTATGAGTTAGTTGTCATTTGTAGTACTTCTGGTCAATTTGACCAAACCGTCAATTCGTTCAAAGATATTATAAAGAAGTCTAAGTTAGTATGTATAAAAGACTCTGAGTTGTTAGATTGGATAAAGAAGTACCAAAGAAGAGTTTTGAAGTACAATGCTATAAATGAGTATGTCAATTCGAAGTTTAAAGACCCAAATGAGGAAATGCAGAGAATATTAGAGAAGAAACACTTCAGAAACAAACAGAAAGAGATAGAATACATTTCGAAGAAATTGCAATCTTACGATTGGAAGACTTACCCTCATAGATGTCTTCTTATCTTAGATGACTTTGCTTCTCATCCTTTGTTAAAGAACAGAGAACAAGACATGTGTCGAATTCTCAAGAAGCTCAGACACTTTAACATTTCAGTTGTCATTTGTGTACAGACAGCCAAGAGTTTAAGTAAGGATGTAAAGAGAATACTTACTGATATCATACTTTTCCCTGGATTGTCCGAAGACGATTTCATGGAACTTATGAAAGAGTCCATGGCAGGTAAGTTTGACAGACATGAACTATGGGAGAAGTACAAAGTCATACAAGACCCTCATACTTCTTTCAGAATTCATATCTACGCAAACAAAGTTCAAATTGTAAAAAGTCAAGCTTGAAAAATAAAGAGTTTTGGCGACCAGGGTTTTTTCACTACTCGCTGTTCTTCATGAAATTTCATACGGAATTCAATAAAAATAATGTTTATGTTAGAATGTTAGATCTAACATGTTTTCTAACATGTTTTCTAACATGGTCTAAAACATACAAAATTCATGAAATTTCATACGGAATTCAATAAAAATAATGTTTATGTTAGAATGTTAGATCTAACATGTTTTCTAACATGTTTTCTAACATAACTATTTACAAGCGTTTTACATGGTATATGTTGCGATGGTTCATGACTCTAAACAATTTCGTAGCTTCTATTTCTTCTGTCAGTACATCGAATGTTTTAACGATACCGAAAGTTTCTTTATACTTCTTCTTGACGTCAGATAGAAGGAAATCGTCAGCAGTTGGATAGTTTTTGTTCAGAAATGCTAACATGTTCATTTTATCTTCTGCTGGCTTTTCTGCTTCTTTCTTTAAGTCTGCATAGTCGTTTCTCATTCTTTCTATCTCTTTGACTGAGTAGTTATATTTCCTCATTGCTGCTTTACATTTAGAACATTGCGGGTTCATTTTTGCGTTATATTCTGAAACCTTACCTGCTAAAACAACTAAGGCGTCAATTGCTCTCTTCATCTCGAACATAGCGGGTCTTATTTGTTCGTTCCATACCTTACCTCTTCTATCTTTATCTCTTATTTCCCAAACACATTTTGCAACTAATGAAACAAAGTTGTCGTAGGTCTTAAATTCTTCGGATTTGTAAAGGTCAGAGATGTTCTTATATACCATGTCGCAATCTTTGTCCATAACCTTATGGTTGCAATGAAATCCTAGAAACTCATAGTTTACCTTTCGTATGAACTTCTTTATTTCTACTGAGTCAGTAACTTTAACTTCAATTTCGTCGAATTCAGGAATAGTGAGTTTTTGTTGTTGGATTTCAGGCAATTTGGGTAAATGGTCAATAATGTCCTGCATTTCATAAAGATACTGTTCATTTGTTTCATCTTTCGCACTACAGTCTAAATTACTTGTTAAAAGTTCTTGCTTTATCTTCTGGATTTTTGTTTCGAAAGTATATGAAGAAGGAATGAAGTTTTTCATCTCTACCAACATAGATGTTGGATTCATAACTAACGAGTTTGGTGCTGTAGTTGTTTGAACTGTTGTTGTGCCGATTGTTGAAATCATATTTTTTATACAAAATAAAAAAATATTTTTTTAAAAAAACCAACTTTATTTTTTATTTCGGGAAAACTCATGAAAATTCAAGAGTTTTAGACCATGTTAGAAAACGTGTTAGAAAACATGTTAGATCTAACATTCTAACATAAACATTATTTTTGCTGAAAAAGTGTTATTTTTTCATGTCCGAAGACTCGAAGGTGCAACACTTCCAAAATACCGACGAACTCAGAAGAGCAGCATGGCAGTATCTTCTTGACAACTTCTTTGAGTTCTCCAGGCACACCTTGGAAAATGCTGAAGAACTCCGACACAGAGAATTTGGAGAAATTGCACTCCAATACTACCTTGACAAACAAAGGGTAAACAAAGGGTAAAATAAGACTAAAAACTTAACGTTTAAAAAGTGACATTTTTATGAGCTCCGAGTCACCGAGAAAACTTGGTCAGATGTTAGCAGCTTACTTCCCTGAGGAGGATGGAAGCGTTACATACGTAAGGTTCAAAAACAACGAACCTGGAATTGCGTACCAAATTCGCAATTACATGACCATGGAAGAGTACGAAAGGTTTCTACAAGAGAAACCAGCTCTAAACAACTCAGAAAAGAAAGAATAAAAAGTTTAACTCGTAATTGTTTATTTTTTTACTTGTATGGGCAAGCTGCAAGAATGAAGTCGACTATCTCGGTCTTTGTCTTGACCAGTTGGACTGCTCTTGCGAGTACGTCTGTTTTACGGTCTCCAGCTGGTGTCTGACCTTCGTAATTGCGCATGTTCTTGAGAGCTCCAGTTGTAAATGGTTGTAGGATGAAGAGTCTCTCAGACTGCTTGAGGTAGTCTTCACGGTCACGAACCGAATCTGTGGTACGAGTCGAATCGGTCGATTTGAGGGAAGAGAGTGAGAGCCTGTCTTCTTCCATAGGGGCTGTGGCATACTCTTTGCGTAAACGGTTCAGACCTTCTTCGAACTCTTGGTCTCTCTTGGACTGAGATTGGAATTTGAATTGGGGTGGAGGGTTTGACATGAACATCCAAGGGTTAGGGAAGTAAGGCATGGGTTGAGGAGGGTAGTTTGGAAAGCCTTGTGGTGGGTAGTTTGGAAAGCCTTGTGGTGGGTAGTAACCTTGAGGTGGAAATTGGTAGTAATTCGGAGGTCCTTGTTGGAACTGAGGTTGCTGTGGGGAGCCTTGTGGAGGTGGAACCTGTTGTGGTGCTGGAGCATGCTGTTCTTCTGGCTGTGGAACGGGTTCAGTAGGTGGGACGTCGGACATTCGTTTGTGTCTTAACCGTCTTTGTTCTGAAACAATATAATATTGTCTTGAAAAAGTACAATATTGTCTTGAAAAAGTACAATATTGTCTTGAAAAAGTACAACATTGTCTTGAAAAAGTACAACATTGTCTTGAAAAAGTACAACATTGTTCTGAAAAAGTACAACATTGTTCTGAAAAAGTACAACATTGTTTGAAAAAGTTCAAGACTTGTTCTGAAAAAGTACAGCCGTACTCAAATTTGAGAGACATTGTACTGAATTTATACAACATTGTTCTGAAAAAGTACAACATTGTCTTGAAAAAGTACAACATTGTCTTGAAAAAGTACAACATTGTCTTGAAAAAGTACAACATTGTCTTGAAAAAGTACAATATTGTACTGACTCAGTATGGAGCTTGACCCCTTAGACGAAGCAATTTATCTAATTGAGGTAAATGAAACCGTGAAGGAATATCTCAGCAAGTGCAAACCAAGCAAGTCCATTGGCTTCTGGTTGTCCAAGAATAGTGTCTTAAAGTTGGAAATTGAAACAGGTGTTGCAATTCAAGTTCCAGAAGGCACTGCATTCGATGATATTAAGGATGTGAAGAAAGAAGCCCTCTTGAAGTTCTTCATGAAACGTCCTTGGATACTACTTCCATATCGTGAGAGCCCAATTCCACGAATTACACAAATTCTCAGAGCACTACTTCACTACTCTGGACAGCCGTTCTTCATAACCTCAGAAGGCGACATCCAACCAATTCAGTAAACATCTCATTTTAACTTCACTTTTTTTATGTTTTTACTCACACTCGTACTCAACAGGTTTGTGTACAACTATTTCAACTGTGAACCTTGTATTGACCGGTCTTCCTGCAAATGCAAGTTCGGTCAATACACAATTTATGGTGGCAAGAAAGACAGTGGGGAATGTTATTCTGACATCTGTTGTTGCGCTCGAGAGAGAATTGAAATTCCAGACCCAACTCCAACAAGAACTCTCAAGTTGCCGAAGACTCATGTGAAGAAGAAGCCTTCTGGTAAGTTTCTTATAGCCATATACATGGCACGCTTTGAGTAAAAACATTTTTTTCATTTTTTGAATGAAGCAAGTTAAATTCGTCCCACACCAAACTCAATGGACCGATGAAGAGTTTCAAGCTATGGTTGAAGGTGTTGAGAACGACATAGACGGCGAACTTGAAGGAGCTCAAACCACAATTGCAACCAAAATTGCAGAAGTCAAGGAACAAATAGCTCCACTTAAAGCTACCAAAGCTACTCTTGACCTCATGGATACTTACCGTTTAGAAGTAAAGAGTGGAATAAGACAATTAAAATTAAAACTTCTAAACTACGAAGCTATACTCCAAAAGTTAGCAGAAATGAGAAGACTTTACCAGAGCTACTTACATGTAAGGGACTTACCTTCAAGCAGTCCGACCAAAGATGAATTTTCTGACATTGTCCCAATTTTGTCCGAAAGTCAGCTCAGATGTTTTGAACTGCTCCCAACATATCCAGAATATGAACGTTTGCCTGAACTCTTCCGCAATCTCAAAAAACGTTTTTTGGTTCTCATGTTCGAAACTTTTATCGGAAGAGACAACAAACGTTCAGAAGAAGAACAAGATATTATTTTAAACTTGTTGTATGACTTAACCGTCATAACAAGCTTTTTGAAGTAAAACCGTCATTCTCAAACCACTTCATTTTTTCGATGTCCGAACAAGCACCGAAGCCGAACACAATGGAAGATGTCCTTTCAATGTTGCCAGACAAGCGCCCAGTTCAAATTCAAATTTTGAATTTGAAAGCTCATCTGACAAACACCGTTAAGACTCTCCAAAGTAGTCTTATGGAAGAGATGAAGGGACTTAAAGGTGAGTTCCTCATGAACCAAGCTTCCAATGAGAAAGTCCTGAACGATTTGACGGAAACCTTGCGCATTTACGCGAGAGAGAACCGAGACCTTGCCAGACTCATCTACCGTTTCTTCGAAGAGATAGACGCCATCTGGAAGGTACTCGGAAAGGACAGAACCTCCAACACCGTACTTCGTGAACACAGAATTGCCGAAGGAATTGTCGAGGAAGAAGAGAAACACGAAGAAGAGGAAGAGGAAGAAGAGGAAGAAGAGAAACACGAAGAAGAGGAAGTTTGGGCAACCCTTGTTGCCGATGACACTTACGAAATTTCCCAACCCTACCCATACCAAATCCGCAACAAGGAGACCGGCAAGGTTCTTACCCCAGTTCTCAACAACTTGGGACACTTGAACCTTACCCTTCGGAATTACGGTTCAATCTCCATGGGCAAGCTTGTCGCAATTCAATGGGTTCCAAATCCAAACAAGAGGACGAAGGTCAGACACATTGACGGTGACAAGCTCAACAACCGTAAGGAGAACCTCGAGTGGTTCTAAGAGTAAAAAAATTTTATTTTAGGGGGAAACCCCGAGTAAATTTAAGTTTTTAGTTGCGTAAGCGGCTTAAATTAAGGATAATTTGGACAAGTAGTTCCTGACCTCTGAATTGGACTCTTTCGTCATCCCAGTTGCGTAGGAGGTCGTCCCAGAGGAGTTGGTAGAATTGCCATTCCAAGGACGATTTGTCCTCCCAGGCATTGAGGATGTACTGCTCGTAGAGTCTCATGACCTCTGCCTTGCACCAGACACCCTCTCCCTTGGAACGTAAGGCTTCTTCGAAGTGCTCGAATGCGATTGGCTGCGGGACCATCCGAAATGACACTTTTTGTCCGTTTGGTCAATGTTCGTGTCTCGTGCCATAGTCGACGAAAATACAGACAAACAGGTTATATATGAGTTTGAGACCAAGAATGGTGTAACTCGACCTGTCCGATTCAAATTCGAATAAAAATTTTTTATTTCATGCAATGTTTTATTTCTGTGCCGTCTTCAAGTATGCCCCAGTACTTACGCTTGGAGAGGACATGAACTTCGGTGAAAATTTTGTCCAATTTGAATTGACCCATCTTTTCACCGACCATTCCCATTTCAATGAGTTTGTTATAGCCTTCTTCGTTCGTCATGAGCGCATCGATGTTCTCATAGTAAACCTTCACTTTGGATTTAACTTCGGAGAAGAATTTGTTGTAGTTGTCAAGGACTGCCTTTGCGAACTGAGGGTAAGACCAATGTTCGACAATAGGTTTTACTGTGGTTACTAAGCCACCTTGACCTTGAGTAAATTCGTATTTCAAAACAAAAGGGGAGAACCTTTCAACAAAGTTGTCGACCTTCTCATAGTGTTTACTCTTCATCTTTTGAGGTTTCTTAATGGAATATCCCCATGTCGAATTCATAAGCAATTTGAGTGTCATTGCAAGTTTGGGGTTTGAAGCTTTCCTAATATCATACAGTTGTTGTATGACTTTTCCAACTGTATAGTTCCTTCCTGGGAACTCACCGTCTTCGTTTGGAATTCCAGTCGGGATATATTGGACGAACCTCATGTACGCAGCGTTAAGGTCGACATAGTATATCTTTTCATCTGAGTCGAACTTGTCGCAACCAATGGGTCCAGTTCGTGGAAATTCAAGTGAGTCTCTTATCTTCTGAGAAACTTCGCCTGCTATCTCATAAACATCGTCGAAGCAACCTGTTTCATATAAAACCTTCTGACCTAACTCAGATGCTCTCCAATACAATTTGACGTCAATTGGATGTCTCAATGGAAGTTTGTTTATAGCATCTTGAAGTTCTTGCAACCTCATTGGAAGTTCTTCTGGTTCAGGTTGGTATCCGAACAATCCAACTCCTTTTGGAACTGTGTACTTCTTTTGTGCTAGAACTTTGTCTGGAACAACTTTTGGTCTTGCTAACAATGAAAAGTTTGTTTCGTCTTTTGGTACAAAAGTTTCTGTCAGCTTGTCATCTGGAATTGGTTCCAACAAACCTTTCTCGAAAAGAATGTTTACAGCTCTGACAATGTTGCACTTGCCTTTTCCGAACAATGGGTTTGTAAGACTTTCGTTCAACATGAAGTGGTTGTGGACAATTACAATCTTCAACCATGGTAAGTCTTTGTCAACAACATAGTCGTCATGTGAAGAACCTTTAGCTGTAGGTATGTTGACTCGGATATTGACATTTGCCAACGGTGCAACTTTTGCCAATTGACCTCTGAGAATGTACCTTGTCTTCACACATGACTCAAGATACTTCATCTTCTCATCTGTAACAAGACCAGAGTTCCTGAGACATGTAAGAATACAAGGTTCATTGACAATTGTTTCAATTGAATTGTAAATTCCATACCTTGTCAAGTCAATGTCAGACTTATTTATGAACGGGAAGTATCCAGCATGTTGTCTGACTGCTTGAGGGTTAGGTTGGTACCATTCAAATTTTACACTTGCAATTCCTTCAATTGCATTCAAAATGTCTGAGTCGGAGTCAACCATTTGTTCTCTCTTTGTAGTCTTGAAAGCGTCAAGAAGCATTGCAGCTGTTGTGACATTGCCATGTGCATAGTATATATGACCGTCCAAATCTGTTACGGTTAGTCTGAGATTGTATCCTTTCTTATTTCCGTCTTGTATGGCAGCAAGTACTCCCATGAAGCCTTCTTTGTTCTTTCCTTCGTCAAAGTTTACTGTAAAGGTTCGACCAGATGTAATTTGACTTCTAACTTCACGGTACTTTTCATATGCATATCTTGTTCTTTCCATGGGAGCATGTTTGTCTTCACCTTTTCCTTTTTTCCTTCTCAAAGGATGCAATTGTTCGTCGTGTTTCCAGTAGAATCTGGCAAAGCCGTCGTGTCCTTCAACTTGAGGTTCAGAAACATCGAAAGGCATGTCCATAAGACGTTCTTCTTCTAACCTCTCTAGTCTGTTTGGATAATTGGCGCGCGCTGTTTCCAAGTCCATTTCATAGCGAAGACCAGACAGTTTGTCATAGACTTTTATGGGTCTTCCCTTCCTATATTTAAAATTCTTCGAAACTTTCCAACCATATCTTTCTAACTCTGCTTTTATTCTAGCAGACTTTCTATCCATTCTATATGGGGGCATTTTTATAAAAATAAAAAATGTTTTTTTTCTTTACTTTACGTAACCACCGGCTGCCATAAGTCTTTGACGCCAACCCATACCAGCTAATGAAGGTTGACTAACCTTTGGTTTTGGTTTATCTTCAGTTTTTGGCTTCCCTTCTTCTATCGGTTTTTCGTCACTTTTCGGTTCCTCTGACTTTACCTCACTTGCAGGTATGGTTGTGTCGTCAACATCTTCATAAATATCATATGCCATTTGTTTTTGTTTTCCTTTCAACTTTTTGTGTTTGTTGTAAAGTTTAGAATATTTCGACTCTAAGTCAATGAGATGTTCTATAATGAACTGTTGGTCAGTGAAGTAAACTTTTCCATCTGTTGTCTCGAAAGCTCCTTCAGACTTCAATATTTTATTTGTGAGAGTCTGTTTCTTTTTTGAGATACTAGCCGTTCCATTTCTATGAAAAGTGACTTTGTAGTTAGGGTTTGTATTTCCAGACCTGGCACTTTCTATTATTGAATTTTTCTCTTCATCTGTAAGTTCTTTGACAGGTTTTGACAATGGTTCTGAACTTTTTGTTTGTGGTGTCAAATCTACCGTTTCAACTTCTTCGGTCATTTCATCTCAGTAAAAAATTTTAGTTTGGTTTGTTTTCAACTGGTTGTTTAGGTTTTTTAAGTCGGTCTAAAACTTCTTGAGGTATAGGAAGAACTTGACAAACACGTGGTTGTGTAACTGCTGGAAGCCGACAAATCCATCTTGAGCCCATTTGTCTCAATGCTGTATTGTTCATTTCATCTCAGTAAAAAAATTTACATTCCCCACGTTTGAGGCGGTTGCGGTTGGTTGTTGTTTACCCACTGTTGTGCATGGTTATATCCTCTGTTAAAGAATCTTTCACCTTGGTCCATGTAGTGCCCTGCTTGGTTATAGTAGTCATTTGCTTTGTTATAGTAGTTTCCTGCTTGTCTTCCTACATTGTCCATCCATCCTTGAACTTTTCCTCTTGTTTCAGGATTTGGAATAAGATTTGCTGCATCTCGTGCTACATCCCAACCTTTCTGTACAGTTTGTATAATAGGTTGTGCTTTCTCTTTAAGTATACCTAATGTACTCAAAATCTTCCTTCCAATTCCAAATGCACCTCTGGCTATTGTTCCCACTGCGGGCAAAAATCTGGATGCAACTCCTGCTAATGCGCAAATAAACCCATTTCTTATAGGGTAAAAAATGACGAATCCAAACAAGGACCCCTATGTTTCTAAGGCAACAAAGAAAGCACTCATGATAAAAATCTTTAGTTCAACACCAAATGCTTGGTTTATGGATATCTTGGAAAACATTCCGAGGTATAGAGAAGATGGACCACCATACTGGCTAATATTTGTCGGTCAAAACACAAGATACTGTGAAGCCATACCATTACAGTCCAAAAATATTTTAGATGTGAAAACTGCTTTGACAATATTTGTTGACAAATACCATCCAACAAAACTGACATCTGACTGTGAACGTTCTTTCAAATCAGACGATATTAAAAACTATCTGCGTTCAAAAAATGTAAACCAATATTTCATTGTCGACCAAAACTTCTGCTCTTGGTGTCATTGACAGTTGTATAAAAATCTTAAGAGACTTAAATCAACCACAAGGTGGTGAGGTAGATGAAATGTCATATGACGACAAATATAGACACTTCTCCATGGCAAAGATGAGACAAGTTTTAAATATTTACAATAGCCGTAAACAAAAAGGTTTGGGAAACCACTCCCCCGAAGAAATGAAAAACAACCCCGACTTAGAGAAAGACTATATATTTAATAGTTTAGTCAAAAGAGACAAACAAGAAAGAATGCCAGGCTTCAAACTTAAGAAAGGTGACAAAGTAAAATAGAAATACCTAAACGCGACCCATATGAAAATACTATTGACTATGACAACAATGGGAACTCGACAGGTACTCGCATTCGTGTTCGTAAAAATAGAAGAAAGTATACAAGAGAATATTATGAAGTTTTAGGCAAACATGGCAAAATGTACACACTGCAAGCAGAAGATAAAACTACTATTGTCAGACCTCGTTTCAAACTTGTCAAAGTTCAAGGTGGTATACTTTCAAAGACAGTTCCTAACAAATATAAGACAACTCCTGACGAATATGCTAAAGAAGTTGAAAATGACGACTAAGCATTTCTATACCATGCGTAAACTGTCATGTAAGGTGGCATGTAGTCTTTACTCTGTCCCGTTGTTTGCGTATACCCTGAAACGCGATGTGTATGGCTTCCTCCTACCTCAGTGTTACTCCAGTAACAATTTATAGCAAACTTAACGTCCTCTTTAACATCATATCCTTTACCTTTTGTCATTCCTGACCAATCCCAAAATCTATGACTATGCAAACCTGCTTCAGATGTACTTAAATTTATGTAGTGACTGTGCGCAGGTAAATTTGCACCTGAAATCGTTTTACTTCCACCTGTTTCCTTTGAAGAGTTTGCACAATACAAAAACCTGTCGACTATTTGAGTCCAAGTTCCAAAACCAAGTACTACTTCTGGTCTGGTAGAGTTCATTGACGTATAAATAGAGCCTATAGGATATAGTGTTTGAAGTATTTCTGTCTTTAACGTTTGAAGCTCTGTTTTGTCAGCTTTTTTATCTAACTCATCGTTAACATATGTTTTGTCAGCTTTTTTATCTAACTCATCGTTAACATATGTTTTGTCAGCTTTTTTATCATATAAATCTTGAGCAGTGAATTTAACTTTGTTTTCATCCTCCATGACATAGACATTTCTACATTTAATGTCTTTCATCGTTGTTATGTCATCCTCCGATGTTAAACCTTGTGGAAAGTTAGGAGGTTTCCAATTTAATACATCCCCACCAGTTCCATCAGGTTCTTCAACCGTTCCTGCAATATTTCTATACCAACAGTTGCGAAGAAATCGTGTGTATGTCCAACGTCACTTTTCCTGTTTAAGGTTTCTTGTAAGTTTGTAATATTTGCAATGGTATGTGTATGAGTCTTTTTAGAATATTCTTTGTCAGCTCTTGTCACTTCACTTGACATTTTATTGTCAACATATGTTTTATCTGCTAGTTCAGGATGAGTATGTTCTTTCGTTGCATATGTTGCATCTGCTCTGTCATGTTCTTCTTGAACTTTTTCAATGACATACTCTTTGTCAGCTTTGTTGTCAATATCTGCCTTCAAAAGAAGTTCATCTATAGGTTTCTCGTTTAAAGTTCTTTTTGTTGGATTTATACAAACAGTATGGTTCTTACTGTCTTGAAACAGAAACTCGTCTGTCATTGGGTTTATCGTCAGTTTTAAGTTTCCTTCTTTCAATGACTCAGATATCTTAGAATAGTTTGAAAAGTTTGTTGTGTTCTTATTTAGAGCTTGCATAATGAGTTGTCGGTTGTGTTGTATTTCTCTCATAGACGCTGTTTCTTTCGACATTTTTATTCTAGATAAAATATGCTTCCAATAGAAAAAGAAAATTCAAGAGTTGCTACAACTAAACCATTAGATGAACTTTTTACGAATGTCGGTCAAAAGTTTGAGACAGAGACCGTAAAGCATGAAGGCTATCGTTTTGACTACCCACTTAGATGGCTAAGAGACCCATCTGTCACAAAAGCTATTGGCTTTCGTAGAATGAAGTTTGTGTCTGTAGAAGATAAAAGTTTTCCATTTATTGTAAGGTTTCATATAGATTATATATCTGAAGGGAAACGAAAAATGTGGGAAGAAATTGAGCTAATACAAGTTGACCTTTCATCTTCTCTACAGACTGCGTTAAAAAATATAGAAGATAAAATAAATTCATGTTATGCAAAATATGCTGATGAATATGCAAATACCGAGAGCACACTTTATGTGAGAATTGTATATGACAAACAAAATTCACAAGTGTCATTTCAAATCTACGAAGACAATCCAAAGAAAGACGAACAAATATATACAGAATTCACTGCAATGTCATGGTATTATTTGCAAAGAATGTTAAATCAGAAAGTCGAACTTCCTTTAGCAAATATTTACAGTCGATATGCAAGAGATGAACCATATTTATTTAAAGATGTTTTCGACCCAGCTGCTATTATTGTTCATGCTTCATTTTCTGGCGCCCAAAACTCTTTCTTATGCTTGGCAAATGACTTTTACGAAAAACCTACAAAGTTATACGAACCACCAAGTGGAAGTATTTCAGACTTTCAAGTATGGTTTACTACAGATGGAAGAAAAAGAATAATTCCATTATACCATGCGTTTTACTTAGAACTTAGTTTCATATACAACTACTATCGAACGATAAAAATATAATTTTTTAATACGGTTGAGGTGTTGGATTTGGTTGCCAACTAGACTGTGGTGCAGGTTCAGGCTGTTGTATAACAGGAGCTTGTTCTTCTGGTTCAGGGTCTTTAGGTATAATACCAACAAACTGACCTACTCTTTTACCAATATTTTTGACTCCGTTCCAAATTCCTTTTCCGACAGATTTTATTCCATTCCATATACCTCTTCCAACATTTCGAAAGAAGTTTCCTATTCTTCCAAAGAAACCCATTTTACTATATGTAAAAATCTAATGTCCGCCTAGTCTCTTACGTTTCCTGTTGAGTTCCATAGCATTCTTTAACTGGAGCTCATACATTCTGTTTCTCCTCTGGTAGAAAACATATTCTGGGTCAACTCCTGTGTTCGCGTCATCTGCATAAAGTTGTTTATATCCCACTTCAGGGTTTGTATAAAACTCTTTCCATCTCATATTTGCATACCATGGTGGCAAACCTAACGCAGCGTCATTTGACATGGCAGTTTGCATTTGTACATCTGTTGGCACTTGACCATAGTTTGCCATTGCAGTTTGTATTCTAACTTCATTTGGAATATTCTCTGGGTTTGGTTGTCCAGGTTGCTGTGCATTCGCTAAGTTCTGTGCGTCCATTTAATATTAGATAAAAATATCTCTTACGAGTACATATACTGAACATTTGCAGGCATTGGTTCATCTTCATATTCTCTATATCTTTCTGCCACGTCAAATAAGTAAATGACACAATGGAAAAAACCTAAAACAAGTAGTCCTATTTCAAACCACATTTACTTACTAGTAAAATTTCTTTGTTATGACACTTTCTCCAGTTTATAGGACCTCTCTCATATTCTATCTTATCGTATCTAAACTCATAGTCATGTATGTCCTCTAACCATCTCATGACACTTTCCAAACCACTTTTATCGGATGTAAAGTAAAAGCATGGATGGTTATGTAAAACGTCTAAAGTTTCTAAAGAGTCTCTCAAAGTCCAGTCTACTTGGTATTGAAAATCCCATGTGTTATAGAACGGTGGGTCCACTATAAAGAAAACATTTTCCTTGTCTTTATATTTTTCATACAACTCTGTCCAATGACATCTCACAAACTCTATACCCTCAATATATTTTTCTATGTCCTCTTTGAAAACATTTGTATAGTTAAGATATAAAACTTTTGACATAAGTGTTTCAATGTCATGAACTCTTATAGCACCACTATATAATAGTCTAGCAGATATACTATCCCAGTCTATATATTCTGCTTTTTTCAAAACCTCTCTCACAATATTTTTCTTATCTAATGGTATACGTTCCATCTTACCTATAGGTATCTTTTCTTTTAACGCTTTCAATATATTGTTTGTGTCTGGAATATGTTTGAGACGGTCCATATAGTTGTCGAAGTCATTGCATATAATCTTTGAGTCAGGAAATATTGTATGGCACAAATGAGATATATAGAAACTTCCACCGAACAAGTCTACAAATGTTAGACCATTCGGTAGTTTCTTAAGTTCTCTCAATAGAATATCTTTACATCTACTCTTATTTCCAAAGAAGGGTAACGGTGGTTTTGTAAAATTCATTTTATATTTAATAAAAATGTTTTTTCCCTGAAAAGTGACAGAAAAGTGACAAAACATGTACGAAGAAGTCTTGAAAATTCAAGAGGGTAGAAAAGAGGTTAGAAAAGAGGTTATATCTAACCTTCTACCCTAAACATTATTTTTGTCTGATTTTACGAAGAAGTCTTGACAAAACATGAAAACATATATAATTTGTGAAAAGCTCCTGGAAGACCCGTATATAAGAACTTCATTTATACTAAACATCTTCAGGGCTAGAAGGCACGAAGTGCCTGGAAGCCCCACTCCCTTTTTTTTTTTTTTTTTTTTTTTTAATTCTATTAAAATGGATTTGATCCAAAAAAATATAAAACCAAAAATAATTGTTATAATTTAAATGAAGAAGTAATTTAAAACGATTTTATTTATGATCAAATTTTATATATTTTTTTGGATCAAATCCATTTTAATAGAATTTATATACTATTCATCTATTAGTAAACACTACCGTATATTATTTTTTAAGCTATCTTATTTTTTGAACTTTTATTCAAATCTTTGGTCGCAAGAAGAATTGCATGATAAATAAAAACATTTAATCAAAGTCAATTTTATTTTTCATATTCAAATGGACTGAGTGTTAACATTTAACATTTTTTGCTAATTGTCGTCAAAAATTAGGCGTAAAGCAAAAATTGATATTTCATATGGTTTTATGATAGATAAGCATTATATTCCCACTCATTATATTCGTAAATTTTGAGGTTTATCCTTCGCTTTTAAGATCATTGAATTTGATTTTTATATAAAATAGTTATATATTAGAAAATAATATGAGTTTATGTGATATTATTTTTCAGAAGATTTTGTGTTCTTCTTCAAAATTTTATTTTTTTATTAAAAAGAATCTTTACAAAATATACATTTACTTTAATTAATATTTAAAAACGTGCTCTATCAAAAGTTCCAAAAATTCAATATTTTAGCTTTTCTGAGGTGTCACTTTTGATGAATTTCTGTTTACAACATTTTCAACTAGAAGTGAGGTACGGTAATCTTACAGATTCCCGTAACTCAATTTTACGGAAAAAGTGCAGTAAACTACTCAATTTACGGAAAAAGTGTCGTAAACTATTGATGTGGCGGTAAAATCACGGTAATTCACGGAAAGCTATATGCGAAAATTTGAAATTATACAAAATCGAGCGAAACACTTTTAAATAGGTTGTTCTCGTATTTAAAATACTATTCCCAGATTTATTGTCGTCAGAATATTTCCAAATTTTTGCCGATTTACAAAAAATGATTTACAAAGCATATTTTTTAATCTAAAAAATTCCTAAAAAAAGGAACCGGTGTGCGGAAACCCCGGTAAATTACCGCGGTTCCCGTTTGGACTGCCATAATGTAAATTAGTTTGTTTTTCATGAATATAAAAAGTCCGAAATTTCATTTAGATTTTTTTTGTAATAATTTTGTCACTTTTTTATTATGCATAATGAGATTTTAATATTTTTCTTATACATACTAGTATTTCTTTTCATCGCTTCAGATATCAGAATCAAAATACAATTAGATGTTGTTCAATTTATTCCAAAAACTCGTGTGATGCAAAATCAAGTATTTTATAACACAAATTATTCAAAAATATCATATTACGTCGACACAATACCAGAAAGAGAGATCGGTCATGCACTTGTTAGTAAAGGATTTTTCAGTTTATATTCTAAAATCGAAGAAAACGTAGTTTTGCGATCAATTGTATATGTTATTACATATACAGATGCATTTATATCCAAAACTTCTGCTACAAAACGATGCGGCATTCATTTAAGAGAAAATGTTAAAGATGATGATTATAGAGACCACCATACTACTGTTGGTAGAGAGTTTTATGGAGTTATATATATTCAAGAATTCTACATGTTTGGACATCTTGTCCATGATTTTCTTACTTCAATGATGTATGTACCTGATTACGTTAATAAATCTGGTTTTGTCGTAATGAAACCTATAACAGGGCTAAAGATAGCTCAAGATTGGTGTAATTTCCTTCATATCAATGCAAAAGTTGTAGATTTAAAAGTAGGTTCACAAATTCAAGTAAATGAACTAATTGCAATCACAGGCCATGAAAATACACATGGGGTTACAGTTGGAGGAATCAAAAGATTAAGAAAACATATTGAAAATCTGCTCGGATTTGATAAAATTAAACCGTGCAAATATGTATTAGCTAATAGACCTAAAGAAGATCGTCGTTCAATTATCCAGATTGATAAACTATTCGAAGAAGTCAAGAAAATTGATGAAAGATTCATATTATTTAATTATCCAATAAAAAATTTGACTGAAAACGCTCTATTTTGGTCTGATATCAAAATATTTGTAGGACCATGCGGATCTCAGATGTATAATTCAATTTTCATGAGAGAAAGAACTGGATTTTGTTTATTATTCAGTCATATGGACTTGCCAAATGTTCAGTTAGCTTTAGCAAGCAATTTCTTCCTATTTGGATACGTTAGTTCTTGCGAAGTTGAAAATAATTTTGAAAAAATTGATATTTCAAAGTATATTTTTTATATTAAGAAAGTAATTTATTGCGTTGAAAACAATGGATGGGATAATGAAACTCTTTCCACAGAAGATTCCCCTCTTGTATCAAGATTTCCTTATAAATATGTAAAATCAATGCCATATGTTCGTTATGGCTCAGACAATTATCGTATTGATTCTCAGGTTTAGCTTATCTATTGATGTTTTTCATTAAGCTTTTGAAAAAAAGGAAATTTCTCAATTGATTCCCTCATTTCAGTTATACAATCTTGTATAATGAAAATTTAACAATGAACTCTATGCAAATGTTTGTATTAAAGTGATAGCAGAAACATTTGCAAAAATAATTTCGAATTTTCCCGAAAATCAATTCTTTTGCAAGGCCATAATGGTCCAATTCTAAGAGTTTTATTGTAAAAACATCCAGAATGGCTGTTTAACAACAGTATTAGCACTCTTTTATTTGGGAAAAGAGGGGAAAATTTGGGAAAAGAAAAGTGACAAAAATTTTAGATTTGAGTGATACATGAAAATATGACAAATGTTATCTTGCATTTCTCACGCAACTAACTCTCCAATATTCACAAGTTTCTTTGCCAAAGCATCAAAAGAGTTTTTCGACAAGGTTAACGCAGTAATTGAAGAACGAGTTCGACCGGCACTCCTTTCTGATGGAGGCGACATCACGCTAAAGGATATAACCGATGGAATTGTCACCGTACAGATGTTCGGACATTGCGTTGGCTGTCCTTCAAAACAAATCACATTAAACTCAAGAATACTTGACTGTCTTCAAGATGAATTCGGCGATAAGGATATTGTTGATATAAAAGAAATCCCTAATACAGAATAAATGTTTTATATTGCACTTTGATTAAAATTTATGTTTTTTTTAATACAAGTATGTTTTGTGTTACTTTATCTAGTCGTGTAATATAATTATAGATAATTACATTATGCAATCTCATTAAAAATAGTATTAATTCATAATGAGTAAAATATTTTTTTAATCTTGATGAAATTAATTATTTCTTTCCTTAGTCATGGCAGCACTCGCATGATCCTCCTGTTGCGCAGACACAGTCAGGTCCGCAGTGGCAGTTCGGGCCACAGTGGGAGCATCCGCAGCATTTTGCCTTCTTGCAACCTTCACCGCAGCAACCATTCTTCTTGCAGCATTCGCATTGGCCGCCCTGTGTGCATTGGCACTATGGGCCGCATTGGCATTCAGGACCACACTTGCAGTTGGCGCAATATGTACAGTGAGACATATTAATAATGAGCAGATTTTTATCTTTGAAAATTTCTGAAGATTTGAATGCCAGATATAAAATTTTAACATATTGGAAATACATATTTAAGGGGCTTCAAGATTAATTCACATCATATTATAGCAGATTATATGGGATTGCAAAATCATTATTTGAATGTTTTCAATTTTTCGTCACTCCAAAGTCTGACAGAAATAACCCTCATTCTATAGCACTATAGATATTTGTGTGATATATTCTTGAAAGAATTTCAATTTGATCACAAAAATATCAGGAATGAAAAATGTTAACATTCTTTTCTAATTAAAACGTAATATCGTTCTAATGACATAATTTATAAATTAATCCACTAACATATAATAATTCAATGATAGTTCTTTTTGAGAGCTAAAAATTTTAGCAAAATAGGGCAAAAATTGAATGAGTGAAGCGGTTTTCAGTTTTCGAACTATTTTGTAAAGCTTTCAATCTTGGTCAAGAATTTTAAAACTTATAAAGATTTTAGATTTCCATTAGGATACTTCTTTTGGGGAAGAACCAAAAATGGTGATTATCTAATTCATCATGAAACGTCTAAAATTTGTGAAACCAACTCAGTTGGAGATTGTGCTAAAGATACTGAATATTTTTTCGTAATTAAAAAAGAAAACAAATTTCCATTAAATGCCGTGATTATTGGAAATGAAGGAAAAGATTCTGTCGGAACATATTCCAATACACTAGGTGCAATCCAATTCTATTCAGATACTAACACAGATCTCAAGAATCGGGCTGAGCCTCTAACTTATAATCTTATTATATTTATTTTATTTCAATGTTGATTATATTAATAAACTATACTCATAAAGAAAGATCTATCTGATTATATTTTTCTTAAGATATTGGAACTAATACAATTCATCATTTGATATCAATTCTTATACTTCCTCGAAAATAAGATCGATTTTTTCAAAAATCAAAAGAGAATCATCACTAATCCATACTGAGAATCATTACGCTGAAATGTCGGATAACTCATTCAGATCATTCTGAAATTCTAATCGTTTCTGACATTGTCAGAAATTAAATGATCAACCCTAAATTTCGGTGGATTCCATATTTAATATCCCAGTACTTTTGGCTAATTTTTGCCGCAATAATCATGGTTATTCCGATTATTATTCCATACTCACGAAAAGTTAAAGCAATTACTCCAATTCCGAAAATTACAAACTGGAATTTATCAGAAGACCCAGTTATGTTTGCTCACTTAACAGATATACATATCAACCATGTCGTTCCTGGACATTTGGATAACTTTAACTCAGCCAGAGACTGGATTGAAGACATTCAACCAGAATTTTTCGTTATTACAGGCGATTTATGTGATAATTTCCCAGGCACAAAGTTCCCCAAGTACGGACATCAACAACCAGAAGATCACGAACTTTACAACAAATCGATTTCGAACTTAACAGTCAAAAACTTCATCGATATACCAGGTAATCACGATGAATTCGGAGTCTTCGGCTATGATACACCTGCTCACAATTTCATCAAAGGCAGAAATCTTACAAAATCCGAGTTTTTAGTTTCTAAAAATGTTTATACATACCAGAACCAAAAGATTCATATAGTTAAGATCAATGCTTTCCATTGGCCATCAGCTCACCCTCCATTTGTATTCTTCCCGATATACAACCGCCAATTATTAGATCAAATTGAGCAAGAATTGATAGATGTCAAGGAAGAAGACGTTGTCATCTTCTTATCACATTACCCTGTTAACCTCTTCGATGATGTCACATCTTCAAGTGGAAGAACACTCCCACAAATTGTTAAAACATCGAATTTTTCACAATATTTCATTTCCGGACATTTGCATCCACAAAAAAGCTTTGTTCAACATCAAGGCGACAACTTAGAAGTTGTTGGAGCAGATCTTGCATATGATAACAACTTCGGAATGTTCTCTTTGGATCACAACAGATTTGTTTACACAGATATCGAAAACAAAGAGAAAAAGTCAATTTTTGTCACTTCACCTGTCCCAACAAACCAAATTTCTGGACATACTCCTTTCTCTGAACTCGATTCATACATAAGAATCAGAGCCTTTCAAGATAAAGAGCCAAATATAACAGTATCAGGAGATGTTTCAGGAAAAATGGAGTGCAGAAAATCAAACTCTAAAAAAGGTTTTGTTTGTTCACTTCACTTCACTTTTGACAAGCCAGGTGTTAAGCATATTAAATTTGATGGAGATTACACGGAAGAATTAGAATTTGTTGTTAACCAAACAATCGCAAGCAGAAGAGAAAAAGATTATGAAAATTCTCATTGGAAATATTGGATATTTGACATGGCTTTAATTTGGATTTTGTTAACATTTATTGTTATTCCAACACCCCTTCCAAAGTCTATTGATGACCATGAAGATTGGGTTAATGGAGTTTCAAGTGAATCTCATTATTTGTATAGTTTTATTTTCTCACTTTTAATATTTAAGCATAGATTTAGTCATGTTAATTTACCTCTTAGAATATTCTTCATTGTTTTAGCTGTTTATCCTATTTTCATGCCAACAACATTCATCGAAATTGATGGACATGTCGGCATAATTTGGACATATGGTTTCGTTTGCGGAGGAGATGCTGTGAGAATATTATGGGGCCAGATTTATACTTTATTGTTTAATTTGTTAGTTATAATGCCAGGTACATATTTGGCATCATCACTTGCTATTAACAATCCTTTCGTTTTATTCCCATTCCTTGTTGATATGATTTTTGTTATTATTTGCATCGGAATTCATATCAAAGTTTTGATTAGAAATCTGTCTGAATCAGCAGGCATATTGAGAATGGTTTTGTCACCAGCATTCGTCTTCATTCCAATTGCCTCCTATGTTTGGATAATTGTGGACAAGTTTATGTCAAAACGCGCATCTTATGAGAATCTTTAAAATTTGAAATAAAAATTTATCCTTATGTTAATGCATTTATTCTCTAATAATCCTTATTTATAACTTTTACTAAGTTATATTTAATAGTTTCAATAAATTATTGCGAAATATTCATAATTAAGGTATTTTATGTGCCAAAATGATCAATCTACCTACACCATGTTATATATTTATAACTCATGATATTTTCATTTCATTAAGACATTTAGAAATATAGAATTGAAGCAATTTCTTGTACATGAATTGATATGTAATTTATGATCCGATTTTCATGATCCAACAAGTTTGTATAAAAGTATGGGAGCTAGAGGGTTGGTTTGAAATGAAATTGAAATTCAAAAAAATATACATTTAGCAAATACTCCCCGATTATATAGAATACATATGACTAAACTATATACAAACGATACGTACATTGATAAACACAATTTCACGCAGTTTTTGGTAAAAAATTTAATTGGTTCACAGATTTTACAAGATGAATCAAAAAGGAATGGACCAAAGCTTGTTCCGATCTTTCTGGATATCATTCCCTTCATTGGAAAAAAGAACACATGGAATGTATAGTTGCATGTTTTGAGACGAGTAGGTGCCAAAAGTGCTTACTCTTAAACAACCGTCGGATTTCCGGGTGAAATCGTGACACACTTTCGTCTTTCGTAGGCAGTGGTGGTTGTTACAAAAGGTAACTTCGAATGTAGCGTGAAATCTGCAAAAAAAATTCTGAAATTTGAATGGAGAACATAAAAATTGAATAGTTTACGTCAATAAAAAAGAGAAAAATGAAGCCAATGTGTCTCGAACCTAGGACTTAGAGCAGCAATCCCACTGTTTATAACATTACACTACATGCATCTCTCACCTCAGTGAATGAGATAAACTATATGATAACTTTTTCCCCATTATATTCTTGTGGAAAAGTGACAAATAGCAACTTTGACCCTCTCTCGTTTTGAGACCTTTACGTTTAGCAAAAGACTGCTTGCCTTATTTGATTTGGAAATTTATTGAAAAATCTGGATTAGTATCATGTTGCTCCTTATTAATCTGCAAACAATTTAATCGGAAAAAAGATTGCAATCGAACGATATACGTAAAAAATTGAAGGAGAAAAACCGTCGGATTTCATCAAAAGTTGACATGTGGATTCCAAATTTAATTCTCACACATCCAACAATAATTTCTTATGTAAAAATTTCATTTATTTTTTGAATACCTCTTCAAAATGATGAATGAGCAGGATAGCACTGCCCAATCATCATTTGTAGGGGATATCAACGATCTTTTTCATGATAGGAGGCTTAGCGACTTGCTTCCTGCAGATTTCATTAGACAGATTGGTTTTGATCCAGATCAATACATTTTTCAAACAACTCCTCAATCAAGAATGCGAAGGCGTCGTACTGAGCCCACACTAACTTTATTCGACCCTGCACCTGTACCTTCAAGGAGAAGATCTGAAGTTTCAGATATCATGTATGGACAAATGCAGATGCAACAAAACCAAGCATTACTATCTCAGTTACAGCAAATATCATCAAATACGCGCATATTTTGCTACGAAGTTAAACTTTCAGATTTTATTATCCATGCTTACTCTTTCCAGCAGCTTAATTGGGAAAAAGGTGCTGGCATATTTATTAGAGATGGCCGATATTTACGCTATGGACAAATTACGAAAAATTTGCAAATAAAGGATTGTGATCCTGCTGCCCTTCAAATTGTTGGCCAAGATATCAAAGGCGCAGTTGGCGATTTTATATTTGGTGTCAACCAAATTGCACAAAAACTAATCCCGAATTTAATTTTGCAGTCTAAAGCTGCAGTTCAATTTATCTCTGCTGAAATTGTTTCGTACCAGGCGCGGTCTTTAATTAGGGTCAAAGTTACTAACGCTGACGATCCTAATCTTTTATATGTAATGCAAAAACTAATATATATCTTTGGAACCCCTGTTGAAGTGTATGATGACCTGAGTGCATGAGTTCCCGCTAACCATTTTTCTATCCATTCTTTTAAACCATTTCTTTCTATTCTTATTTCTTCTTATTTTTGGATATCTCCACCATAATTCTCCAAACCCTAAGCGGCATGTTCTAAGTATTGTCATCAGATGATTTATAAGTTTTTATCAAAGCAATTGATTTTCAAAACTTTGGAATTTACATGATTTATTTTAATTACAAGTAGCTAAACAGATAAAGATACATAATATGCAATATAACGAATAACACAACGATTTTATTTTCATCCTTTTTTTACTGTCAAAGTTGTATCTCGAATGGAACGAGGAAGGCATTCATCCTCCTTCGATAGTTCCGTTTGGATATCGACACTATCACCAGATACAGTCAATTATTATATCATGTATGCAGATACATTGATAGAACAATGCGAAGAACCAATCTTCGAAGTATCTATCATAAAATTCAAAGATTTTGTCGAAAAAGAATATCAAATTCGATACGAAGCGTGCGAAGAGCAAGAATTTCTTAATAATATATTCGAAGAACTCTTCGTCAAAAATTCAGAAAGAATTAAAACTCTTACGACATTAAAACTATGCGAAGCAATTATAGAAATCGATTTAGGCAGTAAAGTAACGAAGGCTAGCCGTATTGCACAAGAAATTGGAACTTTAAAACCAACAGATGATCCAAAAGTCTTTAACTCTCTTAGAAACATTTTACGATGGATGAATAAAATTCTTAGGGTATCTATACAGTTAGTTATTGAGCCATTGATCGATTCAATTTGGCATTGGAATGATTCTAACGATAGAGTTGCTCTTCTTGGCTCATTTATGCTATTCTCTTTGCTCTATGAATTATTTCCATTTTGCTTCGCTTCTCATGCAAGAAACATTGTCGAAACTTTTATTCACGGAATACAAACAGAATTTGAAGACGTAAGATCATACGCGCAACAATCTCTTCAGCTGTTAAAGAAGGATACGATATCAGGCGAAAAATGCATTAATTTATTGGTTACTTACATTCATAAAGTTGTATGCGAAGCTCATCCAGAAGAAATATACGCATTGCACGAATTTATCGATATACTGTATTCTTTCAAGCCAGAAAATCAATTTTTCGTTGAATCAAAAGAATTACCTTTTAATTTCCTCAAAAGCACGGATAAAATACAGAGACTAGCTGGATTAATACAAACAACGTTCATGCTTGGCATCGAACCTAATTATTATAATTCTTTTACTTACGAAAAGGTATTAAATTGCATTTTACCAATGCTTAAGAAAAGATCGCTGGTACAAGGCCAGGGAAGTATTTTCTTAGGAAAGATCGTATTCCAAAGGGAAGGGAAGTTTTCTGAATCCGAGAAAACGATTTTGAATTCAATGAAGCCATTTATCTTCAAATTTCTGAGCTGTCCTCCATGCGCTTTTGCTTATCTATCGTTACTTACTACGAACATCAAAAAGTTCAGGAAAAATCTTTTAGAAATTTTCAAATTATCGATTTCCTCTTTAATGATCGACGGACTTATCGAATTAACTCAAATATTTCCAACAGAAACAGAGTTTATCCATCAACAATTCATCCAATACGCAAACGGAATCTTATTTAATCGAAATTACACTCCACAACAGATTATTCTCATTTTTGACGCACTCTCCAGGCTCGATATGGAGAAAGTACTACCTCTAGAACTCATTTTACAATATTCAATGTTTATGATGAATCCAAATCTCGAAATCAGGACACAAGCGGCCAATTTCATTATCAAATGCCATAACTACAATCCAACAGAAGACACAGCAATAAGAATTATTACTTCAATTTCAAGAGAAAATGATCATAAGTTATGTCAGAGAATGATTACACAAATGGTGAAACTTCCTGTCGCCCAATCGATACTACCTTGCTTACAGACCTTGTTCGTCATCAGTTCCAAGCGAGTTAAGACAGAAGTTTTCAATTATTGTGTAAAATTTATTGAAAATCCAGCCGGATTGATACTTTTGAACGAGTATTTATCAGAAGAATTGAATAATCTACAGAATGAAGGCTCTGATCGTAAGAAAATCGCTACAACATTTTTATCTTTATTTGATTTGACGAAAAACGAAGATCCTGTTGTTTCAAAGAACGCCAAGATGATACTTATGCCATTCTTAGACCATTTATATGATATTTTATGCTCAATCCAAGGAAAAATCAACAATTACGAATTAAGAATCCTAACTTACATAATTCAGCTTTCTCCACAGAATTTAGACATTGACAGACTCACACCAATACTCAAGGAGTGCATAAATGTCTCTTATTCGATAAAACACCTCACAATTGGATTGAAATTAATTTATACAATTTTATTTTACACGGGAATGAAAGATTCAATATCTTCACGTGATATACTCCCTCAATTGATATCAATTTCAATGATGTCCACTACAACTTCCGAAATTCACTATTTATTATTGAAAATTTTCTCTTTGTATGGACCAATTGCCCCTAATATCATTAACTCTATCTCAAACACTAACATGGAGCAGCGTCTTCGTAAGGAATTGTCTCCTTTTAAGTACGTTGCCTCTTCATCTGAAACAGATCCATTAGAATCTATTGTAGACGCTTCATTTTCGATCGCTATAACATGTATCGTCAATCTTTTGTCCGATGAATCCCTTGTAACATTGCATTCTCCAAGTATTGAAGCATTAATGACAATACTCAAGTCAGGACACAAATTTTCGGATTACGCAAAGGACCAATTGATCAATTGCGTTGAAAATACTATATTACATTCAAACTTAACGACAATTTCAATTTTTATTTCAAATATCTCAATTATTTCTAATGCTTTGAAGGATTCTTTCAAGTCAGTTATTCCTGTTTTGGTCAAATTCATCTGTCAGAGATGGAAACAAATCGATTCTTTACAACTTATTCAATTATTTCATATAATGATGCAAAATTACAGAGAAACAGTCACACCATTCATTCCTTCAATCGCAGATCTCTTTGTCGACGAGTTTGACAACAAATCTCCATTGATTATTCAAAGAATTGTTGATATTATTTTATCATTCGGTCCTTCTGTTAATGATGTCGCTCATATTGTGTTCCCACCCATCTTAACATGGCTATACAATAACGCAACAGACACAAAATCATGCAATTACGTTCTCCAAGATATAGTTTATATTTTAATCGACAGTCATTGCGAATCCTACAATGCAATGATCATCCAAACCCTTATAAACATTGCCAGTGTCAATCCTGCCCTCAAAGACAAGTCCATTCTCGTATTAGTGGCAATTGCCATAAACGTTGGCCGTCAGTTTTTACTTTACATTCCAGCTTTACATGACACTTTTGACATACGATCAAATCCTGTCATGATGAAAATTTTACCATATTTAGAAGAAGGATTTGAGTATACACAAGATATTCTCAATTTTGGTAAAGCTTCTACGCGAAAAACTTTGAATGCGAACCCAACTATGTTTAGAGAGTTCGCAATGACTAAATCCTTTTCGCAGAGTAACTACCAAGTCATCCTCAAGCTCCCTTCCACACAGTTCTCAGAGAATGACTGGACATCTTGGAGTAATGACACATTTATGAGAATCGTTCACGCATCAGTCTCAGAAGCTATCACAGCATGCGAGATACTCATCCAGAAGTATCCTCCCCTAAGAGAAGTCTTCTTCTCCCTCTCAATCGCTATGAATTACGTAAAGGAAATGGATGAAAAAGTGACAACCATGTCAACCGTCCTTAAAACATTTTTTGCATCAGAAACAACTCCTCAATCTCTAAGCTCTATTTTCCTTTCGGCTGTCGAAATTATAGAAGTTGCCGGGTTATATATCCCGGTTCCGCTAAATTTAGTGTCAAATCAAGCTATAAAAGCCGGTAGATTCAGCCAAGGTTTGAGAGCATTGGAGAAACTGTACGAAAATGGCGATAGAGAAGTCCTAGGCCAATTAATGAGATATAATAGAATTTTATCTCATCCATTCACGTATTATAACGAGAGTAATCAAACGCTTGATATTGATAACCTCAAGAAATGGTCGAAAGAGTCGAATTCTTCTGATAATTTCACTCTTCACGACTTAAGCGACTCGGATAACATCTTTTCCATCAAGAATCCACACTTATTCTCCCAATTGAAGTTCAAGGAGCTCCTCGAGTCCACTCCAAAGGACTCAGTTCACCACGCGAGCGCTCTTTGGGGACTTTTCGAGATGGAAGATTTTGCAAAAACCGCCAAAAAATTACAAACCGATGATATCGATAGTTTGTTTTACAGAGCTGTTTATTGTGTCCTTCAAGAACAAACAGCCAAAGCAAAAGAAATTATCGAAAGAGTACAACACGCCTGTGCAGACAAAATTATTCCAACTTTGTTCCATGATTACAACCGTGGTTTCCACAATTTCTCTCTTCTTACGAGGTTCTCTGAACTTGAAGAGATCATCTACTACCACGAACTCGAACAACTCAGGTTTAATTCCCCTGAACTCAAATCAAAATTGGACCCATTCATGAAAATGATCGTAAATAAGTGGCAAAACCGTTTTAATTATTATGCGGAAGATTTGAATGTTTTACAGACGAGTTTACAGATCCATTCATTGATATTCAAAGACGAGGACACACATCTACAATGGAAGAGATTGTTACAAAGTTCTTTGGACCAAAAATACATAGAATATTGTGAAAATCTTTTGCCAAAATTGGTGACGGTTTTGACACCAACAGAAGACAGTTTTTACTGTGCACAAGTGAACTACGCCAAAGATAACAACATAAAGTACAATGATATCGACTTGAGCCAAGAAACAGATCCGACAGTCATCTCTTCCGTTGAAAGTAAAATCGGAGGATGGTTGGTGAAAAGTGGCAGAATTACTGAAGGAAGACAACATATTTTCCACGCGAAAAACGTGAACCAAAACGATCCATTGATCTGGAAACAGTGGGCCATGGTAAATAACTTAATTTATTTATCATATCACGATGAAGAAGCGAACTACAACTCTTTCGAAGCGAGTTTGAAAGGTTTGGAATTGACAAGAGATGATCATGTGAGTTTTTTGTTGAGAATACAGAATATTCTGTTCAAAGACAGTGATGACAAAATCTACAAGACATTTATTGATCATTATAAGAATATACAAACACATAAATGGTTGATAATTCTCCAACAAATGATTGTTCACTCGAATTCTGACAATGAAAATCTAAAATGCATCATTGAGAACTTATTGATTGATTGCAGTAATAAACATCCACACGCAATACTCCAGGCAATCATTTCGTACGTCTTGAATCTCGAAAAAGCAAATAAATTGTTGAAAACGGTTTACGATCATATTTCCTTCAATTTTCCGGAATTGACGAGAGATACATTTATGATGTGCAAGGAATTCGGAAAGATGGCAATCGTGTGGGCAGAGAAATACCAGAGATTGACAAATACGATTTTGGAATCTTACGCAAATAAAAATTTGGAAAAGTGCCAGAAAAAATTGAAAAAGGTTTTCAATTTTCTCGACAAAAAACCACAAAACTTTTACGAGGTTAGTTTCATTCGTAACTTCGGACATCAACTGATGCAATCCCGTAATTGGATGGAGAATTATTTGGAGTCAAAAGACCAAATGCATTTTGAAAATGTCATTTCGTCACTTTTATTCGATGACAAACAATTGGATAAGAGTATTCCACTTCCTCGTTGTGTTATGTTGAAAGATTTCAGTAAATACTTGGATTCTGCTGTTGATCTGCACATGGTCATGCCTGGAACATATGATCCAGAGAAGAATAATTCGAATGAATACATTCAGTCAATTTCGAAAGAAGTTGCAATTTTGAACAACAAAAACAGAAGAAGATTGTTGAATTTCGTGTCAAATACAGGTCGCCATCACTTGTATTCTCTTGGTAATGATGTTTGCCCGAGATTGGACGTAAACATCATGCACTTGTTTAATTTGATAAATTCAATAATCGACCATTCAACGACGGTTTTTTCAACAAAAGTTTCAATGACAACTTTTCATGTTTTGCCAATTAAGAAGAGGATTGGATTGATTGGATGGATTCCGCAATCAGAAACACTCCTTAGAGCTGTCTCTACATTCAGGCAGAGACACAACATCAAAGTTAACACGGAATACTTGAAATACCTCAAAAGATTGAACAAAATTGATGATTTCGAAGAAACAAAAAGTGACAATGAAAGTAAGAAACTTAAAAAGAATTCAGCAACGAATTCTTCATCTGTTTTCGATCCAAGAGGCTTCATGACAAGATCTCAATCACAAAATTTGTTGAAGGTTTCTAAACAAAAAGTGACAGAAGACGATACAATTATCAAACTTGAGCGAAAGATTTGTTACGAGGATATCTCTGATGAAGACAAATTATATGCGTTTAATGAAAGTATGAAAACAACAAAAGGTGACGATGTCAAAAAACTTTTGTTGATAAACGCGAATTCTTCGAAAGATTGGATCACGAGAAGAGTTGAATTCACTGTTTCCCTTGCTATTGGCTCTGTTGTTGGCTACGTCATCTTCCTTGGAAACAGAAATCCAAGTAATATCCTGATGAACATCAATTCCGCGAGAATTTCTCACATCAATTTCAGTTCCGCTCTTTCTACGATAAAAGAAGAAATTTGTGCGGACAGCGGAAAGCAGATGCCATTTAGATTGACAAGAATGTTCATTAATGCATTGGAATTGTCTAAAACAGAAGGATCTTTCCAACATATCAGTGAAGCAATTCTTTCTTTGCTTCAGCAAAACAAAGAAGATATTTTGTCAATTTTGGAAATTTTTGTAAAAGATCCAAGTTTGATCTCAAGGAAATCAGGAACAAACATCGAGGAATACATATCCGGCGTAGAGAAGAAGTTAGATGGCTATGAATACCCAAGTAAGAAGAAGCTTTCCGTAACAAGCCAAATTAACAAATTAATTAGACAGGCAACAAATACAAAGAACATCTGTTCGATGCCAAAATATTGGAATCCTTGGTGGTAATATATATATGTTTTATATTATTTGTTTATTTTTATTTTTTTTTATTATTTAAAAAGGAATATGTTTGTTTTATGATATTAACGAATGATTTTACGCTACACACTTGAAAAATAATTATCGATCAACTAATAAGGTGAATTCAAATTTTCGCATTTCATGATCAAATTTAAGGAAAGATTAATTGGTCTGAGTTTTTTTAGTATGATTATTAAAGATGATGTGGGCCGACTTATAATTTAAAGTAAAATTTAGAACGGTGAAAAATTTACAATTTCTGAAGACGAAACGCAATGAGATTATTTTGTCACTTTTGTTTTACATTTGCCATGTTAAATCAAAAATGACATAGATATTATTGCTAACAAAAATAATCGAGTTTGATAATTTTTTATTGAATTTAATATTTCTTGAAATATGAAACATTAATCTAAACTACATTAAAATTACTGATTTTGATAAAAACCAAACTTTCAAAGGCCAATTGAAAAATCAAGCAGATGGCATTCAATAAATAAACATTGCAAAATTATATAGCTAAATGAAAGCATTACAGTCAAATAAACCTTGAGAAAGTTTTCAATATCTTTTGAAGAAATTTATTTTCACATATTTTACATACATTACATATACTATATTTCTTATAATTTCTAATGTGTTTTTGAGAATCATTCAAAAAGCATATTTTAAAAGAGAAAGTAGAAGATTAGAAAAAAACAAAAGACTTCTACTGGTCCATCTTAATTTAATGATTATTTGAAATGAAGTCCAAATTTTTTGCTTAAATTTTCAATATGAGAGAAAGTTTAGAGGTAGGGCAACGATAGGTAAAAAAGGCTTCTCTGATAGATTTCCTTGCCTTTTGGATATGCTATAATATATAGCCTAGCATGATAGGATATGATGCCAAAAGTTAGAACATAACTTAGGATCTTGAGAAAAATGAAAAACAAAAATTACATAAAAAAAGAAAAATTTTATCTAATTTGTTTTTTTGGACCGAATAAGTAATTTTATTGAATTTCAATACGACACATAGATTTTATTATTAGTAATAAATATAATGGTTTACTATTAACAAGGAACCTAAACTAATGAAAATTTGATTTCAAATATTGTATATGATTATCATAGATTACCAAAATATATTGCTATTTATGAGGATATAATATTGATTATTAGTAAATCGTATAAATTTAATAAATATACCATGAATATTGAATGAATTTCTTGATTCATAGGGGTAAAACGCGCTTTTATATGATTTAGACAGAGAATTTATGAGATGTAAATAACACAATAAAGGTTTATATTGAATATTTTAAAAATAAATCGAAATTATAAAAAACAATACATTTATTCATTGAAACTACTTGGACAAATATGAAACAAGCATTCAGGCAATACTTTTGAGACTTCAACGCATCTGATAATTTTTATATAACTTCACCTCTTATGCTTAGAGTGGAGGTATTGAGATCGTATAAGTATAGATGAGCTCACATTCAGATATGATGTGTGAACTTCTGTTTTCACTGCAATTTTGAATCAGAATAAACTCAAAACAAGAATAAAATGATATACTCACTCTCTAAATGTGTTCGAGATTTAAAGTTGTATGAATAAAACGATTCATCTTTCGAAGCCTCCCATTTAATGAGAGACTTCGAAAGATGAATGTATTCATGTAGATGAAATACTATATATGACCATGTGTGATACTAAAGATATCAAAATGTTCATTTTTAAGTGCAATAGAAGGGTTATCTCTCGTAAAATCTCAATTTAAGGAAGATTTAGAAAGAACTCCTTTCCTAAGTAGATAGTGTGTGGTTTCTGTCTTTTGGTTGATCAGGAACTATGAAATTAAGTCGGACAGAAAGAAGTTCTTTCCAAAACAGACTCCAAATGAGTTGTTCGAAAAGAACTTCCTTCTGTATATGGATAATTGTAGTTACCGCACTGAAGTATGTGATTGTGATGATGGAGTTCTCGATAAATCTAAAATCGGATTAAGATTAATTGAAAACTCAAGTAATTCTTTGAAATCTTGTGTTGTCTGGCACTATAATAACCAAAGAATGAGAATATTATGTTGAATGATGAGTACGTGTGCTCGGCATTCGCCGAGCGAATTGAGTTTAACGTACTATGAAAAGTGACAAATTTGGGCTTTTTTTCCTAGGGTTATGATCTCTTCCTTTCTGCTCAATACGACAGAAATGAAAGAATGAATTTGTACTCCCTAATTGATTACTACAATCTGTATCTATCTTTAACATAGAATTAGCTGCATTGTGATTTATACTCCAGAATTATTCAATTTAAGATCAACCTCGTAAATTTTAATCATATTGCACCAATACTCCTACGTTGAGATAAGAACATGATTATACATACCAAAGCCCCATATTAAAAATCAAAATTTAGCACCTCCATTATGCAACCACATTATTCGTCGCAAATAAGTATATTTACGCATATTATGATGCATATTCACACAACTCGTATACATGAAAAGTTATTAAAATCAGACAAAATTATTGCAATAAGGAAAAAAAACAACTTTATTATATATGTTAGTAATGAATTACAAATATTTCTACAAAGAATGCTCAATACTTCATATAATCTTCGAATATTTCTTATTACAAGTTAATACATTTTGACTCGAACATGATAAACAAAAGCTGACACGCTGATTACTACATTTATGAAAATATAGTACGTTTCCATTCATCTGTTTACTTGTTTTTGTTGGAATAAAATCATTTTTTTTTTCTTTCATGAAATAAGAATTTTGCTGCGAAAGCAATATCTCTAACAATAATTAATACATTATGTCAACTCTGGAATGAGTATTTATCAAATATGATATCAAAATCAAAAATTAGTTGTTTTTTATGAGTAAAAACGATGTAAATTGATTATTTGACTAATTATCAAATACTTTGATTTTCCAAATTTTTTTCGAAATTGATTTTTTCATGTGAAAATTCAAATTGTTTAATTTCATTTTTGAAATTTTGAATTTTTTTTGGAATTTTGAGTTGATCAATTCAGCAGAATTGATAATGCTATTGCTTTAGGGCATACCACAAGGTGATGAATAAAAGGTGAACATTAACAAATTATTTTAAATCACAAATATCATCCTCATCAACTTTAATTCTAAAAAGAACTGTACTGAATTATGAAAATGCATGATTTACATTATTAAAATCTTTGAATGAAAATAGTACAAGATAAGTTTTTATTCATTTTTAATTAGATTTAAACGAAAAACTACTCCATATTAAAATTTAAGTCGAGAAATCGTATTTTGTTCTTATTTGTTAGCATTTTGTAGACATTCTAATCTTGAATTAATTTGTTACATGATATTATTAACAAATTTAACTGAAAAAATATGTTAATATGGAATAAACCATGATTATATAAGCTATCAATGCTATATATACATATGTAAAAGATTCATATTAACTCAATTAACAAAAATGATAGATTTTCATAAAGGTTCAATCTAGGTTCGTCCGAAAATTTTGATTTTTATATAGAAGACATAGTTTCATATACATAATTAAATTTTCAAACAAATTTGATCATACCATTTATTAAGCAGGATAGTATATTAATTACTATCAGTATAAAAATATAAAAATGATTATATTTAATTATTGCATAATTTAGTCAAAGAGTTATAAGCCTCAAGTGATTGTTATCACCTTCAATGCACGTATACTTTATTGATTCATAGATATTTAATCTATGTTTGACATGTTGTTGTCGTCATTCGTTTTGTTCCCATTCTTCCTAAGTTAGAATTAGAGAATACACCATCCACATCATCTAATTTGGTCCTCAGCGATAGATTGGCTCATTTTGGAGGAGTCCCATCAGACAGTTTTCGAGCACCAAATATCAAATTTTAATGTATACAAATCTTTAGTGATTTATCTCTTTTATGATGAGTAAAAGGTTTCTGCTCATCAACATTTGATTTCCGACATATATGATTTCTAATTGCAATTATTTACTTTCTTTTTATAATCTAACTCTGTGACTCATACCATAAATTAATTATTGGAAAGTGTCAATATGTTTGGCACAACGCATGGCGGAAGATACCAAACCATGCAGGGAATATGATACGTTTAAGATCTCCGAACTTTTTTTCCAAAAATTTTCTATCGTTGCCCTACCTCTGAAAGTTTTCAATTTTCTGAAAAACCGATATTTATCTTCCCTCACAACTCAATATATTTTAAGTTAACCTTATAAATAATAAAATCGTTTTCATTCTTATACATTGAAAATATTTGATAACATACTTTCAAAAAATTATTTTTCAAAAATGCAATCGGGATTTCGTGATCAGATGATTCCTTTTCTTCCTCAGTTAAAAGGCGAAACACCCAGAAGCAACTCTGCAAGAAATGTCTTCTTAGTAACTAGTGCATGGTATCGTTCTTTTATTTCATGGATCGAAGATGAGTCAAATACATCACCAGGCGAGGTAAATAACACCGAATTGCAAGCAAAACTGCAAAACAAAGAGCCTGTTGAGGAGCATGTCGATTTCGAAATACTAGATAAAAACATTGCCGAAACTGTATTTAACCACTTCCATGGTGGACCACAAATACTTAGACCATTACTTGCCGATCCAAAAACTCAAGCCCCTACCATTATCATTTATCCGATCAAACTTATATTTATATATGAAAAAGAAAATTTGACATCAACTGTTCATCCGAACTGGACATTAGAAGAAATCAAGAAGAGGGTTGGTCAACGTAGAAAGTTTGACCCGTCCACTGCTACATTCTTATCGGATTCGACTAATGTTGTCATTCCAGATGACACCACAGCCCAGAAGATAATTGAGCTGTTTGGAGCTAAAATACAAGTATCATTACCAGGCTCAATGAAAATGAATCCAGCCAATCACGGCAAAACTGCATCAATCGCATCTGTAGGATCTATCCCTGGCAACATGAGAATGTCAATTATTTCAGAAGGAAGTATCTTTACTGCTTTCTTACAATGCTTAGCTAGAATACCTGCTTTTAGAAAAGCTGTTTCTTCTTATCCGGTTCCAGAACAGCCAAATGAGAATAATGACACACCAGCAATTGCTTTTGTTAGATACTTTACTGAAATAATGAAGCAGCCAACTGCTCATCTTAATTCTGAAACTTCCGAAGTTTCTGTTGCTTATAACACAGCAATTTATATGAAAACAGATGAACTTAACGCAATAAGACATTTCGAATTAGCATCATTACTTCATGTAATGCTTAAGGAGAACATCGTAGGAGAAGATTTATTCAAATTTAAGGAAAGCCACTGTGAAATGTGCCCAAAGTGCAAGTATTGCAATGAATACGAATCAGAATGTTCATCAATTACAGTAGAATTAGTTAAAAAGCTATTTAGAAAAGCCAAACTCGAAGATTGCCTTGATGACTATTATGCAGCCAAGAAGGGAGATAAAAATAACAGATGGGAGTGTCCACAATGCAAGAAGAAAGTATTAGTTAGAGAACAAACGAAAGCAATAAATCTTCCTACAATCTTAGTGATTTATGTTCACCGTTTCGTTAAGGAATCATCGCACGACTATAACTACTTAGAGAATGAACTTATTTATGGACAAACACTAAACCTTTCCCAATTCACCGGAAATTCGTCAGATAAGTATAAATTAGTCGGCTCTCTTGCTCACGTTGGTCATACATTTACACAGCGCTATAAAGCATTTATTCAAGAAGAAGATGGAAAGAAATGGACAATGTTCAATGATAACAGATCTCGACCTGCTCCATCGGGATCTGTGTTTGAAGAGCCTCTGGCTATGATATATCTTAGGGAGTAATTTTTATTTTGTTTTATAAACGTTTTGTTTCTGATTACATTTCAAAATTCATTTTTGTATATGGTAATGTATATGTTTTACTTGAAATATTGTGAAGATATCTTATAACATATCGTAATCAATGCGTCGATAAGATAATTAACATGAGCCAATTATAAACTTTCGGTGATTGAAAGCTTGTTCGTATCGATGTAAACATGATAGAAAGTTGAATTTGGTTACGAGGGCAAATGAATAAGATCATAATTTACGACCTACCATCAAAGAATGAACACGTTTTGTTGATGAAATAAAAATTGTCAGATGAAATTTCTCAACAATACCTGATTTATTTTGCGGATTTCACATATACTTTTATAATATTAATCAATGATATGAAAATTTCTTCGAAAGGACAAAAGAAATTTCTAGCATGACAAAATTTTAATGAATTTTTCCAAATTCTTGAAGAATTTCATTTTAATTCATGAATAATTAATACTACGCCCAAATTAAAATAGAACTGAAAAGAAAAATATTTTATGGAAATTTGAGTATCGTAAATTATTAAAACGTATCTGAAACTTCAAGTTTTTGCTAATGAATGTCTTATATAAGAGACGTATTTTTATCAAAAACTATCAAGATTTTTGAATGATTTACATTCTTTAAACTCCAAAAAATTAGCAGCTTATAAATATATAATGTTATTACACTACGTACTCTTTAATCATCCATTTAGATAGAAATTTCACCTGAATATAACGGCTCATTCACAATTTTAATTTTCAAATAATCATATAGTAAAAATACATTGGATCACAATACCGAATCTAAAATTATCCAAATTCACATATTGAAAAACAGAACATATACTTATTGAAAAATGAAACCCATTGAAATTTCTCTCAGAAAAATGAAACAAAATGAAGTGCTAGGTTCATAATGATAATCTTAATTTTCAAATTTTGGGTTATGATTTCCTCATCTTATCAAAAGAGTAGAATCGATCAAATTGATTTTATTAATATCTTTATTGTTATTAGATCACAGGCAAGTTGGACTTTTTTCACATTCAAAAATTTGAGAACTTTTTTATTTATAAACTCTCAGTACAAGAGAGATTTGCCATGTCTCTCCTCTTGCTTCCATCGAAAGCACCATCACTCGTCCACAGCATATCTGGCGGCGATCTTTCATCCTACGCGGAAGAACTTGCAGAATTTCGTCGAAATAGGTCAATTGATCTTCGAAGATCAATGAACTTGTGTAAGACCAGAGTTTGCAAACCGAAGAGCAGATTTTACGTTGCACCAAAGAAAAGCAATACATTAATAGACGCATGCTTAACATTTACAGTCGAAAGTGTCGTATCCGCTTTAACTTCTGGCGTTGATGCGTCCATCGTCAGCATATGCCAAGATCTATGCGAAAGCGCACCAAAGTGCCCTAAAATAGTTCAAAATATGATCACAATTTCCGATGTTCAAGAAGCTTTTGTTGCAGCTCTCGATTCCGAGACATCTGCTGTAGGAACCGTTTTAAATACAATTGCCCAGATTTTCAAGCTTGCTGGCGAGACCCAAGAAGCTTTTGTTGACGGTGGCCTAACATGTTCTCTTATGAACCTTCTCTCCCAGGAGGATCCAGCCACAATAAGCGAAGCTATCAACCTCATTGGTGTTCTTTCGGAAGAGAGTTCTTACGCCCGCGATTCAATTATCTGTCTCGGAATTCATACAATTTTAGTCGAGACAGCAGGCAACCACAAGCAGACAGATCTTGCTACTTTAGCTTGTGAGTCAGTTCACAAAATTTTCAGCAATCCTGACCCGATTGAGTCCGAAATCGTGAAGGAAGCCATTCCTTCCATTATTGAAATAATTGAAGGCCAGAGTGACGAAACAATGTCCTTCATCCTTCAGATACTTGTCGATATTTCTTCGAAACATCCCTCATCTGTCTTTATTTATTATAATTTGGGTTTATATGACCAAATAGTAGGATTTATTCAAAACCAAGCTCTTACGAAGGAAGCGCTCAAGTTGGCAGGCAACATGGCCGTTGCTCAGCCTTTACAAATCATTTGTCTCCTTGATAATGGTTTACTTGCAGCTCTTGAGCAGCTTTCAGTTTCCGATTACCTTGCGGATGTCTTCTGGGTCTACTCCAACCTTTTAGAGTCGTATCCAGAAGGAATCTTTGAACTGATCGACGAAAAGTTCATAAACTTTGCTCTTGATGCAGCCGAAGACTCCCCATACGAGGTCAAACAAGAAGCCTCGTTCTTCATCGCTACAATGGTTGTTTTCAGCGGAAATCCACGTGCATCTTTGTTTTTCAACGAGAGAGTCTTCTCTGTTCTTGCAGACGTCATCGGATGCGGCGTCAACACTGTCGCACTTCGCTGCCTCGACGCATTCAACACATTTCTCGGATACGCGAACTTGAACGAGAAACAGGACGAATTACTCGGACTTGTTGACGACGCAGAAGTTGAGGACAGACTTCACGAAATAGAACTCTCTAACTCACTCGCTGGAAAACGCTCTCAGTACTTGTTACTCGCTTATCAGTCTCTTCGTAACTAATATTAACTAAATTGTTTGTTATCCATTTATTTTTTTGAAAATTCACTAGAAATTTTTTAAAACAATTAGTAACTCAAAATCTTGACATTGTCTGTTTTTGAGCTCAGTTGCTAAAACAGAAGATATTGGTTTCGCTTGTGAATCAAACTTCAACTGAATTAGTTATTTTCGAATGTTAGAAGCTGTGAAATTCTATATTATATAAGGAGCCTTTTTTTTGCTCATGTACTCTTTATTGTTGAAGTATTTTGATGGATCTATTGAATTTCGGCATTTTTTCAGGGTATAATGATTCGGACAGACAAAGAAAGATTTCTTTATACGCGAGATTATTTGTTAGAACCAATATAAAAATGTTCATGATTGTTTCAAATGACAAATAAATAAAATATTCTTGCAGTTTCATAACTCACATAAATCGGAATTAAATAAACAATCGCTTTACAATCAAATAAATAGATATACTAAACTTAGTGAATTGTACGGAAGTTGCTTTCATCAGCATCAGGAATAGGAATATAAAATGTGTTCGTTGTTCCTTTACCTTTCAAAAACACATCATGACGTTCTCTTGCGGGATAAATTCCTTCAGGAAGAGCATGATAAGTATGAGGAAGCATTTGAATTGTGTCGATATAAGAAGATGTTTCCAATCTTGCAGATACATTCACAGCATCTCCCCAAACATCAAAGAATGGCTTTTCTCTTCCCAGAACACCTGAAATAATTGGGCCATCATAGTTGACGCCAATATTCAAATGAATTGGCATTCCGCCTTTTCCAATCCTTTTCATACACCATTTTCCGCAGTCCAAACAGAACTCAACTGCCTCGTGAACAGGTGTTCTCGAGGAAACTTCATTGAACAAACCTGCGGCAGCCATATATACACCATTAATCATCTTAATTTTAACAAGAGTTGGATATTTTGCAATCTTCTTGTCAAACTTTGAGAAAATAACATCCAAAATCTGCATGATTTCTTCATGACCTCTTGTTGAACACCATGAAATGAAATCATGGATGCCAATGAAAATAATCACAGCTTTATCAACCTGACTAATAATATCTTCACTTTCTGTCTTCGACATCAATCTTGTTGCAATAACTTTTGGCATAATCTTTGTCAATAAGCTATCAACTCTGTTTTGTGCATCTCTAAGTTCCGTTTCATTCTTTGAGTACTCAGTAATATCTCTTAGTATAAATGCATAAGACATTGTATCACCCCACATCTTGATATTACTTATTTTCAAGATTTTGCAACTGATTAGTTTTAATACACCTCTAGGGGTTCTAATCATTAAACTGTTTTCAATTTCTGTAATTGGCGATTTAGGAATACTATTATATGAAGAAAGCAATGTAAGATCAAATGTTCCATCATCAATTCTATCAAAGATTTGCGAATATGTGAGTTGCAATGGAACATTTTCATTAACATCAGTAAGAATATTTCTGATATCTTGCTGAATTACATCTTCTTTCTTACAATCAAGGAGAGAAATTGCACTTGTGTTCATATCTTGAATAATTCCCGTACTTGAAACCATCAAAATACTATTCAATGACTGTTTAATTATATGACGACTCAAAGAAACTTCATTGTACTTTGATTCTTTGCTGCTTCCATTAAATAAATCAATAGCCATCGTAATAGCTTGTTTTGAAGTTGTTGGGATGATCAATAACATGTTCTTATATCCATTGAATTCAATATGATATAAAAATAGTCTGAAAACAAGATAAAAGATGAATAAAACAGATAACCCTGCAGAAGAAACTCTGCTGCCAATAAGATATACCTTATATAGAAATATGTACTTATTAATCCTATTTTCTAATACCAGACTTATGTTTCCAACAGTGTAGTTTAAATCTATATAAGCAAGTTCGGAAGACAGCTCTAATAATGTAATATTGGAATAGTTTGATTCATAAAATGCGGTGATGTTGCCATAAATATAATGAATCAATTCTTTACCTTGATTTAATAATACATTAAGTCTTTGAATGTCATTTTGATGAATTTTTGATTCATTATAATAAAAGTTATTGTTAATTATTTTTTCAACAAATTCATTACTGACATTAACTGTGTTCGATTCTGTTGATTCTGAGGAAATAACAACATTAGTGAAGTCTAATATTGCTTCATTTACAGTTTCTTGAGTTTTTGAAGCTGCTTGTACTACTGTGGAAGTTACCATATCAAAATAAATCATCCTATCGAAATAGAATTTAATTGGTCTTTCATAAGTACCAACGGAAGCACCAAAAATTGCAAAGAATAAAATAGAAAAAACAAGATATGCAGCTGTTCCATTGAGCCATTTAATAACTCTACGACTCCTATTGATAGGTCTTTCATATGCTGCTAATTCATTTATTGGTTTATACACTGAAATATCAGCTTCAGAAAGTATATCACTACTGTCGACAGAACCATCTATTTCATCACTTCCAAGCATATTGTCGAATTCAAATTTTGATACTTCGTTTGTCTTTATTTCATTCATCAATCCTCTTCCATTTAACAATCTTTTTCGAAGTTCTGATAATGAAACTGAATCTATTTCAATTAATGAACTCCAAAAGTATTTTCTTTCAACATTTCTTCTTGTGATTGATATAAATCCGATGACGATTAATAAAACAGCAAGAATTGTAATGACAACTATTGCATAGACTAGATATATAAAAGTATAATCGTCAACGACTTTATTCAAATTTGTATATAACTCTTCATATAAATCTCTTATTGAATAAATCGTTGAATTGTATAATTCAGAAGCGACATTAATTATTTTCACGGAAGTATTTGAACATTTACAACTTGTTATTGATTCAAAAACTGTTGCTAATGAAGATTCAGCGGCATGAAGTGTCAAATTCTTCAATAAATAATCGGATGTCGATGCCCATACTTTAAGTAAATTTTCTTTATTATTTTGTGCAAGATTATATTGATAAATTTGATTGGAAATGTTGGAAATAAATGTGTGGAAATTCTCTATTTGCTTTAGATCAGAAATGTTGGACATTTTCGCTGCATATTCTGAAGAGCAATTTGATAAAACTCTTGTTGACATATTAAAAATTGTATTTGCTGGATTTAATAATAAAGATTTCATGGATTGGGAAATATTGGCACTATATCCAAGAGCAATAACTGTAAACTTTGACGGGGTAATTCTATATATTGAAATTGTTGAAACAACAGCAATAAAAATGAACAAGAAAAACAAGAAAGATCTTACACCAAGTGATTTTATCTTTTGACAGTGCAATTGATTAGAAAAACTCTGTGCGGCTTGAACTTCAAAACTCTTGCTTGAAAACTTTTTGCTGTTCCTGAATTTATAGTTTCCATTTGAATCTTCTGCCATTTCAGGGGATTCAGCTGCAGATCTCCAGGCCATTGCGAGATTTGCATCTGCTTTATATTGTGTGTAAAATGATGACAAAGAATGTGCTAATTTTCTTGAATTAAGGATGATTATGGAATAAACTTGAGCATGTTTCTCAAATTTTTTGCATAATTGATAATAATGAATCAATTCTAATTCAATGTTATCTGGTTGATCCATTGAAATCATATCAATAATCCTGAAATAAACTTCTCGACACTCATTCATTATATCTGTTAAATGGTTTATGAATTGTTCCAAAATATCAGAATCGTGCCTAATTGAGATGACTTCATATTGAAGATCGCAAAGGAGTTGTCTCTTTGAAAGAGAAACTTCTTTATATGTCATTTCCATGATTTCACGGATACTGTCTGAATCGAGCTTATGCATTAATGCTAAGTATCTGAAACAATCGACTTTGAGATCTTTATTTTCACTATTGATGGAACAAAACTTTGCAAACTTAATTGCTTGATCAGGGTCATTTAGGATAAGAAAAACAAGTCTTGTATTTGAATTTTTGTTGTTGGCATCTTCCCACATGAATTCTTCATTTTCTTTGTTCAAATCTAATAGTTCTACATCTCTTCTCAAACTGTCATTAGGTTTGTCAGAATTGACTGTGTGATAAAACTTGCTAATGATAATTTCTGATAATACGAATGCTAATATTAATAAAATAACTTCAAGAATCATGATATCAGATAATAAAGCTTCCGGAAACAAAATCGTAAAGATATCTGCGATCGATTCAAGCACTGCAAGTACCCAGAAGAAAATCATGCAGAATTGATCTTGCTTTCTGTAGAATGGATAATAAATTACAATGAATATTTCAAGAGCACATAATACAATGCATAACGCACATATTACAATTTTAACTTTGCAGCCACATGCCGAGATAAGTGAACGAAATTGAAATAAAATTATCAAAGAATACGCGAAAAACGATATTGGTATTAAATTCCAGCCTGCAAAAAAAACTGACTGATTGAATAGTGCATGTGTACATATAATTTTGTGGACAACATAAGAAGCTTGAATAAAAAAAGTTGAAATTATGATTAAAATAAGTTGTAAAATTTTTATAGAACCAGTGATTGAATTTTTTATCTCATCTTGAAGTATTGCGAAAATCATGATTTGAAATAACGGATTTATAACTTCTAAGATTGTTCTGATAATATATGGAAAATAAAGGCCAATTAAAATTGTTTTATAGAACGTAAACATCAATACTATTGATAAAACTAAGATTAATGAATATGCAAAGAAAAAATAAGCTCTTGATTTGTCATCGAAAAATCTGAAGTACAAAATATTATCTAAGACATCATAAATTATATCTCTAAATGTAATGCCTGTTTTTTCGAGCAAAAGAAATCCAGAAGCAACAGGGAACATTATCATGAAATATAAAATGTCGCGCAAAACGTGCATTAAATTGGGTAACCTAGGGCTACAGTTAAGCATATGTCCTGCCTGATAAAATTTTCCCCAATGAATTCCCATTCCTGTATCGATATCCATATGAAACAAAAATAAATATAATTTTCACAATTTTTGAATGTTAATATAAATAATAATGATGTCTGGGAACAAGTCATAAATATAAATATTTTAGCGTGTGTTAAAATTTGAATGTATTAATCTCAGAAAATTTCATACTCTCAAAAAAATAAGAATAAATGAAATCACAAAAAATAATAATGTTGTCGACATCTTTGGATTTTATATTTTTGAATAACTTCTCAAATAAATAATTAATATATCCACAAAAGAAAACGCATTGTTTTTCATCTTCAAACTATAATAAAAATCTTTTAAATTTGAATTGAATAAAAATTAAAAACAAACACTTTCTTTTTGCTGCTCACTTTCGAAGACCGCATTTTTGATTATATTACAATCTTTTCTGCCTTGATATGGATATTACATTTGATTAGATAATAAAGTTAATTAATTCTGATGGTGAATCTTCAAAATCAAAACTTTATGGTGTCCATTTTCCTAGTTATTAATGAAATTTATATTTACCAATTTAAATTAAAGGATTCAGGATAGAAGTATAACTAATAGCCTTTTAAAAAAATACAGAACAATTTATTTGCGTGATAATTCTTTAGATTTTCATGTAATATATTATTTATCTCACTAGCTCAAGCAAATTTAAGGTGAATTATAAAAAATAATGAACCTAGGCAATAAAATTTTCAATAATTGCTTTTGTTTAAATATCATTACAATTATAAGATGTGCATTAATTTGGACAATGAAAAATCTGTGATAAATTTTGAAAAAAAAAATATTTAAAATTAAAAGCGTTTCAACGAATGATGTAAGTAGAGATTTGTAAAAATTGCATGCCCTACTATCTATTATAGCATCAAGAGTTAAAACTCTTTCAGTTCAGATAAAAAAAATTTAAATGCTACAACAATTAAGATTTGAATCATAATTGAATTACATACAACCAAAGACCAGTAATGTATCATTAACAGCTTATTTTCATAAAAAGAATACGTCATTCATCTTGGATGAAAAGGAAAATTTATTGAATTCGAAAAATTACCTAAAGCAAATTGATTTGAATGCCTGTTTTAATATCTGTGCTATTATTTATGTTATTAAAAGTTGTCAAGTAATTTTTTTATAGATTTCATTATCATTTCATTAAAATGTTCTAAATGATGCATTTATGGACATTATTTCTATCGAACAATCTTATTACTTTTTCAAATATGATCCAACTAATTGCATTCAATTTGAATACTATTCAAAACTTTTGAATGCATTCAAAAATTGATCAAAAAAGAAGCATAAATATGTTATATATAATAAAATAATGCGCTTTATATCTTTTGATAGTGTTGTAAACAGAAATTCATCAAAGGTGACATCTCAGAAAAGCTAAAATATTGAATTTTTGGAACTTTTGATAGAGCACGTTTTTAAATATTAATTAAAGTAAATGTATATTTTGTAAAGATTCTTTTTAATAAAAAAATAAAATTTTGAAGAAGATCACAAAATCTTCTGAAAAATAATATCACATAAACTCATATTATTTTCTAATATATAACTATTTTATATAAAAATCAAATTCAATGATCTTAAAAGCGAAGGATAAACCTCAAAATTTACGAATATAATGAGTGGGAATATAATGCTTATCTATCATAAAACCATATAAAATATCAATTTTTGCTTTACGCCTAATTTTTGACGACAATTAGCAAAAAATGTTAAATGTTAACACTCAGTCCATTTGAATATGAAAAATAAAATTGACTTTGATTAAATGTTTTTATTTATCATGCAATTCTTCTTGCGACCAAAGATTTGAATAAAAGTTCAAAAAAAAAGATAGCTTAAAAAATAATATACGGTAGTGTTTACTAATAGATGAATAGTATATAAATTCTATTAAAATGGATTTGATCCAAAAAAATATAAAACCAAAAATAATTGTTATAATTTAAATGAAGAAGTAATTTAAAACGATTTTATTTATGATCAAGTTTTATATATTTTTTTGGATCAAATCCATTTTAATAGAATTTATATACTATTCATCTATTAGTAAACACTACCGTATATTATTTTTTAAGCTATCTTTTTTTTTGAACTTTTATTCAAATCTTTGGTCGCAAGAAGAATTGCATGATAAATAAAAACATTTAATCAAAGTCAATTTTATTTTTCATATTCAAATGGACTGAGTGTTAACATTTAACATTTTTTGCTAATTGTCGTCAAAAATTAGGCGTAAAGCAAAAATTGATATTTTATATGGTTTTATGATAGATAAGCATTATATTCCCACTCATTATATTCGTAAATTTTGAGGTTTATCCTTCGCTTTTAAGATCATTGAATTTGATTTTTATATAAAATAGTTATATATTAGAAAATAATATGAGTTTATGTGATATTATTTTTCAGAAGATTTCATTCTATATGCCTATGAAAAGTACTCTCAAAACTAACTTTTCCTAATTATAATTAAATCTAGAATATTGTATTATGCTTAGTATTATTTCATTTTTCTCATTCAATTTAGAATTTACAAATGTCAAAAAATTGAGAGCTGTCACTTTTGATGAATTTCTGTTTATTACATTTGTGATTTAATCAATAACTCTTAATGTCTTTAAAAACCTAAATTTTTCATCGGAGATAAAAAATGTGTTGGAAACTGATGTTTGTCACTTTTCTCCGGTGTTTTGAATTGGAGTTTTCTGTTGGCAAAGAACCTTTTCAAAAGTGATCACTGGCATTGTCCTTCTAATTCTTCTTTAGGATTTATTCATCTATTTGCGAATAATGATGGGGATTTGATATGAAATGGCTTTAATCATGAAAAATCCTATACATTTTTGTTTTACAAACATTTTCTCTTATTCGAACTTGCGAAAGTCCATTCTCGCTTATTGTATTTGCTATGATAATCAAATTTAAGATTAAATAAACAAGCTAATTCAATTTTTTAAAAACTAAGCGGAAATAAAGCTATTACTGCAACTTCATATCAGATTCGAGCAAAAATGCCTTGTGATGAGCGAAAACATTTTGAGAAAAGAAAATATCAATTCTAATATATATATTTTTGGACGAGTGTCGATTCTATGACATACTCAAAGTTCCTTACAACAAGGAAAATCTTTTATTATTGGATTTTAATTTTATGTGATCAATAAAAATACATTTCTTTGTTTTTATATAATTATACGCAAAGTAGTTAGAGAACACTATAAACATGCTAGTATTTTATTTATTCATTCATTATTTCATTTCATTCGCCGAAAAAATACCATGAATAAATGGCAACGTCATTGTGCTTTCAAATTTGAGAAATAAAAAATTTGATATCGGTATGTAAATTACACTTTAGAAGAATACTAGATAAGAAATCTTTAAAAAGTGACAAAATGTCTGAAATTGATGAATTTATTGTAATCACTGCAACCAATATTCGTTGCGTAACTTATTTTATCGGGTTAGCTCATGGTGTATTAAATGATGCAATCGCACTCTTCTTTGAACAAGGTGAAATTTCAATTCCCGACAATTTTAGAACGGATTTAATCCAAAAGAAGGAAAAACCTGTTGTAGATACTGAGAAATCAAATAAACTTATGGATGTAAACGCTGTTAAAGCACAACAGGTCGAAATACCAGAGATAGAAAAAAATCCTCAATTGTTAATACCAGTTGAAGAGATGGTGTTACCAAAAGAAAGAGAAATTTATCATTTACCACTTCCTTCACCTCAAATGAACCTCGACGATTATACTTTGGAAAATTCTGCAGAAGAATATGGCTACAAGAATAAATCCGGTCAAAAACAAGTTTCCCAAAAGAAGCTTCCAACTTGCATTGACAATACTTTTACTTTTTACAGTAATGGATACATATATGACGGTGAAATCGGATCCTTTGATTATATGACTTATCAACAAATGATAACCGATTCCTTCCCTCAACGACCAAACCCGAATCTCCCATCAAATCCGGCTACTCAATACGTGTATAAATTAAATGAAAAACTTCCATGAGATTGTTCACCCTTTATTTGTTTAATATACACAGTATGTGTTTTTTTTAATAAAATCAAACATTTGAATCGGTAAAAAATATTTTTTTAAATATAAACTAGTATTTTTCTTAGATTTCAAAAATATTGGTAGTAGCCAATGTGTTTGCAGGATTCAATATGATATTTTGATTCAATTATTTCATTTTGCAGATTTCCATATAATGTTGTTACCTGATCAGCAAATTTCATTATATGGAAAGCAACTTGAAGACGAAAGGAATCCATTTATACACTACAGCTTTTCTTCTTACCCGTTTTGCAGGAATGAAACGGCAATTTTACGTTCCAATTTGTATCCAACAGAAAGATTGACCAAAATTCCTTTTAACATTAGATATAAGCGAAATGAAAACTCAATTCATGGATGTGATGTGAAAATATCTCCGAAAAGATATAAAAGAGTTTCAGACTTAATAGCAAACAATATTTGGATGAATTTAATGCTTCACAATATAACATTATATTCAAAGATAGGATTTTACGAATTTAACAATCAAAATGAGTACATTCCACATTTATTTACCCACTTTCATTTCGAATTAGCACATAGAAATGGAAATATAGTCGATATCAACTTAACTTCTTCGCACCCAATACAATTAATCGAAAATTCGTCAGTTGAATATACTTATTCAGTTCATTGGGTGACAAGCACTCAGATTGTTCACGATCCGTTTTACCGAAATGCTTTTAGAGTGTTTTCAATTATAGGAACCTCGTTTATTTTAATGTCAACATATTATTGTTATTCTACTATGAAAACCAAAGTTCACGAGATTATTGGATGCGACCAAGGACAATTTTATGCTTTGGCAGTAAGTGGCACAACGCTTACATTCAATCTTATTTTTTCATTTTTATATCTTGCGTATTTCGACAAAAAGAGGTTCAATCGATTTAATTTGCTTCCATTTACATTAGTATCATCTTTTATTTCAGGTCATCTCTTCACAAGTAAGTTTTCTCGCAATCCAATTTCATCATTTTGTTCGATGTTTATTCCAGTATCATTATTTGTACTTTTTGATATCATTAATGGATCCAATCTCTCAGAATACTTGAACTTCTATGCCTTGTACTTTATTCTTCATCTTGGTCACTTTATAAGGAAATCAAAGCGAGAATTTGATAGAGCTAAACGCAAGATCTCTTTATTTTCTTCATTTATAGGATCGGTATATGTAACTGTCTGTGTTTGTGCGGCTTCTTTATCAGAATCATATTATTTCGAATCATCTTTCACAAAAAGGAAGAATTTTGAACTTTGGTCGTTCTCGGCTATTGCTGTTGGTAGTTCATTTATTGTATCTTTCCTTGTTTCATTCACTCTCAGTTTGATTACTCCTTATTCGAGAGATCCAAGTTTAATTTGTCTATTTGTTTTTTCTTTGATTTTCACGATTTATTTCATGTTTCTTGGATTTGCTCATGGATTCTACGCTTTGTCATTGATTATATCTTTGGCAATGGCGTTAATTGCAACATCAGGAACCATTATTGGCATTCATTATGTTAGATAAAAATTTTGTATTTTTAAGTTTATAAACATTTTTCATATAGGATTGCATTCTATGATAACGATCAATAAGATAATATCATTCAACAAAAATCTTTGCTTTATATCAACTAACAATGATCAAATTCCATTGTTAGTAATAATTCGGTATATCACTAACAATGTATGCTGCATTCATCACATCAAAACGTCGAATATGTTTTTATCAACTTAAATTATTCTCATGTGATATATCTATTTGCAAATTTTCAGCAAATTCTGTGCTTTTGAGTTCAATTCACTGACTTGATCATGAGAAGGGAAGTTTTTGAGAACTGAGTTATTTTAAAACTAGATCTTTTTTGATTACTCGTTTTAACAATATGTATAACAATAATAATAAATTTTATTATGAAAATTATTTTTATCCAATTGGGAAAGTTGTCTGACACTTAGCGCATTTTTTGGCTCCGACTAAAACTTTGCATTTTGGACAAATGAATGGCTTAACACCATTATCCTTTTGGCCCATGGCTTTGTATCTTTCCATGAATTTGTTGATCTCATCCAATTCGTTTTTGAAGCACTGAGAATTAGGTGAAATTCTTCCTTGATTGCACATTGGACAGTGGAGTTCTTGCAAAGGATTTGGTGTTGTTCCTTCAACCCAATTCTTGTTGAAGATTTCATCAAGTTGCTTGCGAATATCTGCTTTGGCTTTGGCCATTTTAACGAAATGGCCGCAATCAAACCTGAAGTAGAATTCACCTCTCTTCAAATCGAAATGTTTCTTCTTTGCTCTGTTGTGTTCGCAATCAAAGAGACAAAGTTCTCCTTCCGGTGTAAGACATTGGTGATGGCAATTAGGACATGTCTTGTGGCATCTCCTCATTTCATAAGTGCCTGATGGCAAATCCGAAAGAGAGCTTCTTGGTGCATTGTTTCCTTCTCTCAATCTCTTGCATTCTGGACAATGAATGTGATCATGATCAACTCTTGTTTTACACAATTCTTCGCATTTATGATCGCAGAATGGGAAGATAAAAGTACATTCCTTATTGCATTCCTTGTGGCCATTTCTGCAACAATCATTGCATGTTCCTGGACATTGATGGCCACATTCCAATATATGAGAACATGGAGCAGTGCAAATCAACCTGTCACCGCATTTTCCTTTCATTGTGCTTCCGCAAATTGGACATTTCTCAGAAATTTCTTTGTTGCAAAAATGACGAAGATAATGATGGTCTTCTTTGTCCTCACCATTATGAAGATTAATGAAGCGTGCCAGGGCATTTGAATCACTGCTGTCATCAGATGAATCATTATAAGAATCCGAAACATGAAACTCATTTAATTCATCAAGTAAAGAACGAGTTCTCTTTGTGAGTAGATAGATCATCTCCTTAGGAATTTGGAGAGTGAAGTTGTGACCACAAAGGAATCTGCATGGTTCATTGTGTTTGGAACATTTATGTTCACAAGGATGCTGACACTTAAGAGTTTCAGGATGAGAATGAACAATACTACATTCAAATTTATTAATATGATGGCAATAAGGCATTTCAAAATCAATTATGTTGTAGCAAATGTGTTTGCATCCAAAACATGGTGTTTGGCATTGAGCACCACAATCCTCGCATTTGTGTAGACATGTTTCATAGCAATGAATGAGCTTGTGGATATTATCATTGTGGCTCCACTTGAGAGGGCACTGATGGCCGCAGTCTAAAATATGATTGCATTTCTTTTCTTCAACATCAAATCTGAAATCCCATAAATCATTGGAATTCTTTAAAACAACAGCGTCATTTTCATTTTCTATTGATTTGAGGAAGCGATTGACAATGATTCCTTCTCCAAATTCATTGTATTTCTGCTTCATGAGATTGTAGATTTCTGGCCATAATCCGTTCTTCGTTTCCGATTGATCGAAAAGATTCTTGTTTCCTAAAACAACCATATATGACTTGGCTCTGGAAATGGAAACATAAACTCTGCTAAACTCGCCAACAAAAGGAGACAATTTGGATCTTGTCAAACACAAAATAATGACATGATTTTCTTCACCTTGGTAGTTATCAACGCATTTGACTTTGATACTACCATCTTCGACGAAATCTCCATTTTCATCAATTCTTTCCATTGGATTGAAGTTTTAGAATGCTGCTTGCTTTTCTTTTTCTTTAAAAATCTTGTTCCACTGCTTCTTGACTTCTTCTTCCTGGCCTTTGTATAAAGTCAGAATTGTGATTTCAGTGCTTTGAAAACCTCTGTGAAGATAGAACAAAGCAGTATAAACAGCAAGAATTGCTTCATTTTCGTTCGATCTTGATCTCGTTTCCTTTGAACTTGATTCTTCGAAATCGTGAAGGATGAATGAAACTCTGTCGCGAAGCTTGTATCCTTCCAATGATCTCTTGGAATTATCTCCATCAACCATTTCTTGGCAAATCAATTTTCTGATAGGATAAGAGATTTCTGGATGCATTCTTCTCTGGACATTCAAGTAGAATAAATCAGGAGATTTGACATCAAGTGCTTTCTTCACAAGTCTTTCGAATGTCGAAATATCGAATGAATAAGCAGAGTTTTGCTCACTTCTCAGTTCGTATTCGACTGATGGTCTCAATTGCTTGTAATCTCCGATCATCATGAGATGTGTCAAATTCTTTGGGATCAGAGATATTGTTGTTGCTTCTGTGAGTTCACCGGCTTCTTCGATGATCATGTAATGAACTCCAGCTCTCTCTAACGCTTCTCTGTATTTAGAAGCATAAGATGCTGTCATTACAATGACCTTGTATTTACGATAGACATCAGCCAAGCAATTGATTTCTATTTTTTCCAATTCCTTTGTTCTCATGTTGACAATTGCTTTGTAATCGTTTCTCCAATCGATCAAATTCCTCAAGACATATCTGATATAGATATAAATCTGTTGAAGAGGTGACCATGCTTTGTTCTGATAAATTCCTTTCAAGAACATATTGAAATAAGACATTCTTGAATCAGAAGCAATTGTTTGGAATGGAACAGCGCCTAAGGAATAGATTGATTTGGTTTTCATTGTCAATGCATCCGAGAAATCTGGTACAAAATGATCAACATCATCGTCGTCATCTTCAGCTTCAAGAAGTTCTTTGATGTTTGTTTCAGTGAACTTAATCTTTCTGCTGCAATCTTCATCAGGAAAATCAGGAACAATTTCACTGTCTTTGTAGATATCTTCTTCCTTTGGATAGCAATTGCTGAAATCATCAATAGGGATTGCAAAAGGATCTTTATGTGTGATTTTTGAATTGTAAAAGTCCTTATCAAGCCAAAAATGAATAATGTCTTCGTAAGTAGGTTTGTAATTTGGTTTGAATCTTACATCTTTTGTAAAAATGTCAGCAAAACTGTCGAAATCGATGAAATACTTAAGAATAAGGAAATTACTGCATATCTTAGTATAGTTTTTGTCATCATCTGCAATCTTATTCTTGATCAGAAGAGCTAAGTCGTAAATTTGAGGAATAATGTTATTGAAGTCTTGCAATCCTTTCCTTGCAAAAGCAAGAGAACGCTTCATTGTCTTTCGTTCATCAAAATGAGGAGACATTTTCAATAATTCATCAGTGAAAGAAACTTCTTTTATTTCTTCTGTCGAAGTCAAATTCAAAGAAGCATGTCTGAGGATGTCTCCTTTCTCCATGAAAGGAAGAGCATGACTGATAATTTCATCAGTTGTATGTTTAGTTTGAGTGACAACCGCAAGAATTTCACTTGTTTTTGCAGTGTTAAACAATTTGACAGCATGATTAGCAAGATGTGATTTTCCTGAACCAGCACAACCATTAACTAATGTGATATTCCTCAAAAAGAAGTTGATACATGCTTTGTACTGCTCGTGATCAAGAGTTGTGAACTTGTCAATCATATCATTCTCAGACATATCTTTGCTTTCTGGAATAAAAGAGCAGAATTTAGAGACTTCGATCTCATTTGCAGGAATAGGGTCATGACTATCAACCAAAAATGAACTTAAATATTCATTTTTGAGCAAAACGTAAGGATTTACGTTTAAAATGAAATCAGGATCATGGATTTTCCAATTAAGAAGTTTGCTATTTGAAATTGCATAAAATAATTCTCCACAATCATCGTAATTGATAGAAAGAATGGCTTTGATTCTGATTTCAGAAGGAATCCAAATCTTTATTGATTCAAACATGTAATATCTTCTTCCTGGAACGATATTACCTTTGATCAAAGATACAGGAACGATTCCGTTTCAAAATAGTTCGATGAATTCCTTTGAAGAGTTTTTCTGTATCTTGCTGGGCATCCTTGAATAGCAGATTGCATCAATATGGTGAAATTGCGGAGTCGATGATAAGAATAACAAACTTTCAAAAGCCAAACGCTTCGTTAACTTATCATTAATGAGTACTATATTCCAATATGGACATGCAAATACTTCAAAATGGAGAAACATTTCATATTTCATGATTGATTCTGGATCATGAAAAGAATAAGGGATCATGCATACATTATGGTAAAGGAAAATATCTCTTACATCCAATTTGTCTGTAAAATACTTTTGCAAAGCTTTCTTGATATCATAAACAAAATCAAGCTGCTCTAACTTGACTAAACAGTTCACTTGCTCTTCACTGGAGTCAAATCCATCGTATGCTTTGTTGTGAACTTTAGGATTTGACCCGAAAAAGTTATCGCTTGTAGGATAAATTGAGAAATCTTGTAATGAGTCCTTCTCGTTTTCACTTGACTCAATGAAACCTTCAATTTTAGTTTTCAATGCTTTGAGCATATCAGGTAGCTCAGTCTCCATCTTGAGCTTTTTCTCGAAGATATCCAAAGATTTTTTTATTGTTTCCAAAGTAGTTCTTGCCTGGAATATATTACTGCAAGATATACAATCCAAGAATTGTATGAATTTTTCTTTGTCAATTTGAACCATCTTAAGGATAATTCGCATGAAGAAATCTTCCAGATCTGTGTCATATACTAACTTTCCTCTCCTAAAGAAAATGGATGTGTAATTCTCTTTTCTATCAATTGCTGGATCTTGAATGACAGCTTGTTTCGTATATAATTCGATAAACTTTACAAATATATCAATTCGTCCTGCCGACTGATCATTCCATGTTGCACATTTTTCTAAAAGTTTTCGCTTTTCGTAAATTTCGGAAGGGAGTTCGGTTTCATCAGTTTTAAGCAAATCATCGAGAATTTTTAGGCATTCTTGTGTTTTACTTGGACCGTCTGGTTTGTTTTTGCCATTAGATCTATTTCCTCCTATTTGTTTCATTTAAAGCCCAATAAACTACAAAAATATGACAATAACAATCATAAGACGGGAAATAGTACATTCCGATAATTTTTATATAAATACTGTCTACTTACTGTAGAGAAAGGAAAACAAGCATTAAACTGCAGAAAGGCTTGAAAGAAAACATGGAATTTGAAAAAAGCAAAGAAACAAAGAATTTCACGTGAAAGAAAAATAAAGGAAGGATGTGCTTAATGTAATGGATGTATTCCAATTTGAATCAAAGTGCATGAAAAAAAAAATCAATTTGGATTCATAATTAACAAAGATTTCTACGCCCTAATTAAATTTTATAGATATCTCTAAAATAGCCTATAAAATTAATGAAATTGGTGAAAGTTTGCAAACCTTTGTTAAATTTAGTTTAATATTCAGCTATATCTTGTGTCAAGAATAATCAAATATAACATCTATTACTCAAATCTCTTAACATTCATATAATTAAGAGAATTTAATATAAACAATAAAAAAATGCAATATCATTGTAATATCTTGATGAAAAGAAACTATACATATGCAGATAAATATCTCAATCATAATGTGAATAAAAGATACATATCCAGGAAAGACTTGTAAACATTTATATAAAAAAGGAGCGTAAACTATTATTTCAATTAAAAATGATATGTTGTACTTTATTAGTGATGAGTTGTAATTTGTCTGTAAATATTACAAAGTTAAAAACGTATATTTTTTTCAAAAAATTGAATTGAACTATAGCGTTAATGAGACAAAGCGTGAATATTTTTTGTATAATTTTCAAGAAATGCTATATAAAAATAGAAGTATTTTGTGTAATTTCATAGAATTTTTAGTTTGAAAAGAACTTTTGAACTGCTCTATTTTAAAATACTTGAAATAATATTCCATAACACATGAATGATGATCTTTTCTTTCAATTTACAAATTGCTATTTTACTTTTGATAATAGATAATATAAACGAAAGTGCAGCAAAAACATACAATTATGTTGAATGCCTGCTTAATTTCTCAATTGATAAACATTTCTATATTGAGTACTTTACAATTAATTTTTACAATCGAAGTATTTTGTCTAATACATGAATATATACAAATTTTCGACAACAATTTTTTTCGTTATTCTCATACCAGAAGTTATATTCAAAAAATTGTGTCCTATTCAAAAATTGTCCAATAAATTAGACTTGATTTTTTAAGATTTTATTAATATGACAACTTTAGAAATTATTTAGATCCAATAGACTTTATTCAATTTCGCTTTTGATAACTTCTAAATAAAAATGCTCTTTTAAAATATAGATGAGTGTATTTGACATACAAAAACAACATATTTGCAAATGCTTAGAATTGAAAGTTACTCTCTCAAATTATTCTCAATAACTCAATTCAATTATAAGATAACAAATGGATGAAACCTCAAGTACTGCTCGTAGTAATATCGAATTTTCTTTGTCATTAAGTACTAAGTACGAGGGCTTAATTGACATTCCACTAGGCACACAAATTATCGATTGTATGGTTTCATTTTTCAATTACGTTGATAATTACGCTCCAAGAATGCCCTTCTTATTCAACTTTGTATCACTCGTCAGAATGCTTCAATTAATTGGTGGGGCTTTCATGGCTGCAAATAACGATATCTATGACCCCAATACTTTAACTTATCGAGCAATGAGTATATTAACAGTTGCATTTCACATAGTACCTGTCCAATATCGTCTTGGAAATGAATATATCATATTAGACGTTATCAGTGGAATCCTTTTTGTATTTAGCACCTATTTATTCGTCACGGCATGGATGTATAAAACAACAAGTAAAGTTCCAAAGATATCTACAGATATTCTTTCAATTTATATTGCTGTTGGCCCGTTCATTTTATTACCAATCTCCGTGCAATATATTGGACAAATCATAAGTTCGCTAGCTGTAGGAAGAACACAAGATATTGCTTCTATTATTTCATGCATTATTGGTATCTTAATCGTTATTCCGAATTTTTGGATTCTTGTTAAAGCATATCTTATCACATTAACTTTCAGACCATGCTCCTTCATGTCTATTGAAGCAAGTCCGCAATGGAAGTTCTTCTTAACAACACTTGTTGTCACATTTGTTTCTTCTCTTACTACTTACTTCCCAAAGTGGCCATCATTTGCCATGATATGCATCTCAGCTGCTGGATATGTATATTGTGCTACAACTGGCTTCAATGGAGGCAACTTTGTATTAGAATTACATCAAGTCATGGTTTTAGGTGGCTCTTTCCTTGGATTCATATTATGCGTCATGAACCTTTATCCATTACTTTCAGGAAAAAAATGGACAGAAATTTTCTTTGTTATATTTATTTGTATCGCCGTTGCTTGTTACTTATTAACACAAGTTTTCATCCGTTTTAGATTCAAATGCGATTTGGTCATACTTGATAAGTTCGAAGAAAGCGAAGATATCTCAGTTTTTGGCTCATTAGGCAAATTCCGTCGTGTCGTTGGTACAGGATACACATTTTGCCATCCCGCATGCATTAACTACTCCGTATTCAAAGCCACTGTTGTCCAATGGCCAGAATCAATTGATCTTTGGGCTGAATACGCAAAATTCACTGCAATTTACCCAGAATTAACATCAACATTGATTTATATCGGCCAAAACATTGCTTCTCTTAACAAGAAAGACTCTTTATCAACAATTATCATGGCTAACATCGGTTACATCATGAAGACAAGAGAAACAAAGATTACTCCACAATTAACAAGTAAAATCTCAAAGCTATCCAAAGTTTTCAACAAAGCAAAGAATCGTCTTCGTAACATTTGGGATTTAATTCTTCAAGGATCAGTTGCTGAAATCAATCACGCCATCAAATCAGCAAATGAAGCTGTTGAAGCTGCTGATGTCGAAGTCAGTCAGCTGAAGAGTTTATATCCGAATAACAGATTTGTTGCTCGTCAATACGCAAAGTTCCAAGGCGAAATCAATGCAAATGCTGTAGAATACAAGATTTGGCTTGATAATGTTCATCAGTTGCAAATGGGCAAACAAATTTGCTCAGATATTGATCATGGCTTAGGTGTTTTTGTTTTCCCAAGTTTACCAGAAAAGATTGATGATAATGACAGCTCAAAAATGGCATCAATGAACGAAATGGATACTATTGAAGAACTTAATGATGAGCAACAAGCAGAAGAAGATGCAAACATAGAAGTTTTGGCAACATTAACAAGACAAATCGAGAAACAAAAGATTCCTGCCATCAAATGTATGTATATGTCCACTGTTTTAGGTTGGTTCTTCACTGTTTTTGTTCCAGTTTTAGCTTTAATTATTTACTACGGAACATTCAGAGAAGACTTAAATGCACCATTAGTTTTCATGTACGGTATTTCTTACATGAGAAACTTAATTAACATGTTGGCAGCTTTCACTGCTAAATTCTTATTCGAAGAACTTCCTGATCCAAAGTCACCGACAGAAAAAGTTAAGGATGTGATTCACCTGGAGGATGGATTTCCATTAACTGGTTTTGGTGATGATGTGCGATCAAGAGAAGTATTGAAGTACTTAGCTGGCCAAGTATCATCAACAAACTCTATGATGGCTTCATTAAGATCATATAAATTTGGAAATCCAACACTTGAAGAAGTTAGAACTAACATGTTTAGTTCAACAATTGATTTCTATTTCTATACGAACAAGACACAGAAATACTTATTGAAATCATCTGTTGCACAAGTCGCTGCCATGGTTGCAACACATATTGGTTTGTTAATCCAAGATACAGACGTTACTTATGATGATGCAAGAGGTTCGGATTATTTAACAGCAACAAACAACAATGATGATGCAACAGAAATCATGAGTACTTCGCTCTTAGAGTGTCTTAAATATATTTTAAACCAAGATGCAAGTCAAAAAGTTTGGATTATTTCTTTGATGGTTGTTTTGATTGTTGTAATATTGGCTGTTTGGTTCATTATCTTTAAGTTACAATACAGGAAACTCAAATCGAACAAAACAGAAATCATGAATGTTATTGTTACATTACCAAAAACAGTAATTTCAACAGTTTCTGCATCATTTAACCATCTTAAAAAGAATTTTCAATCATCAACAACAGATAATGTAGCTGAACAAAACAATGAAGAAATGTCAAGACAAGAACAAAACATCATCAAAGTCTTCTCACAAATCACTGATGGAACTGATTCAACAACAAGTGAATCATGGAATTTATTCAACTTCACTGTCATTGCATTGTGTGGATGTCTTTCTGTTGGTGTCGTCTTGTATTGCTTCTTAAAGTCTTCATCAACATTAGTTTACTCAAGCCAACACGTTGATAATTTATACGGTTGCTCAGGATATTTGTATTCTGTTTTCTCACATATTTGTATTCTATAACACAACAATTAATTTAACAAACAAAATCATTATGATGAAGATGAGTATTCCTAAATTCATTGAATACTTCCATAAACTCAGATTAGGCGGTCATGAAAAGAATGAATTACCTTTCACAGGAATGACAAATGCTCTCAAAACAGCATCAAAAATCCTTGCATGCAAAGATAAAGAAGAGCCACCAACAACAATCCCAGAAAGTGCTCATTGCTTCACTGCTGCTGTTCAATTGTATTTGACATCAGGTTTCTTACTGAAGAATTTGGCCTTCGTGTCAATGGAGAATGAATCTGAAAGAACATATCCAGTTCCAAATGATCCAGAATTCGAACAGATTTGGCAGATTGGTCCTATTGAATTATATGAAGCTTTCTTCTTCAGAATTGGCAAATCATTAGTATCAGAGATCATGGATGGTATCAATAGTTATGGATCAATTATCTTCGGTGTTGGATTTGCATGCATTGCTTTATCATTTATATTCATGTGTGTTGCAATTATATTAATCCACAAAGAAGATATCTTATTGACATTCACAATGAGATTGCTGTTATTCTGCCCACCAAGAGTTGTTTTGTCTAACTCAAGAATTATGGATTTGATTGCAGGTGATTATGATAACAAAGATGCTGCAAATACTGCTAAGCATCTTGCATATTCTAATGAAGTTATGAACAAGTTGAATGACTGTGTCATGGTTTTACATGATGATGAGTTTCATAAAATCATCAGTATTAACTCTGCTTTCGAAGAAACATTTGATATTTTACCAGAAGATTTGATCGGTAAAAATGCAAAAGAATTCTTTACAAATGAAAGATTCCAAGGCAAAGTTGATACAGTTTTGGCAACAATCACAAATCTCCAGTTTGAGAAAGATGGAAACACTGTTTTCATGGAATTCACCCCTGTGATTGTCAATGGAACAAAGATCATTTCTGGAAGAGATCACACACAAAATATTTTACATGAACAATTAATTGAAGAAGAGAGAAAGAAGTCAGATACAATGTTGGCTTCCATTTTGCCTGCTTCATTAGTTTCTCGTGTACAAGCTGGAGAAAAGAATATTTCATTCTCTGTTCAATCAGTCACTGTTATGTTCTTTGATGTTGTTGAATTCACTCCATGGTGTGGTTCTCATGATGCTCAGTATGTCATGAGAATGTTGAATATTGTGTTCAAAGAAATGGATGCAATTACAAATGCACATAAAACAATGACAAAGATTAAATGCATTGGTGATTGCTACATGGCTGCAGGCGGTATTTTCGATGAAGTAAATCAGCCTCAAATTCATGCAAGAGAAGTTGTTGATTTCGGCTGTTTGGCAATTAAGAAACTATTAGAAATCGATGCAAATGAAAATGAGAACCTTAAGATCAGAGTTGGTATCAATACAGGCGGTCCAATTGTTGCGGGTGTTATTGGAACAGAGAAACCAACATTCGAAATTCTTGGCCCGCCAATCAACATTGCACATGAAATGGAACATCACGGTATTCCAATGAAGGTCCACATCTCTAGACCTGTCTATGAGTTCATTTATGGTGGACAGTTCAGTATTAAAGAGAGAGGTGAAATTGAAGTCAAAGGCGGAAAGATGTTCACTTATTTAGTAGATCCATGAAATTAACTTTTTTTATGAAATTGTATTGCATATATTTTATATAAAAATCTATGTTTTATAATGCTTTTCAACTTATATATCATTTTTACAAAAAAGCCTTATAGAAGGGTATTAACAATAACCATCATATCTAAGCTAAACTTCTTTCAACGATTAATGTTCATCCATAGAGCACCTTAATAATGCAGTTGTACATATATATTGCCTCATAATTTTCTGGATCTTTAGATCAAATTTCCATTAATACTTCAATATCTACCTTTATATATATTGAATAATGCACATAAATAGATAGAAAAGGATACTTATTAACTTTGATCATCGTTATTTGATATTTCGAGAAAATAATATCCAATTATTAAGGAATAACAATTCAACAAAGTCTGATTATCATTTGCAAAAGTCAAGAATTGAGGGTACATGTGTTACATATTTGAATTTATATAAAGAATTACATCTCTATCATGGGAAAATATCAAAGATTCTTTGAACAATAAAATATTCAAAATATGTTTCACACTTTTTATGAGAAGCTGCAAGCCGATAAAAAGTGTGAATACATATTTTAATAAGTTCTGATCCTTTTTACGGGCTTATTTCATAAGCCCGTAAAAAGTGTCAAACCTATTGTTTTATGATAGTCGATATTGAGAGGATAGAGTGTTTAAATTTTATAAATTGAGAAATTGGAGTTCAGAAAATGATCGTGTTAATAAAAATTGAGATTAATTCAATTATATTTAATATCAATGAAAATTTATTAAAATCTATTCATTGATATTTAATATCAAGCTATTAGTTCACTTTTTCATGACAACAGCACTAAAGGGCGTTCCAGTGACAATCAAGGGAACATTCGTCAAAGTTGGAGATCAAGTACTAGAGTTCGAACTTGTCCCACAAATTGAGAATTTTTTTATAAAAATTTGTAAAAATTATCATCATTCTATAGCCTTCAAATATTTTGCAAAAGTTTTCTGTAATTTTTTCTCTCAAATTTTTTGTAAAAATCAGAAAAAAAAGTGATAAAATCGAATGTCTTTAAAAATCATAAAACTTATTTTAAAACTATTTCAAAAATTAAATTAGTATTCAAAATCATTCTATGGAAGAAAGAAGATCTAACTGAGCCCCAGAATTCTCCACTTGAAACGACCAATACAATTACGCCCAGACCATTTATTATGGAAGTGTTCGAGGAATCCAAGAGCTCGAAGCTCTGCTTCCCAAATTAATTTCCTTCCCTAAATAAATTTCCTTGGTAATCCAAAAATACCATAACATAATAGTAAGCCTACCTCCCTTACTAAGTTATTCATGGGTATTTGTTATTAATCCCATGTAAAGACTTCGACTTTTATCACTTATTTTTCAGATGTTTACAAAAAATTGAGTAAAATATTTGAATGCAATTGAATGTTTATTTTAATTCTATTGCATTCAATTTGGTTTAAAAACTTTTTTTGCAAAGTCTTTCAATTTTTTATGTAAACTTCAGAAAAATAAGTAAAAAAATCGAAGTCTTTACTCGAACTCCCGTCCTTGGGGATTTTTTCGGTCAAGGGTTTTCTTATTGAACACCAAAGCAAACTCTATAAATTTAGTGTATTTCAATTTTCACTGCTATAAATACTGATTTAAGAACTATTAAAACATTACTATGCTTTTACGCAGCTTAATGTAAAAATATATCCTTTTAAACGAATTGTAAAATCTGAATTATCGAATTTTATAAATTTATCAACAGTGTTAAATATTTAATAATTCCCTATGCAAAAATAGCTTCGGAGTTTCATAAATTTTATATTAGAATGATAGTAACATACATTGAATACGAAATTTTATGCCGAATCTTGGTGTATGATGAAATGTTCATTGTAATATAGCTCATAGCAGAAGAAAATCATATATATTGGATAAAATATCATTTGAGAGTCTAAATCAGAGAATAAAAAAATTGAAAGTTTTAGTAATTCAAATAAAAATAGTTTACTAATATTTTGTGTATAATGACTATCTTAAAAAGCAAAAAATAAGATATATTTTTTTGAAAGAATTTCGATTTCGAAAAAAAAAATTCTGTGTTCGGCAAATGAACTCCAAAACAAGATTTATTATAGGGAATTCTAACCATTATACTATGCACTAATGGACTCCAAAATTAATTTTCAAGTATTTGATCGTGCCCCACCCCAAGGGCTGGTTAGTATTTTATTATCTAATGATGATTGCTATAAAATCAAATAAAAGTAAATAATTTTTGATTATTATTTCAAAAATATTAGTTTCAAAAGAGAATAATATCAAAAACTATCGATCTTGACCTCAAACGTAGGGTTTCAGCATTATCCTGTATATGCATTAGAAAAACATGATCCAGCAGAAGATATTATTGAAATTACATATGATCTTTGTTAAAATTATGTCAAAAACTATAAGCTATCATAAATTACATTAAAGCAATCAATTCACCTAATCTTTTGAATTGACTGGTATTGAATAAAATGAAACAAACTCATATTATTATAGATGATTAAAAATATGCACAAAATATTCAAAAGAATTCTGTATAGTTTCAGAATTTTGCTCCTTATATGTAATAAAATATATTCTAATGTACATATATGACTTGTAGAAGTTATTTATCGAGAATGAAATAAATAATGCAAATAACGAAAAACAATGGTGCAGTGTAAGAGCTTATGGGTAAAGAAAACGAATAGGATCAACTTTCAAATTTTCGAAATTTATTAGATCTTGGAGGTAAATTACCAAGTTTTTCGACGAAAAACCCCTTTTTATGCTGTTGAAGCTATAGTTTCATTTGGTCATACTCCGACCCCTTGTCTTTGGGTATTCGTGGAGTTATAGGCCATTAAAAAAAAGGAGGATTACGACCCTCTCAATTTATGAACGTGGAGCCTTAAATATAGATTTAAAAAAAACTTGGTTATAAATTACGAAATTTTCGATCTTGGGTTAAAAAGTGACAATTTGGTCGGAAGCCGCCCTTAAAAGTGTCACAAACAAAATTTTCAAAAAGAATGTCAAGTTCAGAGCCAAAAACTGAAAATTTGCGCAATTACATTGACCTTAAGCCAATTAATGTATTCGAATACCCAGATCAAGCATCAAAAATTATTTGGGGCGTCAATTGCAATAATATTATACAAATATCTTCACAAATTATCGAATTAATAACAAATAACAAAATACCTATCCAAATGGCACTTTATATCATAGATATTTTTTCACAAATTCGTATTAAAGAAATCAAATTATTTTCAGAACTTTATCAAAAAATATTAAACGCATTTTCATACATTTATAAACCGCAAAATAATAAATTAGCTACTCTTCTACATTATCAAGGTTTCAAATTCGAAAACTTCGAACCTGAAATTGAAGAAGATGAAATTCTGAATTTATATTCAACTAAATCTCCTTTATACTATATTGCATGGGATAAAGTTGATGATCTTAAATGTAAATTCCCAAATCTTGATATTAATCAGAATACTAATGATATCACACCACTTGACTGTGCAATTAAATATGGATCAGAATTGTGTTTCAATTACTTGAAAAATTTAGGAGCTCAATACACTTATTACTCCGAAGAATATGCTGTTCAAGGTGAAAATGAAAACATTTTTATGCAAATGATAGAAGATGGTAAATCATTTGATAACATGATTAATACAGCATTGAATTATCGAAACTATGAAATTGCTGAGTACCTTAAATCAAATTTGCGTCAAACTCCTTATTCAATAGCAGAAAGCATGTATTTTTGTAATTATAGCGTTACTTCGTGTTTGATATCTAATGGGGCTGATATCAACAAAATTTATAATCTCTTTTTTTTCATATTTATCATTGTTTTATGAAATTCTCTTTCTTTTCATATTTAACATTGTTTTATAGAATTCTCTTTCTTTTCATATTTATCATTGTTTTATAGAATTCTCATTCTTTTCATATTAATCATTGTTTGATTACATTCTTTTTATTTTCATATTTATCATTGTTTTATTGGATTCTCTTTCTTTTCATATTTACCATTGTTTTATGAAATTCTCTTTCTTTTCATATTTATCATTGTTTTATGATATTCTCTCGATATTAATGAATGCCCTCTTAGTATTGCAATCAAAGTGAAATCGATAGAAATTGTCCAATTCCTAGTTGATCATGGTGCTGATGTTAACATGAAACTTATTCTCATTCTTTTCATATTTATCATTGTTTTATAGAATTCTCTTTCTTTTCATATTTATCATTGTTTTGTGAAATTCTCTTTCTTTTCATATTAATCATTGTTTGATTACATTCTTTTTATTTTCATATTTATCATTGTTTTATTGGATTCTCTTTCTTTTCATATTTACCATTGTTTTATGAAATTCTCTTTCTTTTCATATTTATCATTGTTTTATGATATTCTCTCGATATTAATGAATGCCCTCTTAGTATTGCAATCAAAGTGAAATCGATAGAAATTGTCCAATTCCTAGTTGATCATGGTGCTGATGTTAACATGAAACTTATTCTCTTTCTTTTCATATTTATCATTGTTTTATGAATTTCTTTTTCTTTTCATATTTAATTTTGTTTTATGAAATTCTCTTTCTTTTCATATTTAACGTTATTTTATAACACTCTCTTTCTTTTCATATTAATCATTGTTTTATAGAATTCTCTTTCTTTTCATATTAATCATTGTTTTATAGAATTCTCTTTCTTTTCATATTTATCATTGTTTTATGATATTCTCTCGATATTAATAAATGCCCTCTTTCTATTGCCATCGATGTTAAAGCAACAAATATTTTCAAATTCTTAGTTGAACATGGTGCTACAACTGACAAATAATAAAATTATTTTATATTGAAAAAAGCTATAATAACGATGCTATTTTTTAAGAATAAACATCTCATAATAATTTAATGTTAATTCAATGCATTAATACACTTGTAGGAAAGCCCTAAATTTGTATATAGGCAAGACAATCTTTGTCAATTTTTTTTCAATTATTCTTTGCCCCCGAAATCAATTGATTTAAAGTCAGCTGTGTTTAATGGTCATTGACCACTTTGAAATTTGAGAATTTATGGACATTTTCAGATAATTTCCCTTTGAAATCAGAATTGCGAATTTATGGGCATTTTTCTGAAAACGCACATAAATTGCAAATTTTTTGTGAGGAAAATTGAGAGAATGGCAGAAAGTTGTAAAATCCATCCCTAAGGGATCACTAAAGAGTGCTGGAAATCTCGCCAAATCCGACATGTGTAAAGTTTCAAATTTGACACTTTGTAAATAGTTGGATTTGTCAGATTCAGCCTTGGTAAATTTTTATGGTCAGATTTCTATAGTTTACACGAAGAAAAAAAAGAAAAATATTTTTGAAATTTTGTCCATCTTAGAGTTCTTCATTGTGACAGCACTCCATCTAGCGTCTGGAATTTATATTATCCTAACACATCCGAGTACAAAAGCGTTAGTGGAACAAACGAAAACGCTTTTATTAGAGATACTTCAATTTCCTCTCAAAAATCATATTTTCGATCTCAATACTCTGGCGTTGTTATCGTCTCGAAATCCTCTGTTTCATTTCTTCACTCCATTAGATTCTTTTTGATGCTGAACATACTTCTTTGTATTGTATCTGATTCAACAGCCTAGGTGTGCAATTACTTTTATCAGACCACAAGTGCGAAAACTCCCCTAAATTGCTAAATTGAACAATTTTTCTCTTCCTCTAAGGATGAGCATCTTGAAGAGACGTTTAAAATGATTAGAAAAGTTATAAACAATTTATTAAAACAATAAAAAAAAACAATAATTACTTTGTAGACAACTGTTTTCCTGTTATAACAGGGAATGCCTTTTCTTTGTTGAAAGTACTTGCAGGTACAACAACTTTTCCATGTCTTGCAGCAACAAGCATCGATCTAACAACTTCAGGAGGGTATTTGTCCTGGTTTTCTCCAATTGCTCTGAGTCTGTCTGCGTAAGAAGGTTCTTTCTGGAATTTTGATTCGTTGATTGGCTTCGGGAAATCTGCTTTAAGCATCTCATCTACTTCTTTTGCTGTCATCTGTACGTATTCTTTCTTTGCCTGTTGAGCGGAAATCTTTGTAGAAGGCTTTGGTTTTGGCATCATCTGCATCACAACTGTTTCTGGAATTGTGAGTTCGTTTTCTCTTGCCAACAAAGCAACGTCTTGAAGAATTCTCATGTTCTGTTTCTCTTGTCTCTCTTGGAATTCTCTTCTCTTTGCTTCCGCGTTTATATAATGTTGTCTGTCTCTCTGAAGCAAAGAATCGTATTTCGAGAAACTTGGTTTGTTTTGGTTCCTCTTTGCGATCAAAGCCGCGTATTTAAGTCTTCCTCTTGAAGAGAGAACTTCGTTAATTAATGATTCTCCTTCTTTAGAATCCAAAGCTTGTATTTGTTTCATTGCGACGAATCTTTCAATTAATGATCTTAACCTTGCAATTTCACGTTTTTGTTCTCTTATTACTTCATCTCTCATTGCGATTGATTTCCTTGCGAACTCTGCATCTTCTTTGGAGGTGTTGTATCTCATTGATTGGAACTTGAGTTCTCTCTTTAATCTGTTGATTTCTGCCTTTAATAATAACATTTCTTTCTGGTCATTTGCTCTTCTGAAACCAAGCTGAATTATCTCTCTTCCTCTGCTTTCTAAGAGTTGTTGCATGTTGTCCATTTTACTTTGATAAAGTCTGACCATCCTTGAACCTTCTGTTTTCGGATCCATCTTTAATTCTTCGACAATCTTCTTTTGGCCAGCAACATCTTGATTTACTAGTTGATCTTGTAGTTTAATGATATCAGAACGTAATTTGTTGATTATGTCTTGTGAATCACCAAGTTTAGAAGTGAATTCTCCAATTTGTTTGTTCAAATCTTCTCTTATTCCTTCCAAAACCAAAATCTTCTTTCTCAAAATTTCATCTTCTTTGAGGAGTTCTTCCAATCTGATTCCTGCCATCAGTTTGTCTGCTTGGTTATCTGCAGATTGCTGGAATAACTTGTTGAATGACTCTTCTTGTTGTTTCAAAACTCCTTCTAGTCTCAAATTTTCTTGTTGCAATTTAGAATTTTGTTCAATTTTCTCTTGCAATTGCTCTAAATATTGTTTCTCTTTTATCTGACTTTCTTGGAGTTTGTCGTATATTTCTTTCTCGTCATCATTAACATTAGGTGTAGAACTATCCTTTGGTTGTATCTTAAGTAATAGTTCATTATAGTTTTGAGCGTTTTTATACAATTCATTGAGTTTTTGGTATTCGATTCTTGCTTTTTCTCTTTCCATTTTTCTGTCTCTTTCTGTTTGTATTCTTTCCTTGTGTAAATCATCATTTTCTTTGGTTAATTCATCGAGTTTTTGTGTTAGATCATGTATCAATTCTTCATTCAATGATTTCTGTATGTCTTTAGCCATCTTCTCTCTTATCTTTCCCAGCAAATCTTTGATAGTAAACCACTGTGGTTGACCTTGATTCATCAATTTCTTTAATTGCTCAACTTCAGATGTTGCTCCAGCAGAAGCAACTGATCCATCATTCTTTATCTGATCAGCCATAGATCTTATATATGTTGCTGCATCTTGATAATTACTAAACAAGTTGTTTTCTTGTGATCTGTTTTCGAATAATCCGTTTAATTCTTTTTCAACTTGTTGTACTTTTACAAACGCTGAAGAATCAGAAGAGAATTGTTTCAAGTTAACAATCTCTCGTCTCAAACTGTCTACCAGATCTTCCTGACGCTTGATTTCTTCCAAAGCCTTGGCATATAATTCTTTGATGTCAGTTTTTGAAGGAGCTTCAGGAGTTTTTCCGATAACAGCAGCGATATCTTTAACTTTCTTCACTAATTGGACTTGTTCTGTAGGTGTAGCACCTTCTGAACCAATCTTCTTTGAGAAATCTTCGATTGTTGAGTTGAGTTGTTTTGCTGCTTCCAATGAACAGTTTTTACTTTCTTCAAATGCATCAAAAGCATCTGTTGAAATCATTTCTGCATCTTTCATTACAGTGTTTAATCCTGTTGAAACAGTTAAACTAGATTTGTTCTTGTTTCTTGTTCCTGTCAATTGGATTAACTTGTTTGATTGTTCATCAGCGTTTTCTTCAACAACTTGTAATGAATCATTGATATCTCCAACAACTTGTTTCATTTGTTGTGGAGTTTTAGCGTTTTGAAGTTCTTCAATTTTACGCTTTAATTTATCAATTTCTTCTTGTTGTTTTCTGAGTTCGTCGTTGTTATTCTTCGACAAAGATACAGTTACTCGTTTGGATTTAGGTTGTGGAGGTGGTTCCGCTGAAATAAAGATTTCTTCTGTTTGGTTAACACTCAATGTTGGCATTCCTTTCTCATTCTTATCGTATGTCCATTGTATTTCTGATGCCAAACTTGTAACTTCTTCATTTCTCGAAATTTCCATAACAGGATTGATTTCTAATACTTGTTTCGCTGGTTCTTCTTCAGCAACACTCATTGTTGTTGATAATTCCAGCTTCTTGGATGTTACAGATTTCTTGTCATCATCATTTTCATTTTCATTAATTTTGTCACTTTTTTCTTCGGTTTTTTCTTCAAATTTTTCTTCAGATTTTTCTTGGATTTGAAGGATACTTGATTTGGAAGTTTGCAAAGAGATCTTCTTCTTTTGGAGCTGTTCCAATTCAGTAACTCTTTCTTTGAGTTGTGAAATTAAATTGTCTTTTTCGATGTCGAGTTGTTTTCCTAAAGTATTCATCATTTGATCCTTCTTTGTTGTGTCTAATTCTTCTTGTATTGACTGCATCTCAGACATAACAAGTTCTAAGTTCTTTCCAATTGTTTTCGCCTCTTTTGCAACAATATTTTGACCGACATCGATGACGTTTTTGTCGTCAGAAAGACTCAGCAAAGGTCGTGGAGGGAATTCTATGACATCTCCTGCAGCTGTAACAAGCTTGAGGACTTCTGTCTTAGGAACGCTTGTTACTTGTTCTGCTGGATATACTTCAGGAGGTTGTTCTGGACTGATTTCGTTCAACAAAAGCGAAAAGATTTCCATAGGAGGAATAAACTTCAAAATCTTGTGTTTTGGAGTTTCAATTATATCAATCTGGCAACTGATGTTTGCTCTTGATGCTGGAGAAACATCAACATTGTCGTAATGCTGAAGAATGTTTGTATAAACCTTGGTGAAGTGACCTTCATTTGTGTCACTTTTTTCATTAACTTCGACATCAATTTTTGGTTCAACACTTGCTTGAACTGTATGAATTTTAACCATTTTTCTTATTCTTTCTATTTGTTGTCTTCTTGCGAATCTTTCATTAGCTTCTTTACCTAGATCGAATACTTCTACAGAAGATTGCAAAGGCCTCAACTGCAAAGAGTTGAATGGAATTGGATTTTCCAATTCAGGAGTTTTAATTTGTCTGTCAGATTTGACTTCTGGAATTTTCTCAATTTGTTTGTTTTCTTTTTGTGGAGAAATAGAAACTGTTCCTTCACTTGTAAATGTCAAATCATTCGTCTTCAACTTGATATTAATCGAATTCGATGAATCACTAATAGCAATCTGTTTCCTCAGCTTATTTGTCTCAACAGGTTCGTTTGTTTGGACATCAGTTTGTGTTGTTTCACTTTGTTCATCGATATTTATTGAATCTTTTGATTCAGCCATTATAAGAATTGAAGAGTTCTGTGGCCTGATTGTCTTCTGTGTCTGTCCATCAACAATTTCTGTGTGTACAATATTAGGTGGAGGAATAATTTCTGGTTTTTCTATAACAATAGAACCTTTTTCTTCGTTTATAGAAATTCTTAATTGTTCTTTGTTTCTTCTTGGTTTACTACTATTTATAATAGGTAATTCCTCAGTTGAAGAAGAGTTTGTTTCACCATCCAAGTGTATATTAGGTTGTGACAAAATGAGAGAGAATCTTCTTGAAAGAGTATAAGCAGATCTTGCTGTTGATTCTTCGGATTTTCCTTTGTTTTCTGGTACTTCCACGAAAACGTATCCTTCTGATCTGTCCAAACAAATTCTCAACTGTTGGAAATGAGTGTTGTTTGTTATTGTCTCTGCGTCTTGTAGCAAAGGAGGATCAGTATTGGATAATTGGTTGATCAGCGTAGGTGGTAGTTTCGATGAATCGATTTCTTTAGTTGGAGGCATTGAAAGACAAATTTCGGTTTTGACAGAAAGATCTTTTTTGACAACATCACGAGAATTATCGAAATACATGTGAGAAACAGCATTCTTTGTTAGAAGAATTGGTCTGTCGTGAGTAACAGGAGATACATATCTCTGTCTTTCCTTCAAATCTTTAAGCCGTTTCTGGAGATTGTCAATTTCTTTCTGTTTTTCTTCAGTTTCAATCAAAAGTTGGTCGATTTGAGCTTTAGTGACATCATCGAGATTTTGTTGGGCCAAAGCTTTGTTCTGTTGCAAGAGATGTTCTTTCTCTATCTCTAGGGCTTTGATTCTTGCATCTAATTCGGCTGTTTGCGCTTGTAAATTGTTTGTTCTGTCTGCCATCTTCATTCCATCGATTTGACCCATGAGTTGTGCAATTTGGTCTTTGTAGTCTGTTTCCATGTTGTAGATCTTTGTTTCATACTCTTTCTCTTGGTCAGAAAGCTTCTGATCAAATTCTTTTTCTTGATCTAACCTTTGCTGCGACATTCTGTTCTTAAGTGCTGATTCAAAGGCCATTCTTTGCTTGAGGAACTCCGATTCGACCCTTTGTCTGATCTCTCCAGCTAATCCTGCGATATCTACTTTAGGAAGTTCGTTTGTTTCTGGAATAATGAGGTCGCTCTTCTCCAATTCCAATTGTTTGTACACAGCTAGCTCTTGTTCTGTCTTGTCTTTGGCTAATTTGTACATATCTACTTCGGAATTGGAATTCTTCAATTGTTCGCTGAGTTGTTGTATCAGGTTGTCCTTTTCTTCAATGTCTTTATCGATTTTGGCCTTGAATCTGACGAATTCTTCCCTTTGATTTTGCATTCTTTGGTTGAAATCGCTTTCTAGCTGAATTGCACGCTTTTCGTAGTCCGTGGTTATCTTCTCTATCTTTGCGGCTGTGTCTTGGTCGACGTTTGACATCTCTGCTTCGTCTAATTTCTTCTTCATTTCGTTTAATCTCTCTGTAAAGTCCTCGATCGTGGAATTCATCTCAGCCTGGTGGTCATTCTTGAGCTTTTCGATTTCAAGGTCATGGTCTCGCTTCATATTTTCGCGTAATTGCATTTCATTATTTTTGAAATCTTCAAAATCAGCTCTATGGTTCTTGCTTGCATATTTCAAGGCCATCTTCTGCTTGAACGTCAATTCCCTCTCTTCAAATTCGTTCCTAAGTCTTTGGATTTCGAGTTCTTGATTCTGTTGATCTTCTTGCTTTTGTTTGTTCATTTTTTCTTGTAATTCACCGATTTCTGTACGTAATGTTTGTATCATTTTGAGAGAAGCTGTGTCTTTTCCTGCTTTTCCTGATTTATCAGCGTTTGCGTTAATTAATTCACGAAATTGAAGATCAAATTTCTTTCTATCTGTCTTGATTTGTTCTTCTAAGCTTGTAATTCTAGATTGTAAAAACTCTTTCTCGTTCTGAGTAAGTCTAACCGTAGTTTTTACATTTGTATTTTCTTCTTTAAGGTCGGAGATTTCTTTTTTAAGTTTTTCGATAAGTACATCTTTTTCTGATGCTTCGAAATTAGCAGCAAGTGTTGTACTGTTTGAGCTTCGTGATGTATTTACTTGAATTGAATCAACGATAAGTTTTTCTATTCTTTCTTGTTGTTCTTTGTTCGTAGCTTCGAGTCTTGCGATTGTTTTCTTTGCTTCGTCGAGTTCTTTCTTAGTTGCTTCATCTAATTTGCTGTCAATCCTTCTTTGTACGGAAATAACCTTTTTGGCGTTCTCTTCCTTGAGAGCTTTGATCGTCTGCTCTTGTTCCATGATCTTATTTTCTAATTTGCGTATTTGCATAATTGATTTTGAAACAATATCAGTATGGATTGATACAGCTTTGAGAGCTGTTTCGTTTTTAGTATTAGAATCGAGTTTTTGAATTACTTCATCGTCAACAATTGGAACATCTATTGGTTGTGTTGCTGTTTGTAATGTTTGTTCTTCTTGTTTGAGCCAGAGTGATATGCCATCCATAAGGCTATTCTGTGTTTCTTTCAATTCTCGATTCTTTGAGAGTAATTCGTCAACAATTTTTTGTGATTGTTTAACAATATCTGTTGGCTGAAGCATACTGCTGGCAAATTGCATGTCAAAGTCAGCACGCATCTTTTGGGAATCATCTTCCATCTTTTCTTCGTAATTAGAAACGATTTTTCCAATGTGTTGAGTTACGCGTTCGATTTGAGAAAATGAATTGTCTGGATTATAGTCTGGTAGAAGCTCCTCAGGAGGTTTTAATGGCCTAGATACTGGAGAAAGACACCCAGATGTTTTTGGATATTCGATTTTTGGTAAAGGAGGAAGAGCTGCATTTGCAAAATGCATAGCTGCCTTAGATTTCTTTGGAGTCTTATTAATACCCTTGGGAGCGTCAGAAAGAACCCCCTGACGTGCTCCCGGAGCTTTAGACATATAAAATTTAAACTTTGAGGTACCTCGCTGAATTTTTTGATAGAAAATAACGTAACAATTTTTTCAAAAATTTCGAAACAATGAAACACTAGTAGAACGATTCCCAAGCAAAAAAGTGATCTTTCAAAGTATAAATCACATAAATACAACATTATTCATCAAATTTATTGCTTATCACTCTGAAACTAAGGCAATTTAGGCTGCCAAATCAATCTCTACAAGCTTAAATTATTTGTCATTCCTTAATCACATGCTTATAATCTTGGTAAATATGAGATTATGTTATATCTTTTGCGGCAGACATTCATCAACGGAAAAAAGGCTTTTATTGTTTGGGGTCTATTGATGGATTAATGTAAAAATCAATAATATTTAATAGAGAATATAAGAATAAAATTTTAAAAGAATAAAACAAATTAGAACAAGATCTCATCGCTTCCTTCTATCATAGTTTCGCCTTCCATGATAGCTGTATTGACTTCAAGGCAGCGGTTTCCAACGACATTGACCAATGCGTTCTTCATATCGATTTCTGGGATATGATCGTAGAAGAACTTGTTTGATGCCACGTGGAATATTGTAAATCTCTTCTTAGGATTTGGATTGACCATACCAGACAACAAAACTTGCGCATCTTGAGGTAATTTCGAGGGATCTTTGTTGACTTCGTATGTATTCATCAGTAAGTAGTAAAATACTGTGCCGAGAGCGAATACATCTGTTGCAAATGTTAATTTATGTGTTGTTTCAACTTCTGGTGCGGTATATAAGGTCATTGGACCGTGGGAATCGATAAACTTGTTCATGGTGGCCATACTGAAGCCTGTGATAATGACTTTTGTCTTTGACTCAACAAGGATATTGCTGAGAGAGATGTTTCCATGAATGCAGCTCAAGCAGTGCATGTGCTTAACTACATTCACTAAGCCCCACATCATCTTAGATGCGTTTTCAAGAGTGATCTTTTTGTTATCGAATATTCTTTCATAAAGATCGCCTTTCTTGTAAAATGGCATGACAATAGCGTTGAAATCTTCTTGCATAATAATTCTCTCTATAGAAACAATGTTAGAATGATTTAAAATACCTAAAATTTCGATTTTTTCGTCTTTAAATTTTCTAAATCTCGATCTGCTTGGAAGATATTTAATAACGCACTTTGATTTTGTGTTTTTGTTTGTGGCTTCATAACAAGCACTATGTAGTTTTGCCGTTAATTTGGCGAAAACTTCGTAATTATCGATTTCAAACGGGAGAACTCTCTCCTGAGGAGGAGCATCCTCGTCATTTTCCTCTTCCTCCTCTTCTTCTTCGTCCTCTTCAGTTTCGTTCTCTAATGTTGGCTCTTGAAATTCATCAGGGAAACTCATTTTGTATGGAAAAAATTTGACAAATCAGCGGCTTTTTGCGTGTTTGAAAATCCTGTCATAATTATTTGATTGAAATTACGAGAAGTAATGACAAATCGATATTTAAATTTTGTTCTGAGAATTCAACTTTACCATCAAAACTACAATAGTTATGAATTTTGCGCTTGAGGATAGAATTCTTGTGGCATAATTAACTCATTTTATTAAACCATCAAGGTATAAATAGTCCGAACAATTAATATCAAATTTGGTTAAAATACAATGTTGTTCGAATTGACAATAAGTAATCCATCCGTATTTTGATGCAATGTATGAATTCTTAACCTCTAAAACTTATATTTAAAAAAATTATCAAATTAAAATATAAAAACTTTTTTTTAAATAAGATAGATAAATCTAAAAAGAAATTAGTTCCACAAATCAAGAGGATCAACATCTTCTTCGGCGTTTGCTTCTTCAGTTTCAACAGACAAAGCCTCGACCTGAGCACCTTCCTCAGCTTCTTCATCATCTGCATCATTAGCAACTGGTTCAGGTGCAGCAGCGCCGCAAAGGCACATTTCCATTGGTTCAGCCTGTTCTTCCAGCATGACTTCATCCTCAGCACATTCATCAGCTTCATTAATTGCGAAGCGCTCTTCCAATTCCATTGGAGCAGCTCTTCCTAAACTCTTGCACTTCATTACTGGTGCAGCGTCCATGCAAGCATCCAATGCCATTGGAGCAGCAGCGGAGAAGCAGCAGAGTTGTGGAGCGATGAAATCAGCCTGTGGAGCTGCTGGTGCTGGACATGGTGGAGGAGCAGCGCCGAATCCAGTTGCCATAGCTCTTGTGTGCAATACATTAGAGCGAGCAGCGAATGGTCTGGCGATAACTTGTTCCTGTCTTGCGAATATGCCTAAGTCTGCGATGACCTTGACTAACTCGTCGTCGCCTAACTCTGGTATGTTATCCAAGACTTGTCTGACGAACATGTTTGCGAGTTGTGTTGCTCTCTGGAGTTTGCGTGGTAACTTGGATAGTTCAACAGTGTGTTCGCTTGTGAATGAACTCTGTAAGCGGTTGTAGATAGTGCGGATTGGATCAGGAAGATAAGTGCAGATATCGAATTCTCCTGCGAATGATTTGATGAATGATGTCAACTGTTTCTTCTTGTCTTGTTCGAGTGAGTAATTCTCAACTTCCTGGCCAGCGAAGTATGCAACAGTTGTCTGCAAGTTAATGTACTCTGTGACTGCAACTGCTGGCATGTTCTCATTGAATGTTGGCAAGATCTTGCGGCAGAACTTTGAAACCGCTGCCATTTCAGAAGGCTCATTGAATTCATTGAATGGTTTGAATATTGCCTGTTCAATTGTATTGAAATTGGAGCCCAATTTTGCGAAAGACTTCGGATACTCCTGGTCTGCCTTTCTCCTTGCGTTCTCCTTGAGGATGACGTAAGAGTGGAGTGTGAGAGTCTTGATTGCCTTGCTATAGCTATCGAAGCATCCCTTGAATTCCTCGTGAAGAGCTGTGAATGATGTTGCGAATTTGAGGAATGCGGAGTTGTCTTCACCGGCTTTGAGTTCGTTGAGGCCTTTCTCGATGAATGGAGCGATTCTGCTTGGAAGAGACTCACCGAGGTTCAACTCGCCAAGGACGTGTGTTGCCAACTCGATGTACTGTGGCAATTTGCTGACAAGTCCTGACAAAATGAAGCTGTCGACGACTTTTTCGTAGAATGCGCCGAGTTCCTTTGGAATTGTAACAGGAGGCTTTGGAACGAAGTAATTTGGCATCGCGTCGTGAGCGAGGAGATCGCTGAGTGCTGGTATCTGTCTCATTGCGTTCTCTGTTGCATTTGGAGCGCAGAGTAAGCAGAAGAATGCGCACATCTCATCATTATATCCCTTGAATGCGAGTTCGAAAATCTCGAATACATCAGGGATCTGCAATCCGCACTGTGAATGCAACTGTACATAGAATGATGCGCATGCAACAGCTGCTCTCTTCGCCTGCAAGTTCTTCTTTGCAGCGAACTTGAGGAATTCAATCAATTCAGATGGAGCTGGGAATCCAACTAATTCTGGGAAAACAGACATCTTGCAGAGAGTAACGATGTAATCATCCAAAACAGGTGATCCGCTCAACAATTTCTTGATGACTTCGTAGATCATTGTTGAGCTGAGATTGATGAGTTGATCGGCCTGTGAAACGAAGAAAGAAGTGTTCATTGCCATGATGATATTCTCTAAGTTATTTCCTTTGACGATATTGGCAAATGAAGCTGTGTTTCCTGAGAATCTCTCGTGGACTTGGTTCTCATTCAACTTCGCAAGGAGTTTGAAGTTTTGAAGAGTTCCAAGTGAATACAAACCGATTGTTATCAAAACATTTAAGATTTCAATCAAATCGGAGTAAGTAACTCTCATCTTTCCGAATGATTTGACAAGTTTTGGTGCTGAAATGTCTTTGATAATTAAATCAGCAAGTTCTGTAATCATCGGGCATTCTGTCCACGTGTTGTTATATGTTGGATAGAAACTATTAAGTGATTGCAAGCAGAGAATTGACTTATAGAAATCAGCAGCCTTGCATTTGTTCAATGCCTCGAATACTTTGATGAATTCTTTAAGTGGTTTCGTGTTGTTTGAATACGACTTTCTAACAGATTTAACATTAGATCTGTTTGCTGTGAATTCTTCTTTGAGTTTCTCGCCAATCAACTGTGATGTCTTATACTGTTGTACTTGGTCAAACAAACTGTTTGTTGAGTTGACAGTGTTTGTCAAAACAGAGAATTTGTAGTCATTCAGTTTGTTCCTGTAATCAACAACAGAGAAAACATTTTGGTACTGTGGATGTGGCTTGAAATACAAATAGAAGATGAAGCCATCGTATTCGATTGGAATGTGGTTTCTTGCACTTTTTTCATCAAGGAATTCATTGACATTCAAGCTATTTACGGCATCGAAATTGAGAATTGCGTCTGGGAAGTACTCTTTGATCATTGGAGCGTATGCCTTGTTGTAAACAATTTGTACTGATTGTCCCATCGCTGTTTCATAGAATTTCTTGATTTCTGGAGTAGGAAGTTCTAACTCAATGTGCTTCATTAATGTACTTGGAGCAACATCGATGGCGAACTGTCTGATCTTGATGTACATTTGTGCTAAATCTGACTCGTAATCCTTTGGTTCGTATACTTTGTAGTATTCGTTGACAGATTCAACAACTTTGAACCAGGCGGATTGGCTGATTGAGAGAAGTAAGTCCTCTGGAATGTCCTGGAACTGCTCTGGAGCGTTGTATTGGATGTCAACTGGGTGATCAGTTAATAATGGGTTGCAAACATCAGTTACTGGGACATTGAATGTACTCAGGTATTGTTTCTGGACTTCCCTCCAATCTCTCTTTGCGAATTCAAAAACTTCAATTGATGTCATGTAGAAATTGAAGTTTTTGTTCTTTGAGATTGGTTTGTTCCTCAATAAATCCATAATAGCAGCTGTGTACTCTGTGGCTGGCTTGTCAAGTAAATATCCTTCGAAATGGGACCTGGATAAGACATTGCAGAGTAAAATAGCAAGATACGAATTAGGAATGCGAGGAACAATGTTCTCAATGACACGTGATGTTAATTTGTCATCGACAAGTGATGAAATGTGCCAGGCAACTGGATTTGCAATTAAATCAACGAGTCTTGTATGGCGATGGGCCAAATTGCGAGCATTTGGTGCTGCTATCAAGAGATAAAGAAGTCTCTCGTAGCAGGAAAGTGCTGCTTTCTTGAATTCGACATCATCGGATTTTAATGACTCAGCAAGCATCTTTTCTACGAACAACTGGTAGAACTGGTATCCGGATTGAAGGAATTGGAAGTCTGTTGACTCCCAGAACTTCATCTGCTGAAGGAAGATCTCAACAATACTTACTCTTGTTGATTGGTTGCTTGTTACTGCTTTTCCTGGCATCAATGAGTACTTGTCGAGTGATCCGCGCTTCTTTTCTGGAAGAACAAGAGAGATATCAGAAACAGAAGCGAATTTGCAGATCAATCCGACCAAAGCAGTGTTTCTGTTGGATGTTATGTACTGTGAGAACTTTGTTTCCTCTGTTGGATGACGGATTGCGCCAAGAACAATTGAATTTCGGACATCTTTCTCGAGTAATTCGATTGGAGTTCCGTATGTCTTCTCCATGATGGCGTTCTCTGTTGTCATTGAAAGTGTTGAGAGAAGAGTAACAATTCTGAGACAGATATTAGGGAATGTGTTTGAATCTGTAAGAACTGTTGACTTCTTTGCAAGAATTCTCTTGCAGACTTCGTTGATGAACTTAACTCCGTCATCAAATGTAATTGTTGCGGAGTCTGTGTAGTTATAATGGAATAAATTGGCGGCAACACTCTCGAATTGAGTAGAGTTTCCTGTCTCGAGGAAGTTCTTGACTGACCTTTCGATTGTGGCCTCAAAGAGTTTGTCGTAAACGCCATCTTTTGTATCACGAAGATATCTAAGGGAAGAGTTATTCGTAAAGAAGTTTGAGGTGACGAGCTTCATGAACTCTTCGTTGTTTTCCTCAACGGAGTTCTTGAAAACAGTGTAGTAGAAGTTTGTAGGAATAACTCTTGCTTGTTCAAGAGAATTGAAGCGGAGGTTGATTATATTGATGCCATTGTTTCCTGTGCCGTTGATAACTGGCGAGAAGGCAATTGTTGGGAAGACTTTGTGGATCTTGAAAGATGAAACAATTTTGCCTAATTTCTCGCGAAGAGAAGCAATTGGCTCCCAAATAGAATAGGAATTGGATACAAGGCGTGTAATATAATCGAGGGATGCGTTGATCAGTGGAGATTCCCAATCTAATGTTTCAACATACTGAAATGTGTCCTGGAGACAGTTGAAAATGGTATCAACGACTTTCTCACGGTTGTAACTGATAGGAATCGTCATATAATCGTAGGCATTGCGCTCCTGAAGGTCTTTATATGTATGTTTTCCATCAAGAGCATAAAGTAACTGCTCAGGAAGCTTACTTCCATGCTTGAAGTCTGTATTTGGTATACGAGCATTGACAATCTTGGCGATTACGTCTGTTGGGAGGCATTTTAGTGCTGGCTTTAAAGCAGCATTGTAAGCGATCGGAGATTTGACGATGTCGTATGCGACATCTGTAAGCTTGGAGTTCTCATCGCATTCCTTTTCCATTGTATTGAAAATTTGTTCAATTGTGTATGTGTGATTGAATTGGAGTAATTTGATGAGGGAGAGAATGTGTTCCTTTGGCATTTCATCAACTAATGTGTTGAGAATATCTGTTTCTAGAAGGAGTGTAGCTAATTCATCGATAACTCTTGAATCAACAGTTGCTTGGGCTAAGCGATCCCACTGCTTCTCTTTAATAAGAGAACGGAGGAATTCTGGATTCCAAATTTCGGTGATGTTTGTTGAGTTGAGCATTTTTAAAAATGAAGTGAGTTGAACCCTTATTACTTTGAAAAGATAAAAAGTTCGCACATAATTGTTATAAAATTACTTACAGATGATAAATACATCAAAAAAATTGGATGTTATATTTTATTGAAATTTTTAAAACGATAGCAAATTGAAAATTTATGAATATTAAGCTGCTTACACATATCTACAATATTATTTTCATGTCGATAGATAATTCAAAAGTCCTTTCAAATTTTGATCAAAAATAATCGGAGAATCGGCTGAAATTCATGCTATGTCCCCTATTCATCATAGGATTGAAAAATATCTTACTGATGTCAAGTAAAATTTTTATGGTAAATAAAACTTTCTATTCAATTTTTATTTCATTCAAATTTCAGTTTGAAATTGATCAAAAATTTTTTGGTTTTCAGCATTCATTCAACGAATTAAATGCGTTTGAATTTTTATTGATAGCCCGTTGTGTAAGAGGTGATTAAAATGCATTTGCCCAACTCGCAAATTAAAATACCTGTCAAAGCAATGTGTTATAGTTAAATTTCGAATTAAACTCGTGCTAACTGACCTTACCGTATATTCTCCTTCCAACTGAACGATTCAAATAATTCCTTATTTTAAATCAATGTCAGTTTTTGTTGTGCGAATACAATCAATGAATGCAGCAAATGTAAAATATGTGTGTCCCATTAAAAGGTGAATTTAATCATATTCGGGTATTCGAATAAGAATTTGTATAAATTCGCATGGAATGAACAATTACATATTAATTTTGCGTAACTTTGAAATCCATTGGCTAGCTTAGACGTTTGTTATATACTCCTAGTAAACATTCAGGATTCACTATTCATACTTAGCAAATTTAATTGAATATATCAGAATTCCATTGAATGTGCTTTCTATTAATAAAAATAATTATATACCATTAAACTGTGTTTTCTTTGTATAATAATAATTCCGTCTATGTGAATCTAATCATTCAATTTTTCAAATAATCACGGCAAATATAATAATCATTATGTTTTTTCTAGGCTATATTACTTTTTTTCTTCCTTTTATAACAAGTTGCGCATCTTTTCAGTTGATGAAGTTTTTCAATAATGCGAAAATAACTCTATTAGAAGCGATTGGTGCCTCATTTCCCATAGGAATGATTCTATCAACAATTATTTCTTTATTTTTTAACAGAATACTCGGAATTACGTTCTTCCATCTACTTGTCCATGTAATTTCTTTAATTATTTTCACAATATTTATGCAACAAAAAAATAAACATAAAAATTTCAAGAAATTCAAGCTCAATCCGATCATTATCATTTTTTTTATACTTGAAGCAATCTTTACGTTCAGGATTTGTCAGAAAATCTTTCCAGAAAAAGGAGAAATTATAACTGATGCAACTGACCTGATGAATTTAGAATTCGCACTAATAGCTTCATTCGCTAAAGGTATGAACAAAAGAAGTGATGTACTTTCTGGTGTAAGAAACCCTTTTTATTTAAATTCAACAATTACATCTGAGTATATAACCACATTCTACGCTGCACTAATGAAGGTAGGCGGAGTTCCAGTAACGTTTTCAATCCAAATACAGACATTTTTCCTATTCATGTCGGTCTACATTTTACAATTTTCATTTACATACAGAATTACTGGTAACAAGTTTGCTTCTTTGTTATCATCTCTTGCCGTTATTTTACCTGGTGGATTTGGTTTCATGGAATGGCCGATCTATCAAGTCAGAAATCAAAAAAATGTTGATTATATCAATATTATTTCAAAAAATCATTCAATATTTTGGGGACATCCACTAGTACACTGTTTATTGATTTCTAGGACATCAACTTTGTCCCTTTCTTTAGCTATTTTTACTTATATTCTGCTTGAATCAAAATTGGACATTTTTGCAGGTATTTCTCTAATGATGTCTTCAATCACGAGACCACAGAATGGATTTATACTTATGTTCTTCTACTTAGTTTATTGTTCTGACTTCAAAAAAGTTTTGAATAATATTTGGCTGGGACCATCCTTCAAAATGAGAATTAAGACTCAGCTCAATGAATATTATGTCAGAATTATAATGGCAATTCTTAATTTCCTCATTTATTTCATGACAAACATTGATTTTCAAAAATCTTCATCAATGTGGTCGAAGAGCTCATCCAATAGTTCTGCTGTTCCATTTATATCATTCTTCATATCATGCTATGGATTACATTTCTTTGGATTCATTTCTTCGTGTAATCTCAAAAGATCTATAAATTTCATCATGACATTATCACTTTACTATTTCTGTGGATGGTTTACTTTCCAGTCACTTCATCGCAATAACTTTGCAATTGTTTTTTCAATTCTTTCTCCGATAATTATTTCATATTCTTTTGCATCGTACGGGAGATTCTATAATCGTCTGAAAAACAAAGAATTAATAGGTATTTATGATGCATTTTTGTTGTTTATTTTCATAATTGGTGCAACTTCTGCAATATTAGGTTTCGAGAACCGTAAAAAGGTCACAATCGTCAGATCAACAGATAATGAGACCGATCTTGTTGAATGGGTAGTCGAAAATACGTCAAGATTCGACGTTTTCTACAATAAATTCCCGATGAGATGGAATCCTGTTGTAACTAAGGCAGGAAGACAACTATTCTATGGAGATGATAATATGATGCCATATTTGATCGAAAACTTCGAAAAAAATAAAGATATGGTCCAAACAATTTATTACAAGAATTTCACTTATTCGGACATTGATTACTTCATCTACGTAACAAGTGATAAGGATGGTAAAGATATTAAAAACAATCACAGAAAAATTTTGAAATTAGTTTATGAAAATGACAAATATTTCATATTTAAGAACATCGTTAAGCACAAAGACGACTAAGTAGTTACCTCATATATTGTATTTGTATTATAAATAAATTATTTTAAAATTATACCCTTAAGTTCATGCCTTGCAAAAATTTTTTTTTATATGGTGAAACTTATTATTCATTTTGAGATACAAGAAATGAGAAATAGACAATATAGTTATAGATATAGATGGGGCTCCTGCTAGAGATTAATCCTATGTAGTTTTTATAAGAATATAAGATATTCAAATTTGATTTATCTCATTAAAGTTAAAAATAAAAACTAACATTAAAAATAGTGTTTTTATGATATAACTATGCTATATATATAAAATTGAAAAAAAAATAAATAACTAATTTAAAAATCGAAAATTGAAAAGTCAGTGGCTTAAACGATTCAGCTTCTTATTAGAAATCTATTTTTTAAGAAATGAGGGAAAACAAATCAATATTGACGAATTAATAAATCACATTTTAACGCTTAGATATTATTCAAATATATCCTTTTTAAAAGATTTGATATGGTATGACATTTTTACTGCCGAAGTTTCGAAAACACTTAAATCAAATAACAATAATGCAAATTTCAAATTCAGGGCGAAATATGGTGAATAACCAGGATCAGAGGTGGACATTGGCTTTATGATATGCAAAATAAGATAATAAAGCTTAATAGCGAAATGTAAAAAACATGAAGATTTTGGGGTTAAAATAAGTTGAAAATAATTTTTATGATATGAGTATTATACGTGATATTTCAGAATGCGAAAATCTCAATTTTGTCAAAAATTACAACCGTTTTAAAATTGAATGGGAAAAAATTATAGTAAAGTTAATACTGATATTATATTAACCAAATATAGATATTAAAAATAAGAGGTTAAATTTAGCTTTGTGGAAAAATTCTGAATTTTTAATTGAATTTTAAAAATGTTAAACTGATATAAAAAAATTAAGCGTGAATAGGTAAGAGAGGATGATATTTATATTTAAATTTCCCATAATGAAACATTGTTACGAATAGGACAATTGAATAAGGAATTTTTTGTGATAAGAGAGTGATATTGTTGTAAACAGAAATTCATCAAAAGTGACACCTCAGAAAAGCTAAAATATTGAATTTTTGGAACTTTTGATAGAACACGTTTTTAAATATTAATTAAAGTAAATGTATATTTTGTAAAGATTCTTTTTAATAAAAAAAATAAAATTTTGAAGAAGAACACAAAATCTTCTGAAAAATAATATCACATAAACTCATATTATTTTCTAATATATAACTATTTTATATAAAAATCAAATTCAATGATCTTAAAAGCGAAGGATAAACCTCAAAATTTACGAATATAATGAGTGGGAATATAATGCTTATCTATCATAAAACCATATGAAATATCAATTTTTGCTTTACGCCTAATTTTTGACGACAATTAGCAAAAAATGTTAAATGTTAACACTCAGTCCATTTGAATATGAAAAATAAAATTGACTTTGATTAAATGTTTTTATTTATCATGCAATTCTTCTTGCGACCAAAGATTTGAATAAAAGTTCAAAAAATAAGATAGCTTAAAAAATAATATACGGTAGTGTTTACTAATAGATGAATAGTATATAAATTCTATTAAAATGGATTTGATCCAAAAAAATATATAAAATTTGATCATAAATAAAAACGTTTTAAATTACTTCTTCATTTAAATTATAACAATTATTTTTGGTTTTATATTTTTTTGGATCAAATCCATTTTAATAGAATTTATATACTATTCATCTATTAGTAAACACTACCGTATATTATTTTTTAAGCTATCTTATTTTTTGAACTTTTATTCAAATCTTTGGTCGCAAGAAGAATTGCATGATAAATAAAAACATTTAATCAAAGTCAATTTTATTTTTCATATTCAAATGGACTGAGTGTTAACGTTTAACATTTTTTGCTAATTGTCGTCAAAAATTAGGCGTAAAGCAAAAATTGATATTTCATATGGTTTTATGATAGATAAGCATTATATTCCCACTCATTATATTCGTAAATTTTGAGGTTTATCCTTCGCTTTTAAGATCATTGAATTTGATTTTTATATAAAATAGTTATATATTAGAAAATAATATGAGTTTATGTGATATTATTTTTCAGAAGATTTTGTGTTCTTCTTCAAAATTTTATTTTTTTTATTAAAAAGAATCTTTACAAAATATACATTTACTTTAATTAATATTTAAAAACGTGTTCTATCAAAAGTTCCAAAAATTCAATATTTTAGCTTTTCTGAGGTGTCACTTTTGATGAATTTCTGTTTACAACAATTTTTCCAAAAATATCAAAGAACCAATTTGATGCTGTTGTTCTACATGATATTCAATTTAATGTTATTTTAAAATTTAAAGATGAAACTGAATTATTGTGAATATAGGTGAGTTTCAATAATTTTGCATAAGATATATTGAATGCCCTTGATATGCGGTTATATTACAGAATAATAAAATATAAAATAATAAATGTATGATATAAATATGAAAGGCTTAGTTGATCAAACGAAATGAAGATGTAAATTAATTTCAAAAATCTTCACAAAGAAGGTCTGTGCGATTTTTTAGAAACATTAATTGGATGACAATGCAGGATTCGTATTAAGAAATCATAATAAAAAAATCAGATTCATGAAAAGTGACATAAATTTCAAATATCAGATCCTAACAATACCCAACAAGAACTTTTAAATATTCTTGATGGATTGAAGCGATATGATGTAAAGCGATATTATCGGAACCCTGCTTGTATACCAGATGAACAATTGGAAAAAATTCTTTATTTTTTAAAGTATATGATCGATAAAGAGACATTTCTTAAAAATTCAGCAATAACAAAGCAAACAAGAATCCCTGTTTACACAATTAGGAACTGGATTAAAAACTTAATGCAAGACCCCAACTATAATCCAAAATTATCAAAAATCAAATCGCATCTAGCAGTCAGTGAGGAGTTTGATCAAATAATTCTGTTTATAATTGAAACAGAATTCATAGACCAAGGCTTTTATATCAGTACATTTATCTTGAGGAACATTGTAATTAGATGTTCGATCGAATTTCAGGATTTAGTATTAAAACCAAATTTTAAAGCATCCAAATATTGGCTTTCGATTTTTCGACAAAGAATGGGTCTTGTTTTAAGAGGTTTTCATCAACCCAGAGAAAGTGAAGGAACAAACTTAGAAGAAGAAATTAACGATTTTGAATTAACAAAAAGACAACTATTGGAAAAGCATAGGAATGACCAATTTATATCGCGCTTAATAAATATGGACGAAAGTAAATGGTATGAGCATCCAATTTTTGGTTTGACATTTGGATTTAAAGGCGTAAAAAATGTTGTTTTCAAGACATACAATGAAAAAGCTTGTATTACAATAGTTGCTACCATTACATCTAACGGAGAACAACGATTACCATTAATGATTCTACTTAAAGATTCAGAAGAATGTAAGACTTTTGCTGAAAAATTTCCTAATATATATTTTGTTGAATCTAATAAAGGATGGACAACAGAAACAGGTATGATAAAATACATCAAATTTATTGTTGATTTTTATAAAAAGAATTACTTCTCACACAATCAAGCATATTTTCGTGAAAAAGAGAATCAGCACATAGACTTAATCGTAGACAAATATCTGTCTCATATAGGCGGTCAAAAACTGAAACAATGTTTAGTAAAAAATAATGTATCAATTTATTTTGTTCCGTCGGATGCCACAGGTAGGTGTCAGCCGCTTGATGTCAGAGTCTTCGGGGCTCTAAAAGGATCAGCAAGTAAGTTGTATTGGCAAGAATTTATCTTTAATCGAAATTTTCAATTAAATAGAACAAATTCAATTCGTATTCTTGAGAAAGCATGGGATCAACTCGACAAGAAAACAATCGCAGATGGATGGAAAGAATACGAAAGAATTATGAAATTTAATAACACTGATAATAGCAAAATTTATGCTCAAATAAATAAATTGCATGGTGATGTCTACGAGCGCATAATGAATATAAATGATCAATTGATTCTCAAAAAAAATGAATTCGAAATTATATAAGCATATAAGTTTGAATCCAAGCGAACCGCTTAATGATGAAATGAATGATGAAGAATCAAATTCCACAGAAAGTATATATATTTTGGACTACACAAAAGTATATATCCATGATGAGATGACACAAACAAATAAACTAACATTAATATCATGCGAAGAAACAGAACACCCACTATGGGATGAATTTCGCCTTATTGAAGAATTGGTTTGCAATAGCAGCTATAAGCAATCGAAAAATGGTAGATCACATATTTGTTTAATAACAGAAAAGCGAGGAACATATATCAACAATTTTGCAGTTATAAACTCTGTTCTCCAAACACTAAGTTCATGCTTTCTGTTAAGAAAAGATCTTTTTTCTGAAAATCAATACTTAAGTGATGAAATTAACTTAATAGCCGATATCTTAAATAATATGGAAGAAGAAAAATATTCAGTTGACTTTTCAGTATTTAAAATATTTACTCAATCGATCTCTCCCTCACTAATTTTAAGAAACATATTAAATCCAGAAGTTTTTGGATTTGATTTCAATGTAGGCTCTCAAACTTTTTCAGAAACTGTCTCCAGATTAAAAACAGATGAAACAATTGAAGATTTTATAAAGAATAATAATAGATATAATCCAAAAGCATTCATTATCTTTAAACTTGATCGGTACAACAACGATGAATATACGTTCCCTATGTACCTTGAATTTAAAGATGATACATTTTATTATTATTTTTATTTACAAGCTGTTACAACAAAGCATGGCGAAAGTTATAAAACCTATACAAGGTATTTATGTGGAAAAAAGTTTGTGTCATATCAGAAGATATATTTGAGTCCTAATTCAATTTCAGATCCTAAACTGCAAATTCAAGATGATTATGATGCCAAAAGGTCTCAACTGTGCTTATATTTTTGCTTCAAAAGTAAGCATAATGAAAATATTGAACAAAATCATGATAATTCTAATCAAGATACCAATGCAAATAATCACAATGATGCAGATGAAGTCAAAGATTCAGGTGATAACAATGATGCAGATGATAACAACGATGAAGATGATAGCAACGATGAAGATGAAGGTAATTATTCAGATACTGATGACTATAATGACATGGATGCAGAAATAAATGATGATATTAATAGTGAAATCGGAGATGAAAGACCTTATAATGAAATGAATTCAGAAAACGCAACTGAAGTTAATGAAATACAGCTAAATGATATGCTAAATAACCTTCCAAAATTACATTTTGACCATTTAAATAGGAGTCCTTGCTACTTTTCCGATCAGGAACTTCAAGAGATCCTAAACTTTTTAATTAGAAATAATAATGTGCCTCAACAAACTAAAATTTCATATTCAGCAATAGCCAAAAAACTTCAACTAGGATATTGGACAATATACAGGTGGAGCAAAAAACTATTGCAAGATCGTGAGTACAATCCAAAAATTAATATACGCTCTAAACAAAAAATGACACCTGAATTAGAGTCAATAATTTTATTTATCATTCAATATCATTATATAGAAGAAGGGTTTTACATAAATAGTTTTATACTCAAAAACATTGCATTAAGATGCTCGATAGAATTTGAGGATTTGATGCTCAAAGATGGATTCACAGCATCAGATCAATGGTGTCGTACATTTAGAAATAAATTTGATATTGTTTTTCGGGCAATGCACGCAAACAGAGGCTGCTCACCTGATAATTTATCTGAGGAAGAAATTAAAAAATTTCAAGCATTAAAGGAATCTTTGATAATCCAGCACTCTGAAGATCCTTATATTTCCCACCTAATCAATATAGATGAAACAAAATGGTGGGAACACCCGAAATTTGGGTTAACCTTTGCGTTTAAAGGAGCAAAAAGAGTAGTTTATAAAAAATTTGATGAAAAAGCCTGTCTCACAGCAATAGCAACAGTTACTTCAAAAGGAAATAAACTTCCATTGGTTCTTTTGGTAGAAACAGAAAACGAAATGAATAATATTAAAAAGGATTTTCCCACAGTCAATGTTTTTTATTCATCATCAGGTTGGTCAGATGAGAATTCAATGACTAAATATCTTCAAATCGTTCGCGAGTTCTATAACAAATTTTATTCACAACAAAGTATAGAAGCACAAAATTATTACAAGGAACATTATCAAATCGATTTAGTTTATGACTCTTTCCCAAGTCATGTCAGCGCAATAGAAGTTGCCAAAAGGCTCGGATTTAATATCCATTTGGTTCCGGTAGGCGCTACCGGACGTTGTCAACCTTTGGATCAAAATGTCTTCGGTGCATTGAAAGGTTTAGCAAATACCTTATACTGGAATAAGTTTCTTAAAAATCGCAACTCTCCCTTAAACAGGATTAACTCAATTAGAATATTGTATGACGCTTGGGATTTAGTAAGTGAAAAAACTATAACAATGGGATGGGAAGTTTATGACCAAATAGTAAATGAATCAAAATATGATCATACTTCAATTTTCAATGATTTAGTAAATAAATATGGCGATATATATATATATGAACGAATCATGAATATTAATTCCAAGTTTTTAGAACAGGATGATGAAAATACTGATAAATACATTTTAAATCCATCTAGAAATTATTCTCATCCTGTGGAGAAGATAGTTAATAATCTAATATTTATTCAAAAAACAGGGCTGATGGAAAACCATGAGACAGTTCATGAATGTTGGTCTGATTTTCATGACAGACAATTGGAAATTTCAACTATTAAACTTCACGGAGAAACTTCATTAAAAACATTCATTACATTGCTTTTACCTGCTCCAAATACCTATTCAACCAATTTCTCGACTCTAACATCATGTTTATATAATCTTGTTTCTTGTTTCTATTCAGGTGCTAATTGTTCACTATTTTTAAAAGATGATGAATTATTGAATTTAAAGGAATGTTTTAAAGAGCATTTAGAATGTATGACAGGACATTGTTATGGATGTAATTTCGATTCCATTAAAAAATTCGATAAAATTATATCTCCCTCACTAATTTTAAGAAACATATTAAATCCAGAAGTTTTTGGATTTGATTTCAATGTAGGCTCTCAAACTTTTTCAGAAACTGTCTCCAGATTAAAAACAGATGAAACAATTGAAGATTTTATAAAGAATAATAATAGATATAATCCAAAAGCATTCATTATCTTTAAACTTGATCGGTACAACAACGATGAATATACGTTCCCTATGTACCTTGAATTTAAAGATGATACATTTTATTATTATTTTTATTTACAAGCTGTTACAACAAAGCATGGCGAAAGTTATAAAACCTATACAAGGTATTTATGTGGAGAAAAGTTTGTTACTTATAAAAACATATTTGTGAGACCAGATAAAACAAAGTTTGATTTGCCGAGATTAAATGATACGTATCCATCATCACATTCTTATATTGCATTATATTTTTGTTTTAAACTGCCTCACAAACAAAACGCCCAGTCAGTTTCACCTCAAACAAGAGTGCAATTACAAGCGAATCAAACCACTCAGTCAGTTTCACCTCAAACAAGAGTGCAATTACAAGCGAATCAAACCACTCAGTCAGTTTCACCTCAAACAAGAGTGCAATTACAAGCGAATCAATCGGCCCGGTCAGACCTAGATATTCGTATCAATTTATCATTCATTCGAGTTCTCGATAATTCAATAATGACTGGACTTGAGAATGATTCTTATATTTGCTTTGCAATAGCACTAATCCAGGTTCTTTTACATATAAAACCATTTATGGATATTATCGATAAAAACTTAAACAACATAATTTGTCAGCAAATCTCAAACATTGCTAAAAAAGTTAAAGCAAAACAAAAACATGCAACAGAAGAGATCACCAAAATTTTACAGCAATTTGGTATGGCTTCGACTCAAAACACTTATCAAGATACGTATGAATTATTTTGTGAAATGATCAATTCTTTAAGTGAAATTAATGAAATTGATCACATGTTTAGAATTAACGAAGAAACAAGTGATGCATCCGTCTTTTGTGCCGAGATTTTATTAACAGTATCGAATCCGTGTTTTTGTGCAAATAATCTACAAATGCAATTATTTCCATGTATACTTACAATTTGTCTTGAATGGAATTATACTCCAGAATACAATTCGATGGACAAAATATTTCCGTATGAGATAACTAAGAATGAAGTGCATTATATTCTATTTGGTATTATAGTTCATCAAGGTGATAGAAGCCCTCATCAATTAGATGATCATTATGATTCCCATTATGTTAGTTTTATCAGACAAAAAAATGCAAATGCAAATATCCAGATTGTTAAATTTGACGATTCACGAGTAACTGTTTTGACAGAAAGAACAGCATCTCTGCAGATCACAAAGAAAGCAGGTGGAAGGTTTTTATTATTTTATTTTAAAATCGATTAGTTACCATCAATTATAGGAACGATTCTTTTAAGCAATTGAGAAGAAAAAGCGGATGTCGATTGTTATGTCGGAAAAACCTTATAGAGTTAATAAATGTTTGTTAGTATATTAGTTTATTATTATTATTAGATTATTTATAGTTGGATAGAAGATATGTTATAGGTGACCGAAAGTGAAGTGAATTGTATGATAAAAAATTTTTCAAATTCAGCCCTAAGTTCCTTGCGGGACAACAATCACTTGTTATTGTTGTCAGAACAAGTGATTGTTGCATAAAAGGCAATCATTCTATGATAATGACTGTCTTTTATGCAACTTTGTTTGAAATCTTATTTGATTCTAAAAAAAGTTGCTTAGTAAACAACAATCACTTGTTATTGTTGTCAGAACAAGTGATTGTTGCATAAAAGGCAATCATTCTATGATAATGACTGTCTTTTATGCAACTTTGTTTGAAATCTTATTTGATTCTAAAAAAAAGTTGCTTAGTAAACAACAATCACTTGTTATTGTTATCACAACAAATTTTAATTACGAAAAATATATTCATAATCTTTGCATGACTATATATTCTGAATCTTTTAAATCTCTATTAATCTTTTATATTTATATTTGGTCCAATTGTAATGAACCCTCAAATATTATTACTAAATCCCTCTACTTATAATTTTTCCCTTATTTAACCATACATTCTTCATTACAATTTTTTTAACCTCTTATTCCAATCTTAGTTTTATTCACTAACTTAAAAATATCCGAATCTTAATAATTATCATGAATGATTTCATTCCATTTTGCCTTTTTTAAAAAAAAATTGAAATTCTATTTCATTAAAACGCCATTTTTAAGCAAATTAACATCAACTACTCAACTATTAAATAGCAAACATTATTTTATTGTATTGAAATCAGATCTAAATGATTTTCAATTTTTCCAAATTCAGTTTCAAAATCGGTAAAATTGTTAAGATCTTATACAATATGCATAAGATACTATTTTCCATATCTTTTTTAAATACTTTTTGTAATATTTGGAAGTGACCAAAATGTGCTTATGTAAACGTTTGGCTATAGAAATTAGAGTCAAATATCAGTTTTATAGAACAAATTAATATGTTTTGTATTGCTTTTCGATGTATTGCAATTCAATTACAGCCAAATCAGCTCTATTTTATTAAACTCATAGCTCAGAACATTTCGTGTAATCATGTATGCTATATCTTACTAAATAAACATCTAACATTTGACTTTATGGATAATAATGATTTTTTTTCCGTTACTTGATATTATAGGCTGATAAAACCACAATCATATTAAACTTCCTCCGAAATAATTAATAAAGAAAAGTTTTTTAATTTCTAAAACTCATTATGAAGTATCATATTTAATCGATTTTTTATTTTCATTTGTTATATCATATATCAATAGTCTATCATTCCTTCATAAATTATCAGCAAAGAAATTTCTCAAATACCATCTCTGTGGGGAGATACAATGAAATGAAAAATCATTTTGTGACATCAAAATCTAAAATTCTATTCTTTCTAATACATATAACTAATATCTTTAGATATAGTACATTATATATATAGTTTCAAAAATCTTATATGTTTATTGGTTATTGAGATAGAAGCGCTTTAATTATCTCAATTTTGAGAAAAAATGTAAAATTCAGAAAATCATAGGGTATAATATAATTTTTAATAATAAACATAAATTCGCTGCTTGATGATTGTAAATCATGTAAAACAACGATTAAGCAATAACAAAAACAAAATATAAAATAATCATCCGAAACATAACTAATTGAAGAAAATAACCGTAAATAAATGTAGTAGTTCGTAAATTCAAAGTAAGATCTGTTGTAAAATGTCGTAGAAAATGATAAAATTTTGAAAAAATATTAAATCGAAAAATTATTTGTTGAAAGATGTTCTGTAATTAATCGCATTAGATTTGAGTTTCTTGGGATTTATGAAATCCGTCTTTTTCTGGGTCATTATCTTCTAAACGTTCCTCAACGGCTTGACGGAGGGAAGCGCCAAGGGATACTTGACCAGTATTCTGAGGTGGAGGTTCTTGTTGGTTCTGTGGTTCGTTATTCTCGTTTTGTTGATTTTCATTTTGTATTTGTTCGTTTTGTTGCTGTGGTGGTTGTCCGTTTTGTTCTTGTGGTTGCTCTTGTTGTTGTTCCTGGTTTTGTTCGTTGTCTTGGTCGTTATGAGATTCTCTAATTTTTTCTTCAACTTCCATAACTTCTTCGTTGAATGTCTTTGGAGAAGGAGCTGTAATATTCTTATATGATTCGAGGTTTTCTTGTTTTTCTGGACTCTTCTTGGAGAAATTCAATTTCTTTTGGAATTCAGCCTGACGACGTTTTCTTTCATTGTTTTCCTTGCGCTCTTGTTCAAGAATTGATTTATCATTTGGAGGCTTCAATTCTCCTAACAAATTCTTATGAATTGAATCTCTTTTTCTTGAACCGGCGTAAGTAGGAGCAATTTGTAATGATTGGCTTGATGACTTTTCATGTTCGCTTTCTGACTTCTTTTGTTGTAAAACTTTGTCTCTATTTGCTAATTCATCTAATCTTTTTTCTTTTTGTGTCTCTAAGAAGGTTGTTTGCCTTTGTCTGATGTTTTCTATGTTATCTAGGTCTCTTTCCATTCTTTTCTCCATTTGCTTCTTGTATGTCCTGTAGTCTTTTACGAGAGCTCTTTGAGCGTTTTGAGTTTCGATATCAGCAAGAGCTTGAACTTCAGAATGGATACGCTTTGCTCCATCGAAATTGTTTGCCAAAGCCAAGTTGCGCTCCATTTCTTTAAGTTCTAAGAGCTTTTGGCTCGGTTTTCTGTATTTACGCGGCATTTCTTCAATCCAAACATTCTCGAACTGTTCTGTTTCTTGCTTGTGCTTTTCTTGAAGAGTCTGTATTTTCTGATCGAGTCTCTGATTTAAGTCTTGAATCTTTTGTTGATAATCTTTTTCAATTTCTTCTCTTTGTTGAGATGTTGACTGGACAGAACGTTCAGATGGAAGTGCAGACTTACTTCTAGTTTGAATTTCTTGCTTTGAAAGCTCAGCAAGGTTATAAGCTTTTTGAGCTTCATCATATTGTTCGTTCATCGAACAATCAGCAACGTATTCGCGTAAGTGAGAGTGTAGTTTCGTTAAATCTTGATCAGAAACTTGACTTAAGTCACCTGTCTGCATAACGTTATTTCTTATATTGATACATTCCTGATCATCTAATGTTGAAGCAGCTGTTTTAACTTGTTGTTGTTCGGGTTGTGGCTGTCGATTCTTGATAGAAGCGGTTGATGAAGTTCTTGATAATTTTGTCAATGAACTTTTAGCAGAAATAGATATCGGCTGAGATGCAGATACATTATTCCTATAGGTTGTTGTCGGCCTGCGAATAACCGGCCGTTTATGTGTGCCGATAGTAATAGAGCAAGGCTTTTCCGACATTCTGGAGTAACGTAACTTTTACATATCGTCCTCACAAAAAATTCAGATTTTGATGTTTATGCGATAAAAAGATAGTAATCATGGAAAGCGAATAAAGTATATGTTTTTAGTTTTCCAAAATTTTTCAAAAATCAAAAAATAATGATCAAAATCTAGAAAATGAAAAGAAAATCATCAATTTTGAAAAAATTTTGGAAAAATTTAAAGTAACAATGATGTTATTTTAGATATAGTTTTAGTGTTGATCTCTAGATTTTCAAAATTTCTATTGTCACTAAGTTTTTTCGAGAAAAATACCTTCAAATTATTGATTTAACTAATAATTCTTACATACATTTTCATATTTATGCATTTAAGACATGAATATATCTTATATCCTTCAAAATATTTCATTATTATGAATAATGAAAAAGAATTTAAGGATGATCTTCATCTTCTCCAATCATTAAGTCAGTATACATTATTAAACATGAGAATTCACCACAATGGCTTCTATTATCGTAGAAAAATTTTCATTATACGTGTCAAGTTTGTTTTAACTCATCTTGATAAAGAAATATCATGTGCAAAGCATTTTTCATTCATTTGTTAATTCATCAATATTGAATGTGTCCTATGCATCCATTAGAAAGAACGGTATCATTGTCTCAAAAACCGTCACTTTTCGCTTATCCAAAAGTAAACTTCAGAATTATCGCCCTTTTTATATTTATTTTTTACAGATGGGAAACTCCAATTCTATCCCAAAGCCAACTCCACAAGAAGTCGAGCAGCTCACAAAGACAACTCATTTCAATAAGGAAGAAATCAGCAAGCTCTATGACGCATTCTCCAAGATTGCCAGCGCATCTGGATCTGCCGATGGAAAAATCCAGCCAGAAGAGTTCTATGAATCCCTTGCTATTACTAATCACGAGTATGGAAAGAAGGTTTTCGAGGCCTTTGATACAAATCCAGACGGTGATCTCTCATTCTCCGAATATGTTTCTGGCATTTCCCAGTTATGCGAGAGAGCCTCTGTAGAAGAGAAGGCTAAGTTCTGCTTTGGCTTATACGATGCTGATAAGTCCGGATGCATCACAAAACCAGAGTTCATGTCCATCATTACAGCTTCTCTTGGACAAATGCCAGGTGCTGACCCAGCTCTTGTCAACCAGATCGCTGCTCAGCTCTTCAAGGAGATTGATAAGTCTGGCGATGGAAATATCAAATTCGAAGAATTCCTTAAAGCAGCTTCAAAGAACAACAATATTGTCAAATGCGTTGAAGTCCATGTTGAACATATTTTCGCGCATTAAAACTGCGTCTTTAACATATTTTACAATGGTAAAAAAATTTTATTCAAACAAAAAAAAATCTATAAATTATATTAACATATTTTTCCTTTGTACTGCTGTAACAAGTTGAGCTTTTGCTGCAGACATCATCATAAACGCCGATGAAAATTCGCCACATAATTGTTCGCATTTTACGAAAGATTCAACGAATTCTACAGAAGATATGAACAGTGGCGAACCGGAGTATATGACTGCCATAAAGAAAAACGAAAAAGCGGAATCAAAGTCTAATAACCCTGATTCTTTAAAACAATTGCACACAAAGTTAAGTGCGTTGTGTATTTCATATATAATATCAAGTGGACAATTATGGAATGAACAACCGATGACTTCCTGGGAAGCTCTGATCAATAAAGGATGAGTTTCAATAAATTGACGATTTGTAATATGGCGATCATCAATTTGAATGTTGGAAGGGACATTAATCTCTGATTGAAGGAGTTCATCGAAAAATGAAGGGTTTACAAGTTGATCTTTAAATCCGAAAAAATATTCTGGCTTCGGATAGACGCAATTGTCATAAATAGCTCTCATGAAGTATAGGAATATAATTGGTATATGGGATTTGTCTGTAATTTCATATTTTTCTGTGAATTTTTGGAATAAAATGTTGATTCTTTTGGAAAATTGTAATTTTGGATATTCAATGAATGTTGATGTAAAATCTTTCAATGTGTTTGCTAACGGATTTAATGGAGAAAACAAAAATCTGTTGAAAACACATTGATTTGAATTCAATGGGAAATAATGTATTGCAGGATTGTAAATTGGCATTGTATTCGAGACTAATGTTGAAAGGAAGTTCTTTTGAGATGAGAAATCTATATAATTATTGATCAAAGTTAGTGAATCAATTCTATTTTTTGCCATATATACATCCAAATGATGATCTAGAGACGGCAAACGAAGCATGTCCTTGAAAAATTCATCTTTGATATCTAATCTGATGTGCAAAGGTATTAGATTCGGTATCGAGAATAAACACATTAATTCGCTACACATTTTTATGGCTTTGTTGAAAACAGTTAAGTGCATTTTGTGTCTTTTAACAGTTAAGAGATGATTTACTGAGAGTTGATAAGTGACTTCTGGAGGTAAATATAATTTTGAGATTGGGAAAGGTATTGGTTCATGTGGACTCTCATTAATAAGGTTTGTATGAAAGAAATTTGTTATTTTATCACAAATCTGCTGATGCTCAATTTCCCTTGTGGCCAACATTGAGCCTAGCTCCTTTTTATTGTTGGATAAAAAGAGAGAATTGATCTGAATGTATTGCCGAACATCGTCATGCTCTGTAAGCCAGAGAAAAAACCCGTTTGTGTCTGGATTTTTACTCGGTATCATATGTGCTTTGAAAATTTTTTTTGAAGTAAAATAAAATTCCAAATGCATCGTTCTAGTTTTATGAACATAGATAGATATTGCTATATAACATGACCAAATAAAGTTGTAATTTTGGAAAATTTTTGATTCAGGAGTGGAATTTACTTTCAATTATGACAGCAGAATGGGTATTCACACTACAGACCATGAATATAACTATTTGTGAATGAACTAAATCAAGATGTCAATACTTCAAATCCATGAATCGCGATTTCCTATTGTAAAGATAACAAATGGTGATTGATTTACATCTTGTTGTAAACAGAAATTCATCAAAAGTGACACCTCAGAAAAGCTAAAATATTGAATTTTTGGAACTTTTGATAGAGCACGTTTTTAAATATTAATTAAAGTAAATGTATATTTTGTAAAGATTCTTTTTAATAAAAAAATAAAATTTTGAAGAAGAACACAAAATCTTCTGAAAAATAATATCACATAAACTCATATTATTTTCTAATATATAACTATTTTATATAAAAATCAAATTCAATGATCTTAAAAGCGAAGGATAAACCTCAAAATTTACGAATATAATGAGTGGGAATATAATGCTTATCTATCATAAAACCATATGAAATATCAATTTTTGCTTTACGCCTAATTTTTGACGACAATTAGCAAAAAATGTTAAACGTTAACACTCAGTCCATTTGAATATGAAAAATAAAATTGACTTTGATTAAATGTTTTTATTTATCATGCAATTCTTCTTGCGACCAAAGATTTGAATAAAAGTTCAAAAAATAAGATAGCTTAAAAAATAATATACGGTAGTGTTTACTAATAGATGAATAGTATATAAATTCTATTAAAATGGATTTGATCCAAAAAAATATAAAACCAAAAATAATTGTTATAATTTAAATGAAGAAGTAATTTAAAACGATTTTATTTATGATCAAATTTTATATATTTTTTTGGATCAAATCCATTTTAATAGAATTTATATACTATTCATCTATTAGTAAACACTACCGTATATTATTTTTTAAGCTATCTTATTTTTTGAACTTTTATTCAAATCTTTGGTCGCAAGAAGAATTGCATGATAAATAAAAACATTTAATCAAAGTCAATTTTATTTTTCATATTCAAATGGACTGAGTGTTAACGTTTAACATTTTTTGCTAATTGTCGTCAAAAATTAGGCGTAAAGCAAAAATTGATATTTCATATGGTTTTATGATAGATAAGCATTATATTCCCACTCATTATATTCGTAAATTTTGAGGTTTATCCTTCGCTTTTAAGATCATTGAATTTGATTTTTATATAAAATAGTTATATATTAGAAAATAATATGAGTTTATGTGATATTATTTTTCAGAAGATTTCATTCTATATGCCTATGAAAAGTACTCTCAAAACTAACTTTTTCCTAATTATAATTAAATCTAGAATATTGTATTATGCTTAGTATTATTTCATTTTTCTCATTCAATTTAGAATTTACAAATGTCAAAAAATTGAGAGCTGTCACTTTTGATGAATTTCTGTTTATTACAATCTAAATTGATAGATGCTATCCAGGCACATAAATTTAAATAAATGACTAATAAAAAAATTTTTTTTTCGATGTCTGATCAAGACATTCTTCCAGATGAATATAGTGAAATGAGAAATATCTTTAAATATTACATTGATTCGTATACGGCGTTGTATCAGTTAAAAACGAATAACGATGATGAATTAAGCTCGATTTACAAAAAGATCAAAACAGAGTTGATTGATTCAAATAAATATCCTCCCCATAATATTGTAAAAGACATTTTCTATATTATTCAATATAATAACAGCTATACAAAGTCATACCTGAAACTTGCGAAACTTATATTAGATGATTATCAAATAAACAACGTGAAAAATATTCAACTATATATAAATACATGTTTTATAAAGAATATGGAATTCAATTAGACAAATCCGATGATTTCGAAAGTTCATATTTTAAAGATTTAGATATTCATTCAGAAAATACTATTTACAGAGTAATTATGGATAATGACTTGGAAAGATTAATACTTTTCACAGAGAGAGAAGATTTTGATAAAAATAAATTATTTGATGGTGATTTATATCCATATCATTACTCTGGAAATTCCTTACTTGAATTATGTTGTTATCATGCAGCAGTTGATTGTTTCAAGTTATTAAGATCGAAATTTAACTCAGAAATAACCCAAAAATATCTCCAATTTTCATTTTTAGGCGGAAATCCAGAGATCATGAGTGAATGTTTGAAATATCAACAACCAGATAAATATTGCATAGAATATGCAATCATTTCACACAACATTGATTTTGTTACATTCTTGATGAATGAATACAATATTGAAATCGATTTATGTCAATGCGGAAGTTATCAGAATCTTGAATCATTTTTAGTATATTATGATCAAACAAAAGATATTAGCAACTGTTTTGTTTATTCAGTAATGTTTGGTATTCCAGCCCTTTGTGAATATTTCCTTTCACATGGTGCAAATATCAACGAAACAAATCGAGATAGAAAAACTGCTCTTCATATTGCCGCGGATAACAATAAAATAAAAATAGTAGAATTTCTTCTTTTTCACGGTGCAAATGTCAACGAAAAAGGTAATTTTGGAGAAACAGCTCTTCATATTGCCATTAATAACAATTATAAAGAAATAGCCGAACTTCTTGTTTTGCATGGTGCAAATGTCAATGAAAAAGATAATAGGAAAAGAACAGCCCTTCAAATTGCCGCTGAAAAAAATAGAAAAGAAATAGCTGAACTCCTTCTTTTACATGGTGCAAATGTCAATGAAAAAGATATTAGGAAAAGTACAGCTCTTCATTTTGCTGCATATAAAAATTGTATAGAAACTGCAGAACTTCTACTTACACATGGCGCAGATGTCAATGAAAAAGATGATTACGGAATTACTGCCCTTCATATTGCCACAAATAACAATAGTATAGAATTAGTTGAACTTCTTCTTTCACATGGTGCAGATATCAATAAAAGAGATAATATGGGAAAAACAGCTCTTCAAATTGCCACAGGTCAAATTAATCAAGAATTAATTAAACTCCTTCTTTTACATGGTGCAAATGTTAATGAAAGAAGTCAATACGGAACGACTCTTCAAATTGCCACAGATAAAAATAATATAGAATTAGTTAAACTCCTTCTTTCACATGGTGCAAATATTAATGAAAAAGACCAATTCGGAACGATGCTTCATTTTGCAGCGGAAAAAAATAGAAAAGAAATCTTTGAACTTTTTCTTTCATATGGTGGAGATATCAATGAAAAAGATTGTCTTAGAGCAACAGTTCTTCATTATGCAGCACAAAGTAATAGTAAAGAAATAGCGGAACTTCTTTTGACACATGGTGCAAATGCCAATGAAAAGGATATATGGGGTAAAACCATTCTTCAATACGCAGCAGATAATTGTAGTAAAGAAACAGCAGAACTTCTTCTATTATATGGTGCAAATACAAATGAAAAAGATGAAGATGGAAGAACAGCTCTTCATTACGCAGCAGAAAATAATGGAAAAGAAACAGCTGAGCTTCTTCTTTCACATGGTGCGAATATAAATGAAAAAGATGAAGATGGAAGAACAGCTCTTCATTACGCAGCAGAAAATAATGGAAAAGAAACAGCTGAGCTTCTTCTTTCACATGGTGCGAATATAAATGAAAAAGATGAAGATGGAAGAACAGCTCTTCATTACGCAGCAGAAAATAATGGAAAAGAAACAGCTGAGCTTCTTCTTTCACATGGTGCGAATATAAATGAAAAAGATGAAGATGGAAGAACAGCTCTTCATTACGCAGCAGAAAATAATGGAAAAGAAACAGCTGAGCTTCTTCTTTCAAATGGTGCCGCTATCAACGAAAAAGATGAAAAACAAAAAACAGCTCTTCATTTTGCCTCGAAGAATAATAGTATAGAAACTGCAGAACTTCTTCTATCACATGGTGCAGAAATCAACGAAAAAATCATCGAGGAGCAACTGCTCTTCATTGTGCAGCATATAAAAATAGTAAAGATACAGCTCAAATTCTTCTTGCACATGGCGCAAATGTCAACGCAAAAGCTGGTGACGGTAGAACAGCTCTTCATATTGCAGCAGATAATAATAGTATAGAAACTGCATAAATTCTACTTACACATGGCGCAGATGTCAATGAAAAAAATGGCATCGGAAGTACCGCCCTTCATATTGCCACAGATAAAAATAGAAAAGAATTAGTTAAACTTCTTCTTTCACATGGCGCAAACGTCAATGTAAAAGATGAAAATGGGAATACAGCTCTTCATATAGCAGTAGATTATAATAATACCAATGAAATAGTTGAACTTCTTCTTTCATATGGTGCAAATGCCAATGAAGAGAATGGAAATGGAAAAACCGCTCTTAATATTGCATCCCATAATAAATATAAAAAAATAGTTCGTATTCTTCTTTCATATGGCGGAAATATTAATTCTTGAAAATAATTAAATTTGAAGTAAACCCAATAAATACCACCATTTTTTTTTGTATTTTAGCTTTTAAAACATTTTAAGGGTAATACAAGGCGCAATGACACATTTCCAATACACAGATATTGCTTTTTTTTTCTCCCCCAATTTTAGCTTTTATAACTAGATGATTTCAACATATTTGATTGGTATTTTCTCCATCTATCAACACGCATATGCATAACATGTGAATAGATGATATATATATTTATAGAGAGCCAGAGAGAATGTGATTATAAATATATTTTAATGATCACAAAATCTTTGGCTCTCTTTTCATTTCCTCCAAAATCACATTCTCCAAAATCCAGCAGTATTACAGAATATTTCCTCCAAAAAATTTCTTAGATCTGGCAAAATATATGACATATTTGAAATTATTACAAATATAAACTCCAAATGCTATTTAAAGCATTTATATCAAGTTAAAATCCTCAATAGCACAAAACTCATTAAAAAATAATTTGAAAATATATAATTTCTTTTGCGAAAATGTCAAAAAATAAAATTTTCATATGAATTTTTGAAAAACGAATTACATGGCTGTTAAAAATCTATTAGTCTTACTAAATCAGTTGTGATGTCATTTTGTATTGAAAATTTTTGACACTTTTTTACAAAATCTGTGATGTCAAAAGACAGTCGGCACTTTAACCCAGCAGCCTCCTGGACATTTTCTCGACCTGGTATAGGTATACATCATTTGGTTCTTTCTCAAAATAATCAAGAAGTTTGCGTTTCGATGTGGAACGGTTCTGTTATGATTCTTTCCTCTAGAACTGGTAAAGTTGGATATACAGTTCAAGTTGGTAATGAAAACTCCGTAGTTACATGCTCTAAATTTAACCCTAACAATAGTGATCAGCTTCTTTCTGTTACTTCTGCTGGTAAATGGGGTATTTATAATTACAAGTCAGGAATTAAACAAGAAGGCATGTATAAATCTGACGCTCATCTTTACACCTGTGACTTCTCTAGAAAAGGAGATAAATACGCAATTGCAGGTAAAGATGCCATTATTTCGATTTTCGATACGAAAACAGGTATGAAAATTACTGATTATACACATGATTCCCCATCAGAAGGCCACGGACATTCACATCCTATTTACGCTTTACTTTATAATAAAGTCGAAAATATCATTTTCTCTGGATCAGCTGACGCAACAGTATTGATGTGGGACACAAGAACAGCATTACCGATCAGGTCATTCGGTGGCCCGGCTATTAACGGCGATACAATCGATTTCAGAAATGATATCCTTCTTACTGGTGCTTGGAGACAGGAGAGACCAATCGAGTTATGGGATACAAGGAGCGGAGAAGTGATTAATTATGCTGAATGGGGCCAAAATGATACAGTTAACTTATATACTTGCAAATTCTGCCAAAGAACAGGAGAAATCGTTGCAGGCGGCGCTGAATATTCTTCTATTAAGATATTTGATAAATCTATGAAACCTGTTCAGCGTCTTGGCGTTTTCAACGCAGCAATCAATAGTGCGGTTATGTCTGATGATGGAAACATTGTAATTGCTTCAGATCAGAATGGATCAACTCAAGCATTCTTTTCTTCAGCAGTTAATCAAGCTAACTAAGTTTCTTTTTTGGTTATTTTTAAAAATTTTTATTTATTATGTTTTAATCTTATCTATATTTTCATATTACGAAATCCCGTATAGTCAACTTAAGAATCATAATTTGAAAAGAGTGTATTCAATACCCTCAATTTTTAACTTTTGCAACTCCAAAAACCAGGTGTTTTTCCAGAACTACCATCTAGGATGAGTCCTAGGAGCTATAATTCTCGGGTTAGATGATACCCACTTAGTACTTTTATTTGTATATGTTTTAGTGGAATTTGGTGAGGGGTCATGAAATTCGTATCTAATTTGCTATCATCTAAGCTGGTAAAAGTTAGAGAAAGCTATTTACTGGTTGTATATTACAAATATACCTTGTAATAGAAAATATAAGTGTTTGTGATTTAAATTCGCTCAATTAGCTCGAAAATTTGTTTTATATCCATGACAAACTAACACAATCCTATTTATGTGATTGCCAATCTGTTCCCAAAATATATCAGCATGAATATATATATATTGATATTATTTGCAATTTCATCATTAAATAGTACTTTTTTTTCTATTTTTAATTTAGAAATAGTATATTTATATGATAGCGACACAATATTTTAATTAAAAAATATATGTTATCGATCATCACACTCAAATTGAATTTCAAAAATTTTAGAATTTTTCAATTTCAATATTGAAAATATATTTCTTATATCATAGCGATTCATGTTATAATAATATGGAGAAAAATATTGTTTTAAATCTAAAATTTAAAATGAATGATTGGGCATTACATTAATCCAATTTATTGTTTATTTGTTAATCTAGTGGAAACAATTAATATTTTGGAGAAACAAAAATTTGAAATTTGAAATTTTGAAAAAAATGCATGAATCGGTAATTAAACATTGATTTATTAATTTATTAGCCATGCTTTTGATGTTGGTCTTATTCTTAAGCCGATTTAAAGAATTAATTTTTCCAAATCGTGTTTGACATTAACACATATAGATATATCAGGAAAAAAGGTATCACTTATCAAGTTATTGGTTTTTATGTATCTCCTAACTTTGCCTCGTTCTGAATACAATTCTAGTTAACGAATTTTAAATAACTATATGAAGAATACATCATTTTGGTTTTATTATTATTAAAATGATATATATTAGCTATGTATATGCTTGTAAGAATATTATTCCGTGAATTGGAAACAGAAAAAATAAATTTAGACAGAAAATGCATATCTTTAAAAAATAATATGAAATTTAGCTTTGATATTATTATCCGATAAAATATGCATGATAATTACTCCGCAAATAAAATTTAGGAAGCAAGTTGTGACGGTTTGGGCGGTTTTCAATGGCCCACAAGGAAGGAAGTATCGTTTTATCAGGCAACAAGAGGTCTTGAAATGAGTAAAGGACTGATCACCCTTGAAAGGTTCAAACTTGCTTGCGCGCCGCAGTCTTAAAAATGATATGTTTCACTTCTGGTCGAAAATTTCAACCTCTATGACAGTTGTTGGATGAACAATTGTGTAGCGGGATGAAATCTGAGTGCGGCCTGGGGCTGCAGCATCAATCTTCCCGGCATCTTTACCGCAATCATCTCTTAGATTGCACACAAAGTTGCGAACGAGCAGCTTTCTATGCGGTAAAGATGCCGGTAAAAGAGAGCCGTAGTGATTCTCTGCTGCAGCGTCAATCTTCCCGGCATCTTTACCGCAATCATCTCTTAGATTGCACACAAAGTTGCGAACGAGCAGCTTTCTATGCGGTAAAGATGCCGGAAAAGAGAGTCGATGTGAGGTTCTTTCGAGGGCTCCTCGAATGAGACACTGTTCCGCATTGATAACTTGAACGCGGAAGTTTGACCGACAAGAGTGTATTGTGCACTCCTGTCGGTCGCAGTGTCTCATTCTGGGAGACATTGCCTCTGCATGTCTCCCAGAATGGAACAATGTTCCGCATTGATAACTTGAACGCGGAAGTTTGACCGACAAGAGTGTATTGTGCACTCCTGTCGGTCGCAGTGTCTCATTCTGGGAGACATTGCCTCTGCATGTCTCCCAGAATGGAACAATGTTCCGCATTGATAACTTGAACGCGGAAGTTTGACCGACAAGAGTGTATTGTGCACTCCTGTCGGTCGCAGTGTCTCATTCTGGGAGACATTGCCTCTGCATGTCTCCCAGAATGGAACAATGTTCCGCATTGATAACTTGAACGCGGAAGTTTGACCGACAAGAGTGTATTGTGCACTCCTGTCGGTCGCAGTGTCTCATTCTGGGAGACATTGCCTCTGCATGTCTCCCAGAATGGAACAATGTTCCGCATTGATAACTTGAACGCGGAAGTTTGACCGACAAGAGTGTATTGTGCACTCCTGTCGGTCGCAGTGTCTCATTCTGGGAGACATTGCCTCTGCATGTCTCCCAGAATGGAACAATGTTCCGCATTGATAACTTGAACGCGGAAGTTTGACCGACAAGAGTGTATTGTGCACTCCTGTCGGTCGCAGTGTCTCATTCTGGGAGACATTGCCTCTGCATGTCTCCCAGAATGGAACAATGTTCCGCATTGATAACTTGAACGCGGAAGTTTGACCGACAAGAGTGTATTGTGCACTCCTGTCGGTCGCAGTGTCTCATTCTGGGAGACATTGCCTCTGCATGTCTCCCAGAATGGAACAATGTTCCGCATTGATAACTTGAACGCGGAAGTTTGACCGACAAGAGTGTATTGTGCACTCCTGTCGGTCGCAGTGTCTCATTCTGGAGACATTGCCTCTGCATGTCTCCCAGAATGGAACAATGTTCCGCATTGATAACTTGAACGCGGAAGTTTGACCGACAAGAGTGTATTGTGCACTCCTGTCGGTCGCAGTGTCTCATTCTGGGAGACATTGCCTCTGCATGTCTCCCAGAATGGAACAATGTTCCGCATTGATAACTTGAACGCGGAAGTTTGACCGACAAGAGTGTATTGTGCACTCTTGTCGGTCGCAGTGTCTCATTCTGGGAGACATTGCCTCTGCATGTCTCCCAGAATGGAACAACGTTCCGCATTGATAACTTGAACGCGGAAGTTTGACCGACAAGAGTGCATTATCCAATCTTTTTTGTCATATACCTCAACCAACAAAGACAAAACCTTACATAAAATAGGTAAACTTTGGTTTTCACTTAATAATGTTTATTTTTAATTTTTTGTTCTTTATATAACTTTTTCTTCTACTAAACTTTTACAGACTCTACTGAGCTATCCTCACATATATACCTGTGACAATAACACATATATACTCCCTTCATATTCTGATCTCATGACATATTACAGCACAAACTATAATTATACAACATACCTCATAAAGTCTGATTTTACCCCTATCTAAGCGTTCAAAACCTATTTTCCCCGCGTAATCTGATTCTTCTGGCTCTGCTGATTCGATTTCTGCTGTCAGATCGTGAAAATATGCATCACACAATGAGATAAACACAAAATACACAACTTAATATTTTCCTTAAAATTTCTCTTCAAGTTCATACTGAAACAACATCTTTTTTTGAAAATACAATTTTTTCAAAAAATGTATGAATTCAAAAGTGCATACTATATCTAGTCATTACCCAACATTAATTTTGTATTTTAGTTTTTAAGATATTCATTTTATTATACGTCTTATTCAGAAAATTAAATATATTTGTGAGGGAAACGGAAGAAATAATAAATATGTCAAGATCGAGGAATTGACAATTTTAAGGAAAATATTAAGTTGTGTATTTTGTGTTTATCTCATTGTGTGATGCATATTTTCACGATCTGACAGCAGAATCGAATCAGCAGAGCCAGAAGAATCAGATTACGCGGGGAAAATAGGTTTTGAACGCTTAGATAGGGGTAAAATCAGACTTTATGAGGTATGTTGTATAATTATAGTTTGTGCTGTAATATGTCATGAGATCAGAATATGAAGGGAGTATATATGTGTTATTGTCACAGGTATATATGTGAGGATAGCTCAGTAGAGTCTGTAAAAGAGTTTAGTAGAAGAAAAAGTTATATAAAGAACAAAAAATTAAAAATAAACATTATTAAGTGAAAACCAAAGTTTACCTATTTTATGTAAGGTTTTGTCTTTGTTGGTTGAGGTATATGACAAAAAAGATTGGATAATGCACTCTTGTCGGTCAAACTTCCGCGTTCAAGTTATCAATGCGGAACATTGTTCCATTCTGGGAGACATGCAGAGGCAATGTCTCCCAGAATGAGACACTGCGACCGACAAGAGTGCACAATACACTCTTGTCGGTCAAACTTCCGCGTTCAAGTTATCAATGCGGAACATTGTTCCATTCTGGGAGACATGCAGAGGCAATGTCTCCCAGAATGAGACACTGCGACCGACAAGAGTGCACAATACACTCTTGTCGGTCAAACTTCCGCGTTCAAGTTATCAATGCGGAACATTGTTCCATTCTGGGAGACATGCAGAGGCAATGTCTCCCAGAATGAGACACTGCGACCGACAGGAGTGCACAATACACTCTTGTCGGTCAAACTTCCGCGTTCAAGTTATCAATGCGGAACATTGTTCCATTCTGGGAGACATGCAGAGGCAATGTCTCCCAGAATGAGACACTGCGACCGACAAGAGTGCACAATACACTCTTGTCGGTCAAACTTCCGCGTTCAAGTTATCAATGCGGAACATTGTTCCATTCTGGGAGACATGCAGAGGCAATGTCTCCCAGAATGAGACACTGCGACCGACAGGAGTGCACAATACACTCTTGTCGGTCAAACTTCCGCGTTCAAGTTATCAATGCGGAACATTGTTCCATTCTGGGAGACATGCAGAGGCAATGTCTCCCAGAATGAGACACTGCGACCGACAGGAGTGCACAATACACTCTTGTCGGTCAAACTTCCGCGTTCAAGTTATCAATGCGGAACATTGTTCCATTCTGGGAGACATGCAGAGGCAATGTCTCCCAGAATGAGACACTGCGACCGACAGGAGTG